CCCAGTTGTAGTCCATGGGGATCTGAGGAGGCTCAATCTCGGTCTTGGGCACAATCACACCCTTGCTGACAAGCTGAGAGTAGACAGCCTTAAGAGTCTCGGGCAAGTCCTCGAACGTGTCGGGGACGATGAAGCCAGCGGCCCTCATGGCCCTGTTCTTGGCATCGGCAGTCTCCATGTCAGAGTTGGCCATGGAACCGGCGTGACCGAACTGGACCTCGGAGGTGAACATCTTGGCACAAGTACCAATGGCCCAAGCGACAATGGGCTTCTTAATGATACCCTGCTTGACGGCCTCGATGACTCGGTACTCCTCGTTACCACCAACCTCACCAAGAAGCAAGAGCATCTTGCACTCGGGGTCGGCCTCGTATCGGAGCAAGTGGTCGATGAAGGAGGTACCGGGGTATCGGTCACCACCAATGGCAACACCCTCGTAGACACCGTTGGTGGTGTAAGAGAGAATGTTGTTGAGCTCGTTGGACATACCACCAGACTTGGAGACGTAACCAACGGAACCGGCTCGGTAAAGCTTGCACGCAATCAAGTTGTCCATCATACCACCAGTGTTACCAATCCTGAAGCATCCAGGCTTGATACCACCAACAGTAGCGGGACCGATGATGATGACCTTCTTCTCGACAGCGAGGTGAAGGAGCTCTCGGGCGTGTCGCTCGGGGACACCCTCGGCGATAATACCGATTGCCTTGATCTGGGGGTACGAGAGAATCTCGAGGGTAGAGGCGTAGACGGATCGGGAAGAAGCAAAGTTGACGACGACGTCGACGTCGGGGTGCTTCTTGGTGGCCTCACCAACAGAGGTGTAGACGGGGAGAAGAGTTTCCTTGGTACCCCAGTAGAACTTCTGGATGTGGTGACCGCCGAAGGGGTAGATCATGGCAGCGACGGAAGGAGTCCTCCTGCCGCAAGAGAAGTCAAAGTCGAGCATACCCTGGATGGCTCGGGGCTGGAGACCAAAGACGAAAGACCTGGTGTCGGCGTCGAAAGGTCGGAACCAAGGTCGAGAACCGGCAAGGGGCTCAGTCTCGAATCGGACAATGTTGTCGTTGGGCTGCTCTCGACTACCGTCAGAGTTGACGACACCGACGTTGCCGCTCTTCTGCACGGGCTCCGCAATGCCGTTAGGGGGAGTGCCGGGGGCAGAAGGGAGAGGGGTGACATCCCTGGTGAGGGCAGAGACGGGTCGCTCAATGCCGAGAGCCATGGGGACAATGGCAGTGATGGGCGACTCGGGACCGTAGACCTTCATGAAGACACCAAGCGACTCGCCACAAAGACGCATGGCCTTGAGACCTTCCTGGTAGTTGGGACCAGCTCGTCGGACCCAGATCTTGACGTTGTGTCGAACGAGACCGTCCTTGTACTCCTTGAGGGCTCGGATGATACCCTTGAAAGTAGCGGCAACGTCAGAGAAGTTGGCGGCACCACCACCGATGATGAGGACCTTGCCCTCGGGGTGAGGGGTACCTCGGGTGATGAGGTCGATGATGGTCTTGGCGTACTCGTAGGTTTGGCCCTCAGTGGGGGCACCAGAGTATTCACCATAGTTGGCGAGCTCGTGAGCGTAACCCGCGGCAGCAATGGCGTCAGAGTAGACGACGGAAGCACCACCACCGGCAACCATGGTCCAGACACGACCCTGGGGGTTGAGGACGGTGAGCTTGAGGGAAGCACCGGTAGAAGCGTCGAGCTTCTGGATGTAAGCCTCCTCCTTGGTCAAGTCACGACCGAAGGGAGCGGGCCAGACCATGGGAGGTCCACGGTCGGCCTTGATACCGGCAGAAGGCTGACCGGCAGAGATGTCACGGGCGATGGCCCACTTGGGACCACAGAGGAAGTCGGCGGTCTGGTCAAGCTTGGCGGCCATGTCGAGGTAGTGGATCTCGGCGGGCTTGCCGGGGGCGGCATCAAGGACGACGAGGGGGTTGATCTCGAGGTAGGCGACTAGGAGATGTCAGCAGAGTCTCAAAATTATAGTAATGTACGCACAGTGCAAGTCAACGTAGACACCGTAGAGCCTGATCAAGAAGTCGCAAAGGACGTCCTGCTTGGCAGGAGCGACGTGAGCGAGGAGAGAGCTGATGACGGTCTCTCGGGTAGGGAATTGCTGGCCAACGGGGATGAGCAACTTGAGAGCCTTGGCATCGACATCTCCAACATCAACACCACCCTCGCTGTGATATGGTCAGCCTTGTCCGCCAGCACAGACACGCGCAACATACTGGGTGAAGAGGATCCAGTCACCCTCACGAGCAGAGTTGATACAGACGTAGTACTCGGTGTCGGCAGGGTGGGGGGTGAAGGGCTCGATGATGAAGCTGCTGAGAGTACCGGTTGTCTTCTCAACAGTGACGGGCTTGCCGGCCCTCTCCTCGATCCAAGCACCAGTCTCCTGCCACTCCTTGTTGAGACAAAGAAGGCCAGCCTTTCCTCGTCGCTTGATCAGCTGGTCAGGCTTGCCGACAAGCTTGGAGCTGAAGACCCATTCAGGGAGACCCTGGCCGGGCTGGATGGGAGGGGAGAGCTGCTTAGTAGCGGGGTCCCTTTGGGACAGTGAGCGACGAGTTCCGGGCACTTGTTGAATGGGCCTACCATTGAACCTGAGCGACTTTAACAGGGGCCAAGAGGGATTCGGTCTTGGTGGGGATGGGGGTAGGGGAGCGGTTAAGCCAGTAGGAGACGAGCTGCTTGGCGTCGTATTCTCGGATAGCTACGGAGGGGGCGTCAGTTTTAGATTCGACCACAGATCTTGCCAGAAAAAAGTCTCGGAGGGCCAGGTTTCGGCCGACCGAGCGTTTGACACGATGCCGAGAGGGATACAGAGGCCATTGAGAAGTAATGTGGGGGGTAGTGGGAGGTATGTGGAGTGGGGGAAGGGCCCGGACTCGCGTAAAAGTGTGAGATAGCAACGAACGCCAGATAACGAGGGTCCATGCGGCAGTGCCGAAGCCTCAACAAGAAAGAATCGCAGAGCGCTGTGTGTCTATTGCGACCACGGCCACCACGGCCATGGCACTATCACAGACCAAGTACCCAAAAGCCAGTGAGATCGAGTGGAGTCAAACACAGCACATATGCCGACAAAAGCTGAATATAGCACCACAAATACTGAGACAGCAGCTGAACGACGCGCGGGCGCCGCTGTTGGCGACGAGACGTGATTCAACGCAACGCGCGAGAAGAAGAGGATCGAGACAAGAAGATGGAGAGCGACTGACCCTTGGTAGACATGTTGGAGAGACAAGTGTATGCTCGTGTAGGATGTGTTAGGCTGCGAAGGGTGAGCTCGGCGTTGGGTGAGAGAGACGCGACGGACGGTGGGGGAGGGGGGGAGAAAAGAGGCGGGGGGAGGCGAGGGTGGGGGTGTGCGGTGTAGTGACTAAATAGCCAAGGAAAAGGAAAAGAGAGAGATTGATCTCTTTATGTGGTACGAGCGTGCCCACCCTTCCCCAATCCCGTCCCTGACTCCCCCCAACAAGAATTTGGTGGAGGCAGCACAGGCACAATCTTTATCCACGTGCCCCCTTACGGCATATCATCTTAGCGCCTGCGATATGCTTCAACTGCCTCCGACTCCGCCTCGGTCGGGCGCTATAATGCATGGGAGAGAGGCGCGCAAGTGTGCAAGTGTATAATCGGGCTCGACGGATGAAGCATGCTGCTTTTCGGCGACCACGAGACTAGGTATGCTTGTTCGATCACCTCATCGGACAGCTCCGGCTCAACTCTCATCAACGCTTTGATCCTCTCAAGCGCAGACAAGCGGCGATTGTACGTCTTCTTCCTCAATATCGCAGCTTGCTGGTGGAGGTAGCGCTGCAAAGGAGCAGCTCCATTATGCTATTCGGGCTACAGCTACCACCTCGTCACTGCCAAAATCCGCTGACTGCCAAATTGAGTCTTCGAGGAGATAGTTAAATTGCATGAGCGGTACTCTAATTGAAATGCCAGAGACAGGCTCGCTATGATACGCCACTGACACCTGCAGCAGGCTGCAACGCCGAAGTATAGTACAAAAGGAAGCACGCGAGGCGAGGAGCAAACTTCAAAAGAAAGAACAATCACCCTTCCCTTCATCCTCGACTCTGGAGCGCCTTTCCCCAAGCCCCAGATTTCCTTCGATTTCAGCAAGCAGGGCAGTAGTACTCAGCCTCCTTTCATTCGGGGCAATGACCATGGCAAATGGCCCGGGCTTGCCGGTCCCCAATGAGCGTGAGCAACAGCTGAGGGTTTGAACAATCTCTTTTTCAAGTCATATCAAAATAAAAGCTCTTTCGAATGGTCTATAATCATACCCTAGCACTCGCAGCCCACACACAGCTCGATAGCCCAAACATGACTGACAAAACCAGCTGCAACAGCATCGTTGACGAGCGACGGGAGCGGGTTGCCCGACAGCCTGTGAAACTGTCAATCTCGACATCTCTCCCCAAGCAGAAGCGCAGCTCGTAAGTTCTCAGCCATCTCCGATGATTTTCAAAGCAAAGAGAAGAGCACATGCTGAACCCTTCATAAAGCTCGTTGCGCCGTAATACGAGACCTCGGCGGTCTTCTTCTCCCTCCTCCTCCACTCCCAGCAGTACCCCAACCAGCCCCAATTCACCGCGTATCTACCGTCTCACATCGACCAAGTTCAAGATCGTACTGCATGAGCCGATCAAAATCAAGCTATCTTGTTAGCATTCTATGATGTAGTCGACTAGCGCACAGTATTATCAGGACGGCGAGATGGCGCAGATGCACAGATGTTTCTGCAGCAAAGTTTGATATTCTTGCGAGACAAAGCAAGCCCCTTGATACCATTTAGAGCTTCATATACATCTACCAACACCTTCAAAGACGTCTCTTCGCCAGCTCTTCGCATCATGTTGAGTCACGATAGCCGTGAATGAGCAGCGGAGATTGCCGCATCTCCGGCAAGCGCGACGCGTCCGGTTGACTGGACTGTGATCTTTTCGACATTACCCATCCTTCCCTTCCATACACATCCCCACCCGCCCTCATTTGCCGCACCATGGCATCCTCTTCGCAGGCGCTCGTCAAGCTCGACTTCAAGGAGTCTCTCATCCAGCAGGGCAAACGCGAGACTACGGATACCCTACTCAAAAGATTGAAGGTCTGTCCCACGCGTCGTGACACGCGTTTACGCGTCCGTCTATGAGTGATTCTGACTCTGAGCCGGTAGACTTTGAGGCAGAAGCTGTCTGTCCTTGAGCAGGATGCCACCGACACGAAGACCCTGGATCCTGTGAGGAAGCCGCTCATCCATCAAACGATATTACATCACAAAGAGTAAGTCGCGCGTGAAAGCTCCGCACACCATGGCTGACGCGTGAACAGTCGAGGAGTGCGAGCGTACGCTGCTTGCTGCCTGGCCGACTTGCTGAAATTATACGCACCGGATGCGCCTTACAGCGATGTCCAGCTCCGGGTGAGTCCCGCGTATGAGAAATCGAGCAGCGCTGACCCCCTATCAGGACATCTTTCAATTCTTCCATACTCAAATCACCCAGAACCTTCGCCCCACCACTTCTCATGCGCGCCCGCAAGGAAAGAACAAAGCCCCCGACGCGTCACAGACTACGCTCAACCAGCGAATCACCGACATTCCCTACTATCCCGATTATTATTACCTCATCGAAAGTCTCGCGACGATCAAGAGTATCGTCTTGATCTGTGATGTCCCTGGAGCGGAGGAACTCATGGATGGTTTCTTCAGCGGCTTCATCGAGATCGCGAGACCGGATATGAGCAAGACGCTTATGAGATACATGCGGGATGTGCTGGTGTCGATCATCGAAGAAGCGAGTACGCTCCCGCAAGGGGTGATGGACAGCATCATCAACGAATTTGTGCAGCACTCTTCTGTAAGTGCTCATTAATCACATGTTATCCCATTTACTCACATCTCGTAGAAACCAGAGACGCCCTCGTTCCAGCTTATTGTCGACGTCTGCAACGAAGTTGCCGACAAGCTCAAGCATCCCTTCTACGCCCACTTCTCCCAGATTCAGCTCGACCATGGCGTTGACCCCAGCCCCAACGACCTCAAGATTCTCTCTCAATCCCACGACCTTCTCCTCACCATCAATCGCTTCTGTCCTGATACTCTCTTGCTAGCCGTCCCGCGTTTGGAGGAAAACCTGCAGGCGGCGGATGAAGTCCCTCTTCGTTCGCTATCAACTCGAACATTGGGCCACTTGTTTGCGCAACGAGCAGGGGCTGGTGGAGCTGGTACAAGTGGTGATGACAATCCGGCGAAGAAGTATCCTTCGACATGGAGGGCGTGGCTTACGAAGCAAGTGGACAAGGCAGTGCCTGTCAGGCTGGCTTGGGTGGAGACGACGAGGGGTATCTTAGTAAATCACCCGGCTGTCAGGCAGCAGCTGGAGGGTGAGCCATGATTTAAAATCTTTGACAGTACTGATGTTGTACAGAGGCTATGGTCGGTCGTCTGGCAGATCCCGATGAGAAAGTTAGGGGAACCATGAGCAGAGTGTTGGGTTCGTTAGACTATGAGACAGCTCTTCACCATGTTCAGACCAAGACGCTTCGAGCTCTGGGTGATCGTATACTCGACAAGAAGGTGAGCGTATTGAAGATCATCCAATGATCATCCGCTGACTTTGGGATAGTCATCAGTGCGAAGCGAAGCGTTGAACGCGTTGGCCAAATTGTGGGAATCAGCGTTCTCCGAGATGTGAGTAGCGAGAACAGGTGACTGAACGTCAGCCGCTAATGACCCTTAAGTGAGGCTGGTGACGATGGGGCGATCAAGCAGTTCGGGTGGATTCCTCAAGCCATTATCGCTGCTATCCTCAAGGGCGAACTTCCCATGGACATGAGGTGAGTCGCGTCGACCCTGGTCGCCTATGGTGCTCATACAAGACACAGGGCGCAAATCATCAGTGTCTTCAAAAAATCCATCCTCCCCCTGCCGGCGGACGGGGACGACGACGAAGATTGGGTGGACAAGTTCTTGCTGGTCGCATCTACATTGGACGAGCAGGCACAGAACGGTTTGGTCAATCTGACAAACCTCAGAGGCATCGCTGAAGGCACATATCCCTTCGCTGCTTTTGCCGAGTTCTGTGAAAAGTATCAGGGTGGTATGAGTGACAGTCCGATCGATCTCAAACCTCAAATGAACTATCTTGTACAAGCTGTTTCCAGTGAGTTGCTAGCTGTCCTCTGCTGAGCATGTGAACAAGGCTGACGATTCACAGCCAAAGTCTTTGGTGACTCACAACAGGCTAGAAAACATATACAAGCCTTTGTCGATCTGAATGAGCCCAGGCTTTACAAGCTCTACAGGACATGTGTCGACTTTTCCTCTAGTCTCGCTACCATCATCAAAGCTCGTGTAAGTTGCATTGTGCACACTTCTGGCACCAGCTTATCGATGGCTAGAATGAGTTCTTACGTCGAGTCCACCAATCTCACGAAGACCTCCTCCCGGTTCTCACCGTGTTACTCGACAACTCTGCATTCGATCTCATCAACCACTCCAGCATTCACACCTTACTCAAGCGTCTGCAAAAGCCGGATTCCGCCAAGCGTGCGGCTACAGCTTCTCGTTTCCTTGTGGTCATCGCAAAGGAATGCGCGCCAATGTACAAGACGCATGTGGCGGAACTTGTTGCGTGTATATCGGACAAGAAGAACACGAAATTGGTAGAGGTGGCATTGCAAGGGCTGGCTGCTGTAAGCAAGGTTTGCCCGGATGTGGCACCTAATGAGAGGTATGTCAACATTTTCTCTTTCGGTATCTGGGAGGTGATTCTGACCGTCTCGGCGTAGTCGACTTATCGAGAGGGTCATCAAACTTGGTTATGAGGGCACCTATCGACAGGGAAAGTTCGCAGCCCGTTTCCTCGGCAAGATTCAGAACTCTGACCTCAACTGTGGCAAATTGATCGACGTGAGTGACCGCTACGCCCGTCGTTTTGCAATCTCACACTTGTGCAGGCCATCTTGAAAGCCATCGACTATACGGAGGAAGGGGCGTATGAAAAACACCTGACCTATCTTACCGCCTTCACCGAACTTGCTCGAGCGTCTCCCAAGACTTTCACCGCCAAGGTCAAAGAAATTATCAAGTATGTCTTGGACGAGATAATGCTCCAACCGTCCCCGTCACAAGGCGTAAGTCGAATGCTTCGTGCGGCGCCTTCACCGACTGATCTTTGTCTTTTAGGTGGATGGAGATGAGTGGGTGAACATCGACGAGTTGGAGTCCCTCGACCACGCAAAGATCATCGGCCTGCGACTCTTCACAAGCTACTGCCTGACATTCGTCAAGGATCCAGAGGCCGAAGAGCTGCTCAAACCGGCACTCAATTTGTTGACATCGGTCCTGGGTAATGACGGTATGGTCGACCAGAATACTGCAGAAGGGTGAGTTTGTAATGATTCGCCATCTGAAGCTCGCTGATATCTCCCGATAGTGGCCCAGCGAGGTGTCACATGCGTTTGCGAGCTGCGCTCTGCCTTCACAAACTGGCCCAAGCACCAAGATTCGAAAAGATCATCACTGCCCCTGACAACTTTGAGCTTATCGGTGGTTGTGTCCAGGTTCGTCTTTGTCGCCGCGAGTCCTCTCGAATTCAAAGGCTAATGTATCATAGGATCCTTGCTTCATGGTTCGAAACATATGGTTGAAAAAAATACAAAAGAACCTGAAGTACCAGACTATCTCTCCCAAATGGAATATCATCCCGGCATTGGCAGCCATGGATCCTGATCAAGACAACATCATCATCGTCAGTCCTCTTCCCCGCGTGCATTAGATCTAGACTGATTCGACTCATAGGCGAAGTCTATACTTACGAACATACCCCGACGCTGTAAACAGAAACCTGCCGATGGTGCGTTGAGTCACATACTCGTAGTGGATCCCATACTCACCTGTCCCAGTTCGGATACAACATATCGAACTTCCTTTCTCTCGACTGATACTCCACCTCGCTCATCATCCGGACCTGAGATGGCACGAAGCCGACGAGGATGAAGAAGACAACGAGGACGATGAAGACGACGATGGAGCGGAAAAGAAGCCAAAAGTCAAGGAAGGCATTACTGATATCCAGAATTTGAAAGAAATTGCTAGGTGCGCTACCTCTGTAGCCATCATTTCAAACTGACCAAGCTCCTCAGGTTTATCGAACTTTACCTCGACTGCCTATCGCACAAAGACAACATCGGTCTCTTCTATTACATCGCCGGGCAAATCAAATCCTTCCGCGATAGATATCGAGAAAACAACAAACCTCTCTATGCCCTTTCCGAGCTTGCGCAACTAATCATTCGTAATCGGGCCGAGAAACATCAATGGCCCTTACAGGTCTACAACAACCGGATCGCGCTGCCCAAGGACTTGTTCCATAGGCCGGATAACCCAGAAGAGAGAGCCAAAACACAAAAGACGCAGTTCTTGAGCGAGGAGGCGAGAGCCTGGGCGAAGTCGCTCGGAAAAAGGGCTATCGGAGGGCTGAACATTGTACGTCCCTTTGTCGATGGTGGAAGCAGGCTCTGATAGACTTCTGTAGCGTCGACCAACCGACCCGAACTCATCCCCTCGCAAACGGCACCAGACCGCTCGAAAAGTTGGGGCCCCTCGCAAGAAGCGGCGTGTCGACACATCTGATGAAGACTCGGACGGCTCGTCCAGTGCCTCAGAGTCCGATGTAGAGACCATTGTTGGCGACGTTGCCGAGGAGTCTGGTGACGATGAGGGTGACGAGGCCGTGATGGGTCGCGGGGGCCGGAGGGGAGCGAAGACGAAAGCGAAAAAGATTGTCAATAAAAAGAAGAACAAGGCGGGGAAGAAGTCTGAAGGGGCAAACGCGAAGAGCGACCAGATGGACGTTGATGGCTCATCGTAGGAGGATTAGCGACATCTTGCTGGCATGGTCGTGCGCTTTGACGTCGTAATTATTTTCTTACTTTTGCGGATTTCGGGCTCTATATACGCTCCATCAATACTTTGATTGCTATTATATGTATGGTTACTCCTGATGATCCAGGTCCAGTCAAGCTTCACAGGTACATATCACTGTACATTGAGCTAGCCGAAGGCTTTACAGAATCGTTCTATGACCTTGACAAGATTTACAGCTCCCCAGCATTGTCCAAGCCTGCCCCTCGTCGGATTCTGAGCAGCTCCTCGCGCGTAATTCTCTGAAGTTTCCATGCAGTCAGTACCATCCTCGTCGAAGGTTGTTATGACGCACGCTTTTATCACAAAGAGCTCTGAAGATGGACTCGGATTCATCAAAGAGATCAAGAGGCGAGTCGAACTCAGCGACTTTGCCAGCGTCCATGACTAGTATACGGTCGTAGTACGCCACCGTCTGCAGTCTATGTGCGATTGAGATAATCTACAATTGCCAGCATTGTCAGTATCAGATTCATCAGCTGCCTTCCTTGTACACACAGTTGTATTCGAGAACTGTGACTGGATGATCCTCTGGATGAGGGCATCTGTTCTCGGGTCGACCGAAGATGTGGCTTCGTCAAGTAAGAGTACTCTGCACCCTCTCACTAATGCCCTTACTAGCGCCACTGTAGATATCTCATCAGCATCGGGCATTTGACCGAGCTAGGTCCTTACAAAGCTGTCTTTCTCCCGCACTGAAGTTTGAGCCTTCGTTCCCAACCATCGCATCTAGCCCAAACTTAGCTCGGAGATCAGAGGAAGAGTCACCAGCATGTATGAGATTGAGCGCGTCGTTCATTTCGGCGTCCGTGTGAGTGTTGGATGGATCGATGTTTTCGCGGACAGTACCTCCAAACAAGAACGTATCTTGGGGGATAATAGACAAGCGTTGTCTCAACTGCCACACTGATCAGAACCTAGCGATTGTGTCACGGCTACAGCAGTAATTTACTCACAGTATCAAGACCGAGGCCTTGCAGATCTCTATCGTCAATGACGATCTTACCACCTGATAGCTCAACTGTCCTGAAGAGGGCCTGAGCAATACCACTTTTTCCAGCTCCAGTCCGCCCTATCACGCCGATTTTCTCTCCCGGGTGAATATCGAAGTTCAGCCCCTTGAGAACAAGTGGAAGATCTGGCCGATATCTGAGTTGGACGTCCCGGAACGATATGGCACCATGAGACGGCCATGGGTCAGAGGGTGCCGGATCGGAGGGCAGAGATGGGGAGGCTTCCGTGGGAAGCGCGCCATAGTGTTGAACTCGTTCTACGTTATTCTGTAACAAATGAGCGTCGACTCTTTTTCAATTTCGTCAGCGCATAGAGAGACGATTCACCATTTCTTGTTCGACCTCCGCCACCCAACCAATCAGTCCCGTTAAAGCTGATAGGTGTTCAGCGAAGACTCATCGTCGAGGTGGGTGTGTTTGCCGGAATGGCAGTTCACTTACCTGATGATGTAGCGATAACGTAAGTCAGTACAACCCCAAACTGAGAAGGAGCGACTGTGTTTCGGAAGATCACACCAAATACGGCCACAAACTAGATATGACCTTAGCTCACGACTGTCACCAGTACAACTGAGAACGCGTACCAGAATCAGGAGATAGCTCATGAAATTGATCCGAAGTCCGGCCCAAGAGCCTTGTATAAGTTTCTGTCGGTCGTATCAGCATTTGATTGTTTTGACACCTCAAATCAATCAATGAATGTCGCCCCGAACTTACCCCACACATCACAGTCGTCATTTCCACATCCACTGATTTCTCGAGTCTTTGATTGTAGTTCGACTGCTGATGGAAGGCACGAATGACAGGAAGACCAGCCAGCTATATCGTACGGTCAGTTGGGACTGGACGCGATCGGATTGCGGCTGGCTTACTTGTTCCCCAAAATTTGCGTATACGTGACTTCGTGCCACTGACGACAGTCTCTGTAGATCACGAGTGGTGACTCTGTAGTAGACAAAGGAGACGAACTGTGAGCACAGGAGTCAGCAGGAGGCCGCACCGCAATATATTAGGAGAAAGGATGCGTGACTCACGTCATAGATGTAAACGGGAATGAACAGAAGAGCGATCCATGGATAGACGTAGAGGATCAGGGCAAGCGTTCCAGAGATACTCAGCACAGCACTGCAGAGATAGGGAGTCAGTAATGCTTCACATTCCAAGGCGAGTGGTAGCTAACTTTGCAACGAGATACCATACGTCCGGCAAGCGGTCATCAAGATTTTCGATATCTGTCAGTATCTTGTCAGCATCTTTCAAGATATGGGTTTCAGCTGTACCTTTTGTCAAGCGGTTTATGATACGTCCGGTCTTGTTTTCGAATGTCAGCATGTAGTAGCTTCATGTTCGAGTGAACGATCGATAGGTCGGGGAGTCTTACCGGAGTGCGATGGTGCCAGCCCGTTGGACTTCTGATGACTCCGTTCCATCCTTGATTGAACATGGTGTATGATGCTGCAATTCCAGACAGAAATATTGTATATATGGCACCAAACTGCAAGATGATTAGTAGCTGATCTATGACACGACGACTCGGTGGCCGTACCGCAAAGAGAGCCATCATGGCACCAAGGGCTATGAGTCTGATTAGTGAGAAAGCCAAAGCTGATGATGTTATCCACATAAGAGACAGCTCACCTCCATAGATAGCCATGTATTCGCCTTGTCTAAGACTATCATACTTGTCTTCTGACCAGAAGCCTAAGAACAAGGAGTTGAAAACGGTGGCCGCTTGGGAGAGAAGCAAGAACGACACCACCAAAATAGGCAAAATCCACGAATTGATGGCCTGGCCGTACTTGCGGTAGACTGTCCAGCTGATAGACCCCTCGGCTATCTCCTCGTCTAAGATGAGTTTTGTTTCCTCGACCATCTTAGTTGCAGAAGTAGGGCCAGTCTTTTCGGCGCCTGTATCAGCGTCATCGGCTGTCTGATCTATTGCCCCTTCAACGTCTTCCACCTCAGAAATGCTGCTGGAAGAAGACTCGTGTGTAGTCGATCCAAATTGACTGATCAACGTTTGGAACGTCCCCGTAGTCGCCATCAATTGCTATGATAGTCGTTAGCAGTCAAGTAACGAGAAACAGCTCTACCATTCCAACCTTGTAGCTTCCTTGCTGAATGATGCGCCCATCCCCGTTCTCATCCCTGCCCATGACCAGGATGATGTCGGCAAGATGCAAGATGTCCAGGTGATGGGTCACCAGGACGCGAGTACGACTACTCAGTGGGTCATTGAGAATACAGTTCTGAAGGAGATGATTTCCCACGTGCGCATCGACTGCAGATAATGGATCGTCCAGAAGGACAACAGGGGTCTGCGCGTAGGCAGCTCGAGCAATGCAGATGCGCTGTCGCTGTCCGCCGGAAAGTGTGATACCTCTTTCACCGATTTGAGTCCTTGACGCCTGTCAGCTCAGATATCGTGTCATAGAGCTCAGCTTACAAGATGCCTTGCGGCCACATCTCGACATCACGCCTCAAAGCACATGCTTCAACAACGTCCTCTATGCGAGTTGAATCAACGTCCTCAGGCGAGCAAGAGAAAGTGATGTTGTCTCTGACCGATCCCGACTGTACCCATGCGTGCTGGGGAACTGATGAAGCGCGCATAATCAGCGTCAACATCTAATGAACTGTCCAGGGGAGACGTACCGTAGCTGACGCTACCACCAAACACAACTTCGCCCTCTGTGCGCTTCATCTCATTCAACAGACCCGAGAGAAGTGCCGTTTTGCCAGTAGCCACACTGCCGACTACACACACAAGCGATCCTCGAGGGATCTGCAGATCGATATCTTTCAGAGAGAATGGGATTTTGTCAGTAGCACCCGACGACTTCTCGTTGGGACCGGCGTCGGCGGCGTCATCGGGCTTCTCGTAAGGGGGGAGCTGTTGTTTGCCTTCTTCTTCTTCGACAGTATTCAGTCTTTCGTACTGGAAGCACGCCTTGGCTTCGACTCCATAGTTCGAAGATTCGTCAATCTTGATGTCCTGTTCGAGCTCTTCGGCCTACATAAAGGTCAGGTCTGTCAGGTCTAGAGAGAAGCAAGATATACTGACCTCAAACAACTCAGACAGACGCCCTGCACAGATAGTCAGCATGTATACAATCGTCGGCCCATCCTATGTCCCAATTTCACTTACGAACAGCGACTTTGGCCTCACTGAAACCAGAGATGATTCGTGGGAGCATTGTCAACGGCGTTCTCATGACGTTGAAATATTGCAGAGACGAAAAGATTATAGCAGCATCGAGATCATGACCGCTGAGAGAGTAAGTGATATATGTCACTGCAGCGGAAGTGGTGTCAGCAATGTGAGTTTAGTGAGACTCAGACTTACTGATAGCAGCGAGCGTAGGTATGAAAGCGACAATCATAGTCAGGCTTGACTTTCCAACACAATTGGATTTCAGTTTGTCGAGCTCCTCTTTTCGCATCTCGCCAATCCTGGCAGCCCATATCTTCTCATAAGCATAAAGCTTGACAGCCCCAATGTTGTTGAGAACTTCTGAGAGCAGGCGAACGCGGGTATCGATTATCTCTGTCTGAGCTTTGCGAAGCTTGGAAATGCGTTTGAACATGAAGGTTTTGTATGGGCCGGTCAACGCGAGAACGCCAATACCGACCAAAGCGGAGTATCCCAGAGTGTAAATCAAGAGCGCTGTACCCAGGATGATGAAGAGAGGTGCGGAGGTGATGTCAAGGCTGATGTGACAAAGAGCATCCTGAGCCAATTTTAGCGATCTAAAGCTTTGAGGTTGAAAGCAGCCACATCAAACCTACAATAGACGAGCAGTCTACCGAGACCATAGTCGTCAAGCGGCCATTGGTCATCACTGATCGTGACTTGCTGGAGAGCCTCCTATATGGTGATTAAGCACGGTGTGGCTCGATGGATCAAATGGTCCGTACATGGACTTGCGGGCGATCATGACAATGAGCTATTATGGCGTCGGACCGGAGGTAAGAACGTCCATTCGACTCGGAAACCATAGCGGACTCACAGCAGACCTCAACTTCTTCCCCATCAAATTCGCACCAAACCACGTAGGATACATCAGGAATGATGAAGCAGCGAGCATCGACCACAGTCCAAAAGCAACTCCGAGCATGTATCCAACCGACTTGGGTCGCTGTATGTCGTTAAGATCCAGCCCTGACTTGGTGGCTTGATGGTAATTGTAAGCGGTCGTGAGCTGAGTGATTAGTATCTTCGTGACAAGGGGAGCGGTGAGCCGGAGAACCTCTGCCATGGTATCAGTAACACCCTAATGAATAAGACAATATGTGGCCAGTCGACCGAGGGGGACTCACGAGCCATAGCGTTGACGCTATTGTTATAGGTGAACATCCTCCATATGGTAAAGTACAACGCTTTTGTCAAGCTTCGGTCATACACTCTCCCGTCCTCCAAAATCACGTCTCCGTTTTGTACCTTCTTTTGCATTCTTCTGGAGAGCTTGGTTCCTTCCCGAGATTCATGTTTCTGGGAAGAAGGGTGCACGCGAAGGGAAGGGTCGTAATAGCCAGCTGGCCTCTTGGAAGGAGGTACTCGCCTCATGTAATGTCGCTCGAGTTCATCCCCAAGCTGATGAGCAGTATGAGCGGCCCATACAATTGTAGATGTCTCAGGAAGTGGCCCGAAAGGAGTGGCTACACTTACAGTCTTACTACTGAGATCAGGTGTTATATCCCAGATATCTGTGCAGAAGGTTAGTTGATTCAATCTGGGATCCCGTCTACTGACCGTCTTGTTGAATGGGTCTCGACCACGCAGCCTTGATCATAGGTGCTATCCATTGCAGAAAGAATTTGCCGGCAAAGCTTGCGTTGCTATACGGTAGCGGCTGATTCTTGAAGATCCCCGGCGGTGCAGGGGTGGGCTTGTAGAAGGGAATGATCATGGTTAGAGAGTTGTGTGATGGGTAGGTGGGGCTGCGATCTTCAAGTCTCGGGAAATGGGTCATTTATAACAAGCCATTAGTCCCTTGAGTCACCTTTGCTATCCCAGGGCTTCGTTTCAGCGGGATTTTGCCAGACAAGGCAAGGCATAAGGGACACCACCGAGGCGCCCGAGCTTCTTTCCGGCTCAATTTTTGTTGAAAGAAGCTTGCGCTGTTTTCAGCCCATGCTCCTTTCACAGGCAATCGAAAGGTTTCATGAGGGCAAAGGTTGATCGAGACAAGAGGCAGTTCTCTGTCGCTAAAGGAGGCGCCGCCAAAAGAAGTCCGCGAGTCTGGTGGCCTATTCTTATATGAGCCACTCTGTATCGTAAGCTCAGCTACAGGGAGCAAGGCGTGGAGTGCGAGTGACACGTGCGGCCCCCAGCCAGGTCCACTGATATGCAGTCTTGCCATTCAATGACGACAGCTAAAACAGAGCGCAACACGACGATGATGGTTGTATTATTGTCGAATGCCGAATGAGGAGACTTACGTAATACGCCCCCGATTTCTTTCTCGCCGCTACGAAACGGTTGGTGTACTCGAGTATCTCTGTAGCTTGTTCCCATTTCCACAACCACATCGGTCTCGCCTTACCCTATTCCCAGCCGCAAGATTACCCCACAACAATGGCGGACGAAGAAGTAGACTGGGGAATGGATGAGCAGGAAGACGAATGGCGCGGAGGTGGTCTAGACGATTCCGCGAGGATCGACGACGATGTAATCTCTCTCGAGGGGGGCGATGATGATGGTGAGTTCTTGTCTCGAGGGAGATACAGTATGAGGGCGGCCGGTGGATGCGGTTCTGGGTACTGGGCTGACAAGAGTATTCAGCTCAAGCGTCAAGTACACGTCAACCCGCTACTGGGCTCGGGTCTAAAAATCCACCGACGGGTCCCAAGAAAGGTAGAAAGGGCGAAGTTCCGGGTGGCCCCAGGCAAGGTGCAGACTCTCAGGTCAGTCATTCTCTTCATGTAACTCATGCGGAATGATCAAGCTGCTGACGTTCACGATTCTTGATTGAATATGGTCAATGTAGACTTCGCGCATCAATGCCCAATCCGCCGCTGCCGACTCTGAGAAACCTTCCAACGGCGGAGCCTCCCCCCTTCCTCCCGGATGGACCGCCGTCATGTCCAAATCCCATAACAGACCCTTCTACTTTCACAAAGAAAGCAACCAGACAGCTTGGGATAAGCCCGCTTTCCCTGCTGAGCTCGCGCCCGAGCCACAAGCTGAACCTGTGGAGTCGGGTGCGGAGGTAGAAGCGGCCACTGCTGTACCCGTTGAGCAAAAGGAGATTAAGGAGCGCCTTGTCCCAACTGGCCCTTCCGCGTCACGAAATGTTGCTGCCCAGCCTAGATCCACCCACGCGCCTGTCCCTGCCACCACACCTGCCAATCAAGATGCTGGCAACCAAAATGTTGCCAATGCTTACGCTCGCCGACAGACACAGCCGCCCGCTCCCCAGGGACCAGGTTTTGGTCCTGGGCCGGGAGGCCGAAACGCCCGCGCTCGATCTCCTTTACGAGGCGACAGAGACGGCGATGCCAAAAGGTTCAAGCAGGATAACGGAGGCAGAAGGTCACCTCCGCCCCATCAATCCTTGATCAGAGATGATTCTAGACGTACGTGGCTCTTTCCATTCCCTATAACCACGGCGGGAGAGGGTCAACTGCTTGAGGCTTGGATCTCGGGCTTGCTTCTCGGTTTCACAGGCATATTGCAATGCCGGTAAGGTTCTGTCAGTCCAGCAAGATCGTATTAGTATACGCCTAGCGAGTCGGGCATGGTTCTCATGGCCAGGGCGCTTTGGTTGGTCTCAGCGGCTGACGCCTTGCAACGACGGCCTTTGATGTTGTGTATATTATCGCAGAGTAGCGAGGAAATCCGGTATGGTTCAACGTTCTGAGTTTTCGACATGCTGTGCTCTGGGTGTGCTATCTACGCACTCAACAAGCCCGTGATCCAAAGCCCAAGCCCGAGTCTTATTAGCTTGACCACTCTTCCGCCGGGAGAGAGTGCACGATGCTGTAAAGGGCGATCAGCTTACCTTAATCTATGTCTTCTTTGCCCCTCCCCTTAACCGACTTCTACTTTCGCTGGCGTATCAACACACAGGCCCTCGCCCGTCTCTTACACAATCAAATTCCTCTCTTCCGCCCAACGCGCGTGCACCTGGTATCCCCACAGGACCAGGCGGTCCCGCAACACCTGCTGGCAGCAGATATGACCGAGAGCGCGACCAAGACCGCGAGAGGGATAGGTCTGGGTACGATCGCCCCCCCCATGGAGGTGACAGGCCCATGCCAGAAAGTGGAAGACGCATCGACGTGGGTCTTTTCCCACCCCAGCCCTCAAGGTCATTTGACTGACCCTGTATCAAGCGTCCCAGAGGACCACACCCGCACGTACAAGGAGCCAACTCTGCTCCAATCGCAAATAATCGCTGGGGCAACAACAATGCCGGGGCGGTGGCTGCGGATGGAAATGCCAACCTCGGCAGTAGGAGAACTGGCCCTGAGCAAGAGGCGGAATTTGCCTCGCAACCTGTTCTCACTACGACTTTGAATGTCTTGAAACCTGATCTCATTCCAGCTGCCTCTGCTACGGCCGCGAGCTTGTTGCCCACCAGTGGTGCTCCCGCCTCGGGTGTCGAGACTACGGAAGCCAAACGTGCCCGTCTCAGAGAAGAAGCTCGCACCGCCAAGCTGCTTCTGGACCGCATCGCTCTTGAAGAGGCCAATTTGGAACAAGAAGAGCGCCGGGCCCAAGAGGAACGAAGGCGTGAGCAAGAAGCGCAGAAACTCAGAAAGATCGAAGAGGACCGAAGAAGGGAGGAGCAGGAGAGAAGGAGGGAGGAAGAGCTGAGGTTGAGACAAGAGAGGGAGCCTGAGGAAAGACATAGACTCGAGTATGAGAGGGATATGAGAGAGCGAGAGCGGAGTGCGCCCTTCCCTCCTCCAGGTCTTCGCGATGCCAGGCCAGACTTTAGAGGCGAACGTCCTGATCGTGGATTCTTGCCTCCTCAAGACTCTGCATTTGCCCGCGAGCCTTTGCCTCCTCAAGGTGCGCTCTCGAGAGACGGTCGAAGGGAGGGATGGGACAGGCGCAGAGCGAGCGATGGCTTTGGGCACGGTCCTGGACCCGCCGGAGACTATCCTCCTCCCCCTCTTGGTGAGCGCGAGCGTGTACCTATGCGGGACAGACTCGGCGGCGGTCCCAGGGACCGTGTCCCTTTCGACCAGCAGCAAGCTCCTGGACCATTCGGCCGACGACCCCTTTCACCTCCACCCGGACACCCGTCTTACGATCGCCGCCGCTCGCCCCCTCTCGGAAACTATGGTCCTCGTGGCCCACCTGGGCCTATGCGAGGCGGGCCTCTCGATCACCCCATGCCTCCTCACATGCGGGGCGATGTGAGGGATAGGGATATGAGGGATGTGAGGGATAGAGATTTCCGGGGTAGGGATGTGAGGGGCGGTAGAGAGCCTTTCTTCCCTCCTGGACCTCCCGGAAGAGGGCCAGAGTCGAGGGGAGAGCCTGGATTTGCCGGCCCGCCTCCTAGAGACCTGTTGAGGAGGCTGGGTAAGAGGGTAGACCACCAACTTGCTGAGCCTATGGGCGGTAACCTCGTGAGTATCTTGCAAATTTTTCTTCATCCCACAGCTGACATTATACATATAGCAACGAGATGACCGACGTGATGTTACTCCTCGTCGCGGACCCCAGCAGAACAACAATGCTCAAACGCCACGATCCCGACCGCTCGCCGAGCGCATGTCGGCCGTCGGCTCGCCGTCGACTCCACCTCTACCCCCTACCGCAGACGCGTCGGATCCATCATTGCCCGTTGGCTCGAACGAAGTTCCCTCTGCAGGTGATGTTATCCCTGAACAGCAAGGAAAGGGGCAAGGCCAAGGACAAGACAAGCAGGAAAGAAGACGTGGAGGCAGGAAGAAGAGGGGAGGCCAAGGCGGTAGGAGGGACAGGGGCGGCGGAGGAGGTGGTGGCAGAAATACTGGAAATGGACAGGGTGGGGCGAACGGTGGCGGTGGGGGCGGCGGCGAAGCGTCCGAGGAGAAAAGAGGCGAGGATACTGTCGACCCCGAGGGGCGATAGAGGGATCAAGTTGGTCTGGAGTTGAGTGTAAGAAAAAATTGCAGCCGAACTAAATGACGGTGTGTACAGTATTCGAGTCAAGTACATTGAGATTCAAATGCGACTTATCTGTGATCTTGTTATCGAGCTTTGATATATGGACAGACGATCCTTTTGAACGAGATCGAGCGAGATAATAAGTGGTGGTCGCAACACGTCAAAATGCGATACGATCCAAACTTGTGCATAGATCCCGAGCTGTTCTACACAAATGAGGTCATTGCTTAGGCCAACAGCTCTCTGCTACTCTGTGTCGTACTCAATCCTCTCCTTGCGTAGAGTCATGTTGCAGACGTTGCGAGAGGATCATGGCCGCATCCCTCTCCCTTTTCAGCTGCTCCACCTTTTCGGTCAACGCTTGCACCCTTGCCTCGGACTGCTGAAGCAGCTCCATATCTTCGCGCGATATTGCTCGGAACCTCTCAGTACTTTCATTGAGCTCGATGAACAGGCTCGCGTTCTCTCTAGTCAGCGCGTCACAGTGCTGCAAAAGCTGGGCTCGGGTAATAGGTCCCCTGGATCTTGGAGGAGGAGTGTTCCCATTGTCCACAAAGGTGACGTTTTGACTTCTTGAGCCCCCTTCTCCGCCAGTCGTCCTACCTTGCTGTCCAAAGTCGTCCTCAGTATGATACCGAAAACTGCCTCCCTGTGCAAAGTCGCCCTCAGTGGTATTAAGTCGTGACCTATCTGGGCGGCCCATCCGTCCATCTGCTGGCAACAAGCGTCGATAAGCTGAAGACGATGACCCTGGGACATACTCCCCGCCTGGATAATACTGTCGCATGGAAGGGTCGGTGGTATATTGGTCTTGGTCTTCTCCGGGATCGCGGACAGGGGCCAATCGGGGGTACAACGGATGGCTGCGGTCGAAGAAGTTGGCGTTCTCGTCACCACTCTATCAGGCGAGTCTGATGAGCAAGCGAACAAGCGAGCGAGTCTGCGAGTGTGGAGAAGGATCGAAGCTTGCTTGTATGGTAACGCCGCTATCAGCGATGAGCGGGGGCCGACTTCTGTCCAGATGGTGCAAGAGCTGCTCTCGAGAGAATGAAGCAAAGTCCACAGGTAAAGTGCCTGACGACATGGTCAAAGGTCGTTGTGTAGCTGGTTGTTGGTAACCAGAAGAAGGTCTGCCGCCTGTCGTATCCATTGAAGAGACACTGCCTTCATATCTGTTCTCTTCTTGTTCTGGGTTCATGGTTGACGGACTATGACTGTAATGTGGCTACCTGGCGTATACGAGAGAACGTGGCGAAGACGCTTGTCGTGTGGTTGCAACCGGTACCCATATATACTCTGACACTCACAATAGCACTCTGGCCTCTGTCTGAACTGGCTGAGCTGCAAAAGGACAAGGGTCAGTCTAGAGGTGACACAAGGGAAGGCACCAGGCGGCCTTCTTCACAGGACCTTAGAAGGAAACCCAAATCCCGCTTTAGACTGCAGCTCACACGAACGAACACGGCCTCGTCATAACAGCTCTTCCCCACTTGGGCCCTTCTCGTCTCCATTATGCTGCTCCACTATATTGTGCATATTGCACAGTGGCTTCGATGCCCCCCTTGTCTTCCAACCAGAGGAAAGACAAGCGCGACGGGCTCAGGGGCGACATGACGTAAGCTTGGTCAGGTCGTGAGATTGTTTTCTCTCCCACGTGGCTCTCGCGTGGATTGGTCCCGTTAGCGGGGCAGTGTTTCTTTCTCCCCTTCCTCAAACTCTCGTCATCTTGCCTCTCTTCCATCTCCCCCTATTCTCCCCCCCCCTCGCCCGCCATGGCCCCCTTCTCAGCCCTCGCCTCCAAGCTCAACATCCCCGGCCGCACCACGCAGGACGCCCCCGCCCACCGTCGCCAGAACTCGGGCTCCCTCCTCGCCTCCCCCTCCTCCGCCTCCCGCGAAAACTACTACCACAACAATGCCCGCTCAGCCTCTCCCACCTACTCCGACCAGATGTCATCCAACATGGCACACGGACAGCCCCAGGAGGTCGACTACCGAGGAGACGCCGACCTCGTCCCGCCAGTCGCCCCCTTTGTGCCCGGCGACGGCCTCTCTTCGCGCAGAAGCAGCGTCTCCTTCCTCGGCGACAAGGAGTCGTTGAAGAACCGCGCATCCTCGCTGTCCCTCAACTACGTCCCGGCCAAGTTTTCGCGTCTTCACGTCCAGGGTGACTACTCGCACAGGCAGAAGCTGGGTGGTGGTCGAGACGCGTTCGCCGCCGACGCCTCTCGAATGGGTCAGATGGGTACGGTCGATGATGACGAGGGTATCACATTCCAGTATGGAGCCCATGGGTTGAAGCAAAAGAAGCCCAAACTGGTGTGGAACAGGTTCAAATGGGTGTTGTTCTTCGCGACCAGTGTGGTGAGTGTTTTTTTCTTTCTCGCCATGTCTCGGTGTGACTTATTTCGTACAAGCTCTTCTGCTATGGCATGGGTACCCTCGTTTCTGCCATCCTTGTATGGTTGAACGTGTTCCACCAATCCGATGTCATCCGTGTCGGTAACAGGACGGAACTTATTCGTGAGTCAATCACCTCTGTCAAGACCATAGCTCATGTATCTCAAAGTGTCTACTGTCGCCGCCACCTTGATCCTTTTCACTTCCCTTCTTGGTTTCGCTGGTATCTTCCTCAACAACCGAGCTTTCTTGGCCGTTTTCACACTTTTGCTTTGGGTCGACTTGGGTTTCCTTGTCTCCCCTGGGTACCTGACCTATAAGCAGCGAACCTTCAACCTTGAAGGTAAGATCAACTCGCAATGGTCCAGAGATTTGGGCAACTCGGGTCGATTGAGGATTCAAGACGCGGTGAGTAGGCATTGTTCAACCCGAGTGTGACTGACCCCTATCAGCTCAAATGCTGCGGTTACTTCTCTCCTTTCGTGGAGGCTACCGTTTCGCCTCTCTGTTACTCTCGATCCAACTTCCCAGGTTGCAAGTCACGATATCTCCATCTCGAACGTCACGTGCTAGGCATCTGGTACACCGTGTCATTCGCCCTCGTTCCCGCCCACATCCTCATCATCCTCGCGGGTCTGCTCTGTTCCAACCACGTCACTTACCGATTCGGTAAGGGTCTGACGCCCGAGACCTATCGACTGGATCTCAACAGTATGGCGGTCATCATGGACGAGTATGCTGGGTACGTGAATTCACTGCTTGTATCAAATTTCCTCTGACACGAGTCTAGTCAAATTGCTGCCCAATACGGCCCCGAGATTGCTCAGGAAGCCATGAACCAATCATCCGTCAACCTCGCCAACCCCCGCTCCGAGTACGACTCATCCCTCCTGTCCGTCCCCAACTCTCGCCGCGGGTCTTCCTCCAACCTCGAGGCCCTCCGCCGGGGTGGCAACCTCCCGGGCTCGACGCGTGGTACGTCATTATACGACCCCACGAACCCTCGGGCCAGTGTGGACTACAGCAGGGGCAGTCAATTTGGCTTGAGTGGTCTCGCGTCGGAAGGGGCTACGAGAGACTCTTTCAGTGCTGCTGGAAGCGGTCAGCATCACGGGAACAACTCTGTGGCCTCTCTCTCGTCTAGCGACGAGCAACGTCGCCGCATCTAAACCCTCGCGCGTTGTTGAGATCTGCTAGCTAAACGATAGAGCAAGGGGGCGCGTGTCATGTGTACACATACGGACTTTTTTTTCTTCCACAAGGCAAGGAGGGTACACGGGAACCAGATCGACCTGGTCATTCTATATAACCTTCTTTCTCGCCCACTTTCCCTTATGTCTCACGAACCAAAACCATTATTTTCTCAGTACATTTTCACGTAGAACACGACCTTTGAGTGTAGTTTGATACATTATTATATAAGCCGCTTTGTTATGAATACCCCGACGTGTCATAGTCTCAGCGGATCGGCCGCATGGGCCGCTTCTTCAGTCATCCCTGATTCCGATCTCAGCTCTACCAAATCGGTACGGGCCAGTCCCTGAGATTGCTCGTCAATGTCAAATCAACACTGCTTATACTGTATATATGCACCTACACCCTTATCACACAATTTGCGGAAGATGGAAACCGACCTGTCGTACAGCTGAAGTGGAGAGTCAAACTCTGCCATCGCCCCTGCGTCCATCACCATGATCCTATCGCAGTATGCAACGGTCTGGATCCTGTGTGCGATGGAGATGACCTGTTTCAAAGAATGAGCGAGAGATCAAAAGACCTGCGCGTGATGAGAACAGCCTCACGGTGACGCCTGCGAAATGCTTGTTGATGATGCTTCGGATCAAAGCATCTGTCTCAAAGTCCACTGACGATGTAGCTTCACCGAGCACGAGGATTTTGCTATGTCTGTTCAAAGCCCTCACCAATGCCACTGCGTTGTGATCAGTAATTGAAGAACAGTTGGGGTCGTTTATGAAATCACTCACAAAGTTGTTTCTCTCCCGTACTGAAATTGGAGCCTCCATCTTTGACTACCGCATCGAGTCGGAATTTGCTCTTCAACTTGTCGGAAGCATTCACGCAGACGATATTGATACTGTCGCTCAGTTCTGCGTCTGATCTTGTACCTGTAGGATCGATATTGTCCCGTACAGTACCACCGAAAACGAAGGCTTCTTGGGGAATGACGGAAAGGCGTTGTCGGAGCTATCAGAGCGGTCAATATCTGCCCAGTCTGGCGAGCCTGCCAAGAGCGGCTCACAGTATCGACCCCTAGGTTTCTTATGTCCCTCCCATCGATGTCAATTCGTCCATCGGAGATCTCCACAGTCCTGAAAAGGGCTTGGGTAATGCTGCTCTTTCCCGCCCCAGTCCTGCCCATGACCCCAATCTTTTCGCCTGGTTTTATATCAAAAGACAATCCTCGAAGTGCCAGAGGTAGATCGGAACGGTATCTCAGATTGACGTTGTGGAACGATATGGCGCCTTGAGCAGGCCAAGAAGTGGATGGATTGGGGTCCGAGGGCAGTTGGGGAGGTCCTTCCGGAGAAAGATCACCATAGCTCAGTATTCGTTCAACGTTGTTCTAGGGCGAGTAAGCCTCTCATGTTGCCATGCAGCAATTCCCCGAAAGACGCACCATTTGCTGTTCGATTTCAGTCATCAGCGCGATGATACTTGTAAGAGCTGTCCAAAGTCAGTATCTGGCTTTCTCTTAGAGGACAGTAGAAGGGACATACTGGATGCTGTAGCGATCACGTAAGTCAGAACCACACCAAATCTAGACGGGGGTACCGTGTGTCTGAACATGACGCCGAACACGGCCACGGACTGAGATTGATATCAGTTTTGTACTTGCAAAGACTGACCGAGGATACGTACCAGAATCAAGAGATAGCTCACGAAACTTATGCGGATGCCTGTCCAGCGACCCTGGGCGAAGTTCTGTGTAGTTTGTGAGCAACCTGTGACATGGCCGGTGCAACCACTCACCCCACACATGACAGTTGCAAGCTCGGTGTCTATCGATTCCCCAAGTCTCAATTCGAAGTTCTCTTGTTGGCGGAAAGCTCTGATAACGGACGATCCAGAGAGCTGATAATGCACCGTCAGTCTGGTTACGAAAGCGCACATGTAAGGACGCACCTGTTCTCCGAAATTGGAATATACGTGACTCCTCGCTGTGGATGCCAATCGCACGAGATCGCGAGTTGTCACCCTGTAGTATGAAAAAGCTAGATACTAGGTGATGCCGAGTCAGCCAACTTGCTTAAGAAGCTAAAAGGCTCGAGACTCACATTGAAAAGTAGGACAGGGATGAACAACAAAGCAATCCACGGATAGACGTAGAGTATCAGACCAAACGTCCCCGCAATACTAAGAGCAGCACTTTCCCACTGATTAGTAAACCAGAGACATAGTGAAGACCTATATCTCCATACTCACCTTGCGACCAGATACCATACGTCTGAGAGACGGTCGTCAATGTTTTCAGTGTCTGCGTTGCGATCAGCTGGATGTGTCAAAACATGCAGAAGCCTTCCCTACCTTTGCTGAGACGGTTGATGATGCGACCAGTCTGCCGAGGGGTTAGTAACTACTCTATTATGACTGGAACAAGTCTGTGTATACTCACTGGTGTGCGATCATGCCAAGAACTAGAGCTTCTAATGACACCACTCCAAGCTCGATTGAACAAAGTGTATGAAGCGCCTATCCCAGCGAGCAAGGTGGTGAAAATGGCACCAAGCTGTCCGCATCGTCAATGAGGCGCCAATATGAAGGATGAACGCACAGAAAACAGAGCCATCATAGCTCCAAGCCCTGGATGTGTTATCAGCGACATGCCCCAGTTTGACGACTCTCATTAGGATACACGTACCGCCATAGATGCTCATATACCTGCCTTGTGTGAGGCCGTCATACTTGTCCTCAGACCAAAACCCCAAGAACACCGTATTGTAGACTGTCGCCGCTTGGGATAGAAGGAGAAAAGCTAAGATAAGTAAAGGAAAAGGCCAAGGCCTGATGGCTTGGGCATATCTGCGATAGACTTCCCAGCCGATAAATCCCTGGGCTTTCTCTTCCTCCAGTACGAGTTTGGGGTTTTCTGGTGTTGCTTGGTGTTCAATGCCTTGATCATCCTTCAGAAGAGCTTCTTCAATCTGCTTCGGGGTAGGGACCATCGAGGCTTTCCGGTCTACTGGCGTTTGGGCGCGGGAGTTGACGGCGGAGCCGAATCGGCTGATCAGGTTCTGAAAAGCCCCGGGTTGGTTCAAAAGCTCCTGGAAGACGGTCAGTTAAGGTACACATCGGCTTTGGCTACATACCTCGTAACTTCCCTGCTGAAAGATCCGCCCAGATCCATCCTCACCTTGGTTCATGACGAGCACCATATCGGCATAGGGCAAAACCTCCAGTGAATGAGTTACGAGTAGCCTCGTGCGGTCGGCCAGTGTACCCAGGATGCAATGTTGAACAAGATGCTCGCTGACATGGGCATCGACAGCGGATAATGGGTCGTCGAGGAGTACGACAGATGTCTGGGCGTATGTTGCGCGCGCAATACAAAGACGCTGCCGCTGCCCGCCAGAGAGGGTCACGCCTCTTTCGCCGATGTACGTCCTGTGTATGAAATCAGAACACTCCCATTGAACCAAGCAAGAACATACAGAACTCCTTGAGGCATCATAGCTAGATCACTTCTTAAAGCACAAGCGTTAATAACTTCTTCCAAACGCTTGTCGTCAATGTCTTCGGGCGAACAAGAGAACGTGATAATATCGCGTATGGTACCAGATTGAACCCAGTCGTGTTGGGGCACTACGGTAGCAGTTTAGTAGCCGGCCCATAGGGATAGAATGGAGAGCTTACCGTAGCTGACCGTCCCGCCAAACACAACGTCACCCTTAGTCATTTTCATCTCCTTGATAAGTCCCTTCAGAAGAGCGCTTTTCCCCGCCCCTATAGGGCCCAATATACAGACCAGGCATCCTCGAGGTATACGCAAGTCGATGTCTTTGAGGGTGAAAGACTTATCTCTTGCGATGACATCGCTGGCAGCTGTTGGTGAGGGCACGGCTTCTTGTACATGGCCATGGCGTCTGTGGGATGGGGACGCCTGAGGCGCTGAAGAGTCGCATTGGAACTCGGCGTCCTCTACAACCAATCCGTATGGCGAAGCTGGATCAATCTCGATATCTCCCTCATGTTCTTCTGCCTTTCTCATATATGTCAGCTCTTGATAGACCACAATCGTTTTCACTCACCTCGAACAATTTCGATAATCTTTCTACATAGCTCATCAGTATGTCGACTGCCAGGATATCGGACGATACTTACCCACAGCAACCTTGGCTTCGCTCAAAGCTGACAAGGATTGCGGCAGAAGAGTGATAGGCGCCCTCAGTACGTTAAAGTATTGCAGTGCCGCAAAGACTATCCCCGCATCGAGCTCGTGCCCACTCAGAGAGTATGTTACAAACGTCACTACCCCGTCGTTGGCTATTGAGACTATACAAGACAAGAGAGACAGGACCCACTGATAGCCGCCAATGTGGGTACAAACCCCATAAACATGCTCAGCCCCGCCTTCCCCCAACTATTCGCCCTCAACCTATCCAACTCCTCCTTCCTCATCCCCTCGACCTTTCTCTCCCATATCGACTCCCAGCCGTACATCTTGACCGCCTTCATCCTACCCAGCACCTCCCCCAATACTTTGACTCTCCGATCCACAATCCCGCTCTGTTCCTTCTTCAACCTCGAGATCCTCTGAAACATGTACACTTTGAGCGGGCCGGCGAAAAAGAGGACGAGCAGACCCGAGAGGGCGGAGGGTCCGATGGTGTGGATGAGGAGGGTGACACCGAGGATGAGGGAGAGAGGGGTGGCGGTGATGTCGAGGGTGTTTGTGCAGAATCGTTCCTGTGCCATGTGTCAGTCATTGGGGAAAAAGGGTTGGAAATGGCTTACGATGGCAGAGCAGTCTACGGAAAGCATGGTGGTCAGCCGGCCGTCGGTCATCTCCAATCTTGATCTTCCAGACAGTCTCCTACACCCACATCAGTGACATCCTTGCCGGACATAACCTGCTCACGTGGATTTGCGCCCAATCATCATGACAAGCTACCACTTTTCGTTACTATCCATCCCTGCTTTGTAAACAAAAAGCACTTACAGCAGAACTCAGCTTCTTGCCCATGATAGCCGCTTCGAACCAAGTATGGTAAAGCAACAATGTAGCCACCAACAACATTGCCCAAAGTCCTACCGCCACACCGACCATGAACCCCACCGACCTTGGTTGTTCTAGACCTTCGAGTGATCGATCGTGTATTTGGCTGGAGAGAGAGGCTTGATGTAAAGTGTGAGAGGTGGTCAGGGAGGTTATGAGGAGTTTTGTCGTCAGCGGTGCTGTGAGGCGTAGGATTTCTGATTGCAAACGAAGTCAGCTGTAATGCTTGAGTGCTTGAGATGGGAGCTCACGGGCGATGCTGTTCATGGAGTTATTGTACACCATCAGCTTCCAGACCGTCAAGAACATTGCCTTGGCCAAGCTCATATCATAAACTTCATCATCTTCAAGTAAGATACGGTCTTTCCGGATCTTCTTCTTGCCTTTCCTGTAAACTTTTGAGGTTTGGCGTTCGATGTATTCTTGGTGATACGGAGCAGGGTCGTCGTGTGAGTTTGATGTTTGGCGGTATATATCGGGTCGCCTAGAGGGAGGGAGACGGGCCATGTATTGGGCTTCCAGCGCATCTCCGAGCTATCACGCAATCAGCACTGCACTATCCCTCGTAGCGGAATCTCTCACTTACGGTCTTACTTTTCAGATCGTCCGTTAAACTGTACACATCTGGACTTAACCATCAGCCCCATTGCATGTTCAAAACACACAGGTTCTGAGATACTCGCCTTCCTGATCGATTCGCCGCGACCAAGCAATTTTGACGATGGGCGTTATCCAGTGTACGAAGAATTTGCTTGCAAAGCTTGCGTTGCTGTATGTGAGATACTGTTTTTGGAATGTTGCCAAAGGGGCAGGGGTGGGGTGGTAGCCAGGCAGACTCATTTCTCGAAAAGTGTTTTTGAGACGGAGGCGAAAGAAGTTGGTTGTGTAGATGAGTAAGATGGAAATGGGTGCGTAGCGGCCCTCAAAGGGTATGACTACCGGCTGAAGGCCAGTTCACAGCCCAGATGCACACGACAGCACATCCTTCGACACTTTCACCTGCCAAAAAGGGCGTCCTTGAGAAGCACGCACAAAGCTACTAATTCAAGCTCGTCGAGAAGACTGCAAGACTCACTGCGCCACCCTTTGTTGTTATCAAGAGAGATCCATTGTGCTGTCCTTTGGGGCGAGCGGGTACTGGTTCATATACAGTCGGTATCGATATTGCGGGAATGCAATTGATGAAAGGCTGCTGCACTACATATTGGTGATGGGGTGATGGTCGGTCACCCACCGGCCGCCGATGAAGCTTTACGTAACCATTCTATGATCTCTTACTTTCGAATTGTTGACAAATTTCAGCTTTATACGCTCATACTCTGCGTTGCACAAAACGGGTTCAACACACAAGATGCCCGTCAATATTCCTAAACACATTCTGCCCTATCTAGAGAGACATCCTCTACAAGCAGGCCCACTTCTCACTTCCGTCAAAGATCTTTCACTTTGTTCGTCACTCTAAGTATTCTCCTTATAATCTTATGCTGATGTACTTGGTTTTCTAGCTGTGGGATGGACGGATATGCGTATAGTGTCTTTGACTGGAGACGCCTCGGAATGGACAGTGATTATTGGCCGCAAACGGAAAGAAGTGAGTATCACTATCGCCAACACCACCTAGGTACTGTGGGAGTCATGAGCAATCAGTAGCTTACATCGTTTCAGGATCCTCTTCGTGCTGCTCTCCCTCTCCCTATACACACAACTTCCCTCCGCCCATCAGCCTTGCGCGCAATCTTCAAAGCACTCGAGTCGTTCGACTACGACTCGCTACCGCCGGTGATGCCGCCCTTTGCGCCCACTCTGGATGAGATGCGGGAAACCCTCGGGGTACAGCTGCCTGTGGACGGAGAATTAGTAGGCGAGGGAACAGGGGCTGATGGAGCGGTGAAAACGGAGGCAGGGGCCGCGAAGGATAATAAAGAGTTTGATAAGGAGACGCTGTATACTGCTATAGTGACCGGTGATTCCACGGTGGTGTACTACAAGATTGCCAAGGGGATCAAGAAGCCGCACGATATACCAGACGAGTAGAGTTTTGCACCAGCCGAGAAGAGATCATAGGTCGATATGTTGTATGAATCTGTAAGACATGAGGTGAAGGGGCAAGCAAGCGGATCATCGTGATCGCGATCATTGTCTGCCTTCCTTGGTGCACCCCCGCTTCTTCAGGCGGAACATGCGAAGAAGGACAAACGAGAAGACCCCTCCCATGCTGTCCACGCCACGAGTCGCCATCTCGGGTCTCCGATTACGAATTGCTTCCTTTCGCGTCTTTATAACCACCACGCTGCCTCCCTCAGTTTCTTCTCCATCCGCCATGTCCCTCCCCGCCTGGCCCCCCGGCCTCACAGAGCACCAGCTCGCAGCCCTCACCACCCAAGCCACCACCTGGGCCCTCTCCCACGGCTTCGTCCTCCTCCCCCCCAGCCCCACCACCCCGCCCACAGCCACCATCTCTGCCCCCCTCTCTCTCCTGCCCACCCCGTTCCCCCGCCAGCTCTTCGACCTCGCCGTCTCCCTCCAGCCCCTCTACAATGCTCTCTATGCTAGGATTGCGTTGGACTGGGAGTTTCTGGACAGGGTGATGGGCGGCTCGGTCAGCAAGGTCGATGATTTCCAGGGCGAGCTTTGGAGGGGGTGGAAGGCTGTGAGAGACGAACTCGTGCAGGAAAAGCAGCTGGGAATCTTTAGGAGTGACTATCTCTTGCATGAAGAAGAGGAGGGACTGGGTATCAAGCAGGTCGAGTTCAACACTATCGCAGCGAGTTTCGGCGCGCTCAGTCAGAAGGCAGGAGAATTGCACAAGTGGGTCTCTAACGTTATCTGAGGTCATATACTAATACTCTCTAGGTACCTTGCAAAGAGCTCCAAGCAGTACTACAACATCTCCTCTCATCTTTCCTCCCCCGAAAACTTTCCTCAGAACGAGCCTCTGAAGCACCTTGCTGCCGGTCTGGCCGCCGGCTGGAAAGCTTTCGGTGACGACGAGGCTGTTGTCCTCTTCGTGGTGCAAGATGGCGAGAGGAATGTCTTTGATCAACGCTGGTTAGAATACGAGCTTTTGGAGACGTAAGTTTCCCCCAACCAGTAATGAGTCAACTGACGCCTCCTTAGCCACGGCATCCACTCTATCCGCCAGACCTTCTCTCAGCTCGCTTCCCTCTCCTCCTCCTCCTCCTCTTCTACCGACCTCATCATTCCAGGCCCTCCGTCCCGGCGAGTCGCAGTCATCTACTACCGCTCCGCCTACACCCCCACCGACTACCCCTCCTCCGCCGAATGGTCAACCCGTGTCTTCTTGGAAAAGACCAGCGCCATCAAATGTCCCTCCATGGCGCTCCAGCTCGCTGGCGCCAAGAAGATTCAACAAGTCCTCACCGAGGAAGGTGTCCTCGAAGACTTTTTGCTCGGGGAAGGCCGGCCGGATGTTGGCTTTGGCTCAGGCAAAGGTAGTGTGACGAAAGCAGATGTGGACAATCTGCGTAAAACGTGGATAGGTCTTTACCCCATGGACTCTTCTCCCCTCGGCCAAACTGCGCTGTCCCTCGCGCTCTCCCAGCCTGAGCGATACGTGCTCAAACCCCAACGCGAAGGCGGCGGCAACAACATCTACCGTACCGATATCCCACCCTTCCTCCAATCCCTCTCTGCCACCCCTGTCAAAGAAGGCGAACCAGAGAGGAAGGAAGGATACGTGCTGATGGAGCTGATAGAACCGCCGAAGGGGGTGGAGAACTGGTTGGTGAGGGGAGGGGATGTGAAGCCCAGGAGGGCGGATGTGGTGAGCGAGCTGGGCGTTTACGGGGTGGCCTTGTTTGGAGGGAATGCGACGGCGGTCAATGAAGGTGCTGGGACGTTGTTAAGGACCAAGGGTAGGGAGAGTGACGAGGGAGGTGTTGCTATCGGAATCTCGTCTATCGACAGTCCTTTGCTTGTCTAGAGAGGGTTGTTCGCATGTGTATAGATGGTGTGCATATAGCTATGAATACATCATGGATGAACAGGGTGGGTACATCGCGTATCTTTGGTATGAAAAGTGCATGCTTGGTATACATAGATTGTACAATGGATCGCGAGGCGCTCATGTAAAGTAAGCCGATGAAGGGTCATCTTCGTCATCTTCCACGATCCGATGCAGTCCTGGTTCTTCTTCGTCGTCGCTTTCATTAGGGAGAGGTAGTATCAGTCGGAACCTGCATGACGGTCAGTATACCAGTCGACAAGATGGGCAGGACGAACGTACGCATCCTTCTCGTTGCTGTAAAACCGCCACAGCCTCTTCTCCCTCAAAAACCCCATCCCATCATACAAAGCCAAACTCCCATCATTATCAAACTCTGTCTCCAGCATGACTTCCTGTGCCCCTTTCCGGTGCATCTCCTCGATAGTGATATCCACCAACTTTCTCGCGATCCCCCGGCGCCGGTACGAAGGGTGCACGGAGAGCATGGCAATGTAGCCGCGGTATTTGCGCCGGTGGTTGTCGAGTTTTGAAATGACTGTTGCTATAGGCTGTTCGCCTGGAGATGGTCTTGACGTAGGGAAGACGACCCATGTAAGATCTGGCCAGTCATAGAGAAAGTATCTATATGTATACACTGGAATCTTTGTCAGCTCTCATCTCTCAGACGACTTCATGACGTCGTACCGTTATACGGCTCCGACAGCTCCGTTTCTACCAGTTTAATGACTCCCTCCAGATCTTCCTCTTCTGACCGGAAAGTCCGATACCAGAGCTCCCCGCCTTTCGAGTCTACCATCCGCGTAAGAGGCTGCTCGGCTGCCTTGCCTTTACCCTTCTTTGGGCTGCTAGCATACTTTTCCATCGCCTGTTTCGCGCTCAGACTGAGGGATTGAAAATCTGCGGACGCTTCTCCTTCCGACTCGCCTAGTTCTGACAAGGCATTAGGTGGTCGTTCGACCCCTGGCCGAGGAGGGACGGGTGGAGGGGCAGAAGACTGTAAAGCTGATGAAGATGGACCGGAAGCCGTGGCCGTTTGGGGGATGTTTGCCGCTATTTCTTGGATGGGTGGCGGAGATGTATGAGCTTGGAAAGTCATTGTGGTGGCTGGTATATGCGTTTATTATTGTGCGTTTTCGTCTTGCAGAGAAACGAGATTGGAAGGCGGAGGGCCGACGCGGCGGTGTCCGCTCCCCACGTGGGTTTCTGTCAACACTCGGCGTCACTTGCAAGCTTGCGAGGTGTAGTCGAGATGAGCAAGTTATGCAGCCCTATGGACAATTGATCGCAATCCAAGTGGCGTGATTATCCGAATTCATGTGTGACGAGACCGACTCTAGCGATACAATATTCTGAATAAAACCCAGCTCATACCTGGACGAGGCACCCGAAGATATCTAACAGATGAACAAAAGATTGGTATCCATGGCTGCACCTTCGTCAGCACAATCACTCACTGAAGATGGAGATGACTTACGATGACTCGCGGACAGCTGCGGCTTCTGGTCATACTTGCCCTTCAGCTCGTCTCTGATAGTATTCAAGAGCTGCACGTAGCTCTGCTGCTGATACTTTGTCAAAGCCGCAATAAAGGCATAGGACATGGCACCCGTAGCCCTGCCCGCCTCTTGCGTATCGGCACTAGTCTGCGAATCCTTGCATCCCGACCACATGATGACATCAGCCGGCGAAGTCTTGGACTGCTTGGTCTTCTCTGCCGCGCCCGAGTTGTTGTTGTACACCTTTTTGCCGATGCCCATAATGCCGCTGAGCATGCCGCTAGTGTCGCCCTTGAGGTATGACATGCCGGCGGAGAGGAGGCCGGAGCCGGCTTCGGCGAGAAGGTTGGGCTCCTTGATGACACCTTCGGTGGAGTAGACGTAGGGGAGATCGAGGGCTGTACCAGAGTGACAGCTGTCTAGGGGTTAGCATTCTGCTTGATACTCTTGAGAAGGACGCACGAGTCAAAGATGGCAGTCAGACGACAACCAGCAGGAAGAGGTTTCACCATGATGTCGTGCACTGTTACCGTTAGCCTTCCGTCACTGGCCAACAGACAAACAAAAGAGACTCACTCTCATCGTCGACAATATGCCCAGACTGCTTGAAATCCAAAGGATAAACCGTCTCGTCAAACCCATCATCTTCATCTCCATTCAAGTCTTCCGTCTGACCGCCATGTCCAGAGCTAACACCTCCTATCAGCGTCGGCTCCCCAAAATAATAACTCAAGAACTTACTAGTGGAAAAAGAGAGAGTCGTTAGGCGACGCCCCGCTGACCAACCACCGCATAGCAGCAATCATATTCGCTCGGGTAGGGATCTGGCGGGTGTTGCGGGCGTCGTCAGTGAGCATGACAATGTCTTCAGATTTGTAGCCGTATCGTTCTGCATACAAGTCTCGTCAGTTTCCTATCCTTCCAATAGCGGGGAGAAGAGCATACCGATCAAGAACTTTTGCACATTGTGCGCGTCGTTGATACATCCCGCAAGGGCAGAGGAAGTGCCGATATAGTTGATACCAATCTGTAAACAAGCACACAGCATCAGCCTTTCGTCCACGTGTCCAGCTTGTATTCCTCCGGCCGCCATCTCGGGGAAGAGGGATGACAAAGCCAATAGCCCGGGTCGAGTGAGAGGAAGACTTACACAGAGCGCCTTCTTCTTACCAGTACACTGAGAGTACTGGAAGTACGGCTGGGCCTGCTGTCCGCTCTGTCCCTGGAACTGGGGTCCATAGTGTTGACTCTGCGTCGGGGGCCGGGCTGTTTATCAGCATCAGCTCTGCTCGCAAGCCCTTCTCCACGCCAAGAATGTCGCAGCAAGCGACCAGTAAAGCGAGGGAAACAACATACCAGGCATCCCCTGATTACCATACGGCGCAAACTGTCCCTGCGGCTGGGACGGAGGCATGTACCCCGCACCCGTCTGGTGATAGCTGCTCTCCACTGGCGCGTTTGTCGGGGGCACGTACCCGCCCGACTGGCGATAGTTGCCCTGCTGTGGCTGCGAGTGCTGTTGCTGGTATCCTCCGCCGCTGGAATATCCGCCTGAGGGGGCCGAGTATTGTTGGGGAGGAGGTGGGTTATTGTGGTAGCCACCTTGCATCTGCATAGGAGGAGGTGGGGGTCGGCCGTAGCTGGAGATGGGTTAGCTATCGAAAGAGTCGGGTCTTGATAACGTACCCCTGAGCGCCCATGGGAGGGGGAGGGTTGTTCTGCCATTGCTGCTGGTGGGGAGGTTGGTAGCCGTAGCCACCTTGCTGCTGGTGCCCGCCACCGGGATACTGGTTCCACGACATTGTATTGATTGACGGTGGAAGAGAAAGGAGAGATGAGATGGAGAAAATGGACGGCCGCGTCAAGCTTGGCTCAAGTCAGGTTATTCCAGAATGCGGGCAGTGCCGAGGGTGGCAACATTGCAATGATTCTTATCCGTTATACATTGCCCTCTGTCTGCACTGGAGTGAGGCAGAAGAGCACGAGAGCAGCCGCACGATGCATTGGAATGATATGATTGTACAAGTGAACTCCGTGCCCTCCAACTCCAAATTCTGCTCTCGCTTATAAAAGTGATACTGCTTTTCTATCTTTCTGCCCCGTTCTTCCTCAACCATTACTTCTTGTCCTTCTTGGCGTGAAGAGGTGTCCCGATGAGGTTCTTGGCTCCTCTCAGCTTGACGTTGAGCTTGCGCTCGAGCTTGCCGAGGAGGGCCTGGTCGGGGACAGCACGGCCGGTTTCGAGGTCGGCAATCTGCAATTGCTTGGTCAGCCACGATTGCAGGTCATGGGGTGGATAGGGGGCTTGGTAGGAGGATGGAAAGCGCGAGGCAGGAGGAAAGGAAACGTACGTCCTGAGGCTTAGCGTTCACCGAAGTCGCGAGCTCCTTCTGAGTCATACTCTTCCCTTCGGCATTCTTGATGGCCATACGACCCAACGCAACAGCCTTACCAACGCTACATCCCTGTCAGCTCTGATCATTCGCACAAAGGACGGTGCAAAGGAGGACGTACTCTACAGAGACCTTCTCAGGGGGTTTAGGGGCGTCATCCCGGTCGAGCTTGGCGATATGTTGGTGGTTGGCAGCTGGGCACAATTCATGAGCATGGTACACCCTATGAAAGCGAATATCACTCACCGCCCTTGGATTGACCGGCACCCTTGGACTCTGAAGAAAGGATGGAGCCGTTACGCTGAGCAACTGTAGCTAAGGATCAACCTCTCTTCCTGACATCCTAATGACAGCACGTACTGTTCAAAGCAGAGCCCTTGGCAACAGTGGGCCTCTGTTGGCGTTGACCAATGATCACAGGTTTGTCGTCCCAGCCAGACTGCAATATCGGAGTTTACATCGGTCAGCACAGCCCCCGAGACACTGTTCAAAGGGCCAGAGGAGGACGCCGACGCACCATGTTGAATGATAATAGGTTTGCGAGCAGGGGGGTGTAGTTTTAGAGATATAGCTTGGAATGGAATGCGATGGAAGTCGAGAGCAAAAGAAACGAGTCGCTGGATGACGATCACCATGACGCCAAATGCCACGTGACCCCGTTCGGTTCCGGTGGGCTTATGTAAGCAGTCCTCGACGCGACGCGTTTCTCTGAAATGGCAGTGACCACTGATCGTCCATCACTCCTTCAGCCGCAATTGCCGGGCACGGACAGCTTTACATTGCCCACGCTGTACACCATCCCTCTTCACACGTCATCACTTTCAACCATCCTGCGCCCTGCGCCCATCTCCTCTTTCATCTCTCTACTCACCCTCACTACACCGCCGCCCCTGCCCTCGCTGACATGGCTCATCAGATGACCGCATGCTCACACGCCATCCCTCTGATGGAGATCCCCCTCTTCCCTGGAACCTTACTAAGAACGCTCCTCGCAACGGGCGCACAGACGTCTGAAAGGCCATGTCAACACCCGGAAGGGGAAATAAAGCTCGGGAAAGGAGGTATGCTGCCCATCTTCCCGCCTGTTCTAGCTCCGCACAGGGCACCGCCGGGGGCTTTATTCGCATAGCCCGTTCCAAGAGTCGGCAGTCGGCGTCACCGGTTTGTTTGGCTTGCCCTGGCTAAAACGGGGATCGATGTGCGTGGTTGACTCAACCATCGCCACTCTATATATCCCCATCTCTCCTCCCTCTCCCTCTTCTTCTTCTTCCTCCCACCACCATGTCTTCCTCGCTCCCCATCCCCCGCTCCTCGCCCACCCTCACTGCCGACTCATCCACCACCGCCTCCTCTCTCCTCGACTCGGCCTCCACCAACACCTCTCACATCTCGTCCTCATCTATCATCCCACCCACCGCCACCCGTCCCTTTGGTGCAGGCTGGAAGTCCTCTGACACCTTACATGCTGAAAAGCCCTCCGATTTCGAGCCGGATAGGACACGCTCTCCAAGCCTGCCCATCTTGCCCTCTGTCAAACCCACCCAACCTTTGTCATATCAGCAAGATCTCCCAGACTACTCGCTCTACACTTCTGCGCCTTCGACTGCGTTTCCCAAACCCGCTTGGGGCTTCGATACTCTCTCACACAAGGCCTCCTTGGGGTCCATCGACATTGAGCTTGGGGGTGGTAGTCCAGGGGGGCATAGTCCCACCCACCGCAACGCCTTCCGACCACCCAGCGCGCTCATTCAACAAAAGTCTACACCCAAGCTCGGCCGGCCTGGTCTGTCCAGCCGCCGGTCTGTCCGATTCGAGGTCGATGAAGATGTTTCTTCCGATGGCAGCGCGTCGGGCAGGGCGTTGAGTGCCAGTCTTCCCGTTCTCCCTAGTGTTGGTGAGGGGCGCAATGGTAAGCCACTTTGGAGTACGAAAAGCCAAACTGATAGCAAGATAGTCTTTATTCATCGCGTCAGCCACACTCTTACCGAAGACGAGCTCCGCCATATCGCCACCGCCTTTGGCGAAGTCGTTTCTGTCAAAGTGCAGCAGACTCGTGCCGCCAAGCCGTGAGCACTCTCCTTTCTCGTCTTGGATACAGCTGACGAGAGGTCAGACATGCATTTGTGATGTTCAAAAAGCCGGAGCGGGCCGCCAAGTTCATGAGCCACCTCAGATCACGCGCAGTAGATTGCGAGTACGGCAAAGTACGTCTCTCTCGTCATCCCCCTTAACGAGCCAACAATCTTTGCAGGAAGACCACCAAGTACAAACAAAAGCCCTCGAAGACCCGCTCTCCGCCAACCTCTACATTGCCGGCCTGCCTCCGTCATTGACGTATGACGCACTCGAAGATCTGTTACTGCCGGGGAAGATTTGCAGTTGGAAACCATTAATGGATGAGGGTGGGAATAGGAGAGGGCCGGTGATGGCTAGGATGCAGACGAGAGTGCAGGCTGAGGCGGTTATCAAGCGGGTGAGTGTTCTTTGCGCTTGATTGGATGTCAAGGAGGGTTGCTGACGAGATCTACAGCTGACGGGAAAGTATTACCCCGGTATGAGTGAGAGACTTCAAGTCCGTATCGCCGATTCTGAGGTAGATTCCCGCATCTCTTCGCGGAACGTTTGAGATTGGCTGACGCGAGACGTAGGAACAAAAACACTTCAAGCGCTACCAGATGCGCGAACGTGTCACTTCTGTCCCTTCTGCTTCTGCTGCCGAGTCTGGACCGATGAGAAGAAGAGCCAGTATGCCTGCCGAGTGCGTCATCTTTGCCACCAGAAATATTCCTAGGAGCTAACTATGTAGCAGGGCTATGCGCCGGGACCTGACCGACCTTTCTCTTTTCCTCCAACAGCAATCTCTCCTCGCGTCTCAGCTCAACGCAATCAACGAGAAACTCGCTTCTTCCCACCTCTCTCCCACACACTCCAATTATCCACATGCCCATCCTCTCAGGCAAGTGCCGTCATTTGCTCCCTCGCCCGTCCCGGGTCCGTTGATGGAAGAAGAAGATGGCGAGTGCCCTGTACTTTCGCCCACCATCTCGACGTATCCCCGCCGTGGATCGTCCAACGCTTCCGTGCTGTCTTCTGCTTCTTACAACGCCAACCTGAGTGACCAGATCTGGGGCGCCAGCACCCCCACCCGCACCCTCGCCGAAGCATGGTCCATCGACCCCTTCGCATTCCCCTCCTCCTCCCCTCCCTTCCCCCACACCCATTACTCACCCCTCCCCATCTTGCCTCTCCCCGCCCCCAGGCCGAGGCTGGGCAGCATGCTCAAGCGCGACTCGGACTCGCAAGTCCCTATATGCTACGACGCGAGTAACGCTGGAGGTGGTAAGGTGCAGATGGAGAGTGGGGTGGGTGGGGTGGGGATGTGGCGTAAAGGGTCGGTGGGGGATATTGGGCTGGGGCTGGATGTTGGACAGGAGAGCAAGATGTCCGAGTGAGAGCTGGTCGGCTGGTCGTCTCCTTCTTTGGCTCTTTTCGTTTCTTCTCGGGATCTTCGTTCGTCTTTCTTTGCTTTTGTGTCTATCTTTCTCCTTCACACTTCTTATTCGAGATACACGGCCTATCATACCCTTCAATACACTATACCAAGTCGTGAGGTTCTTCTATCAGCCTTACGCGCTATCAACACCTTCGTAAGCTATAGCTTCCATCATATGCCTCTGCGCAAGCTCTATCTCCAAGATCTATTCGCTTTTTCTTATATCTATACTTTCTTACTTCGTCTTCTATTGGTCCATAAATTCGGGGCATCATGTAGCCCCGCCCACAAGCCTATAGTCATTCTTCATGTTTATACTTTTCTTTGTATCCTGTTCATCATCTCTTCGCGTCTTTTGGCTCCTTGCTTCACCCAAGGCCTGCGCGCTAGTCTTCAACCTCTATCTCCTACACTTTATTTATCAGTATTGCTTCACTATATCACTACTACCACGCAGAGTCGTACTATATATACAGTATACTATCGAGAGGAAGGTTGGGGTTGTTGTATAATGACGCGGTGAGGGAGGAAGAAGCAGATACATGCATGCTATCATTATACGAATTTTCGGACCTCTCTGCCTTGATGTCGTCTTTGAAAACAAGCCGTGTCCAGAATGGTTGGCAGCTAGCAAAGCCGACAAGTCGGCAACCTTTCAGCCACTATTATGTGCGCTACGGCTATGAGGAAGATCGGGTTACTCATACATGCCCTTGTACCCCCAAAGCGTAATTGCCCGCGGGGTATACATCTCCGATCTCCCGTCTCCTGATCGCCGTGCGTATCCGTGATGGGAGCGCCAGGATATGAAAGGAGGGTCTCGAGTGGGACTCATGCCTGGCCTTATCGGAAGGATGTAGTGCTGACGATATCCTTCCCTGCCCCCCTCTGGCTTGCGCATCTTCTGCAACCTCCCAGATGATCATAATAGTGGTTTAACACGTATCCCAGTATGTCCTAGCATTGGGTGCAAGACATCCGAGTGCATTTATGAGCGGAAAGGAAAGCCACAGCCTGTACAAAATTCCAATATATTTTTGGCTTTTTTGGTACGATACAACTATACACCAACGTCAAAAGAACAATAACAGGTGATAAAAGGCGCAATCAAAGCGGCCGATCTTTTTCAGCGATAGCAGCCTCCGCCCTCGCCCTCAACTCATCCGCCCCCATATCCCCCGTCCCCGTCTGTACACTCAACCCACTCAACGCGCTCGCCCTCGACCTAACCAACTCCAACTCTCCGCCTCCTCTCAACGGCGGCGGTGAGAAATCATGTCCCCCCGGTATAAGCGGCGTGAGGGAAGGCGATGATCGGGGTGGGGAGGGGGTCCGACGGTAGTTTGGTGGGAGCTCGATGATGTGGGTGTTGGGATTTGGCCCTGGTAATTGGATCGTCACGTCTGCACCTGCGCCTCCATCTGCATGCACGACGTAGACATTCCTCATCCTCCCCGGCGAGGCCGGTGGACTTTCCCCTGCTCCTGGAAGAGAATGGAACGACCCCGAGCGATTTTGGTGTTGAAGGAACGGGGTAGGCGGGAGAGGTTGGGTGGGAGGGTTGAATGGGTCGAATCGGGGGCTCGGGGAGGATGGTGCTGGGGCAGAGGGGAAGCGGCCGTGGGAGGATGGACCTGGGCTTGCTGGTAATCTCGGCGAGATGCCCGGTCCCGGCGCAGATCGGCGGGAGATGTAGGACGTTTCTTGTGACTGCCCATTATTTTCCCCTTCGACAGGACGCACCATACCCGTACTCCTCGGCGACCCACTCCCTCTTCTTTGCCCCGCGCCAAAGTCGGCAAGGATGATGTTGTCGCGGTAGTTTCCGCCACCTTGGAGAGGCGGAGATGGGGTGTACGGGTTGACATACTCGCCCGACGAAGAGTGTTGGTGTAAAGGCGGACGAGGAAAAGGCCTCGCAGACGAAATACTCTCCCTCCCCTGCGTCCCGACCGTCCCCGCCGAACCTCGCTTCACATGCCCCTGCGGATACCCGCCCGGCCCGGCCATATGCGGATCGTACAGGGTAGCAGGGGTATCGAATTCGGGTGTATCGTTGGGCAGGAGGGGTTTGGTGTACAGGCTGGCGGTGTTGGAGTGGGCGGTGTGATGGGAGGAGGTACGGTATGGACGGGGGTTGGCGTAGAGGTCTTCTGTGGATTCGGACTGCGCCCTTTGGTCAGTGGAGGGTACATGGGACGGTGGGGGCACATACGCGTTTAGGTCGACGCGGCCGGCGAAAGAGGAAGAATAAGAGTAGCCCCGCACCGAGCGCTCCGACGACGAACGCCCCCGCTACCCCTCCCACCAACGCTCCCAACCCATACCCTGCGGCAGGGTCATCTGCCTCTTCGCCCGTAGCCACCCCAAGACATTTGACATTATCACTGTACCCTGCATGTAACGGTCCATACGCCCATGAATTACCAGCGCTGTCGTACAAGGCGGCCATGAATGCTTGGCCGTGCGTGAGATGGACTGTATAGTTGATGGATGACGTGTCTGAGGAGGTGATGTTGAGCGGAGGGTGTGCGGCGGGGGCGATGAGGAGAGTGTAGGGGGCTGTGCCGTTTTTGGGTGTGAACTGGATATCCGAGCCTACCCTCGAGTCAGCATGGGAAAAAATGAAAAGATATAGCAGGGGACGCACAAGACGGAGGCCAGGCGTTGATGGCAAGGTCGCCAGACACGCCTGTGACTGACACATCGAGTGTCTCGTTTGCAGGGGTGACCCACGACTCGAGCACGTTGGGCGTGCGGCAGGTGGACGAGGTGTTTTGGTAAGCAGCGGCGGTGAGGTCGGCACTGGGGACGACGGTGAACAAGTCCTTACCTGGACGTCAGCAGTGGCACAGTGGGATGACGCGATACGCACTTGGCAGCCGCCAGAGACCGCGTTGGCTGACCACATGCAGGCGATAAACTGCGTGCCGTTGCCCCACGGATGAGCGACCTCTGTCATCTTGTCGAGCTGTCCCAGGCCGACGGTGACAGAGTACACGCGTTCATACTGTATGCCCGCACCGTCATACAGCAGCTCATGGACGAGGGCGACCATGCTGTATGGTCCCTTGGGATCGTCAGTCTTTGCATTGCTGTAGCTGGTCTTGGACACTGCGAGCGGGGAGGGGCAGGTGTATGTGACGGGGAGGACGGGGAGTGCGGTGTTGAGGGCGAACTGGAATGCCTGGATCTGGTCTGTGGCAGCCCACGCTGTCGTCGGGGGCAGCAGGAGGGCGGCGAGGAGGGCCATCCGAGTCCGTAGCGAGCTGAAGCGAGACGGCACTCTCTGCTGCGGCGGAGAAAAGTGGGAAAGGTGTTACGTAAGAGCCTCCGGCTGCCGTCGTGCCTGAGGGATACGGTTATCCGGTCGGGAAAACGTGGGCGGAGGGTGCGGATCGCGGCTGGCGGGCGTGGGAAAGCGGCAGTGGGCGCCTCCACCTTCACCTCCACCCCGTCATCTCCCGAGGGCCGCTCTATATAAACCCAGTGTCATTTTCCTCTCTCATCTCCATCTCCACAATCCACAACACACCCACAACACAATGTCCTCCAGCGAAGTCCCCTTCTTCACCTACGTCCTCGAGCGTCTCAAGCAGTCTGGTGTCAAGCAGATCTTTGGTGTCCCCGGTGACTTTAACCTTGCCGCGTGAGTACATACTCCAGATCTATGCTGGTTATGCATCCAGCTTACCATCCACAGCCTCGACTACATCGAGCAGGACCCCGATGTCCAGTGGGTCGGCAACGCCAACGAGCTCAACGCCGTGAGTACTTTTGCTTTTTCAGCTCACGTCGCCACTAACGTCACCGCTCCAGGCCTACGCGTGCGACGGTTACTCTCGAGTCAAGGGCGGTCTTGCAGTCATTATGACCACCTTTGGTGTCGGTGAACTCTCTGCCCTCTGGTACATCCATCGCCCGCGCTCGATCTGCTCTCGCTGACTCTCCGCAGTGGTATCGCCGGTTGTCTCTCGGAGCGCGTGCCTGTTCTCCACATTGTCGGCGCTCCCTCCACTAAACTCCAGGTATGTCATCCTTATCCACTCCATCCGTTCACATGACTGACCACCGAGACAGGCCAACCAATCGTTGCTCCACCACACCCTGAACCTCCCCGACTCGTTCACCACCTTCTCCACCATGTCGGCTCCTCTCTCTTGCTCCCAGGCTCTCATCAACACGATCGAGCCCTCTACCAACACCGCCTGGACTGAGGCTTTCGACAAGACCCTCAGGGAGGTCCTCGAGCAGTGCCGACCTGGTTACGTCGAGATTCCCACCGACGCTGTCCACCGCAAGGTTTCGGCCGAGGGCTTGAGCCAGCGACTTGTATGTTGTTTCGTCCGATCGCTTGCATCTCGTATCATACTGACCATCCTATCCAGCCCGACCCCGCTTCCGCTCCCCCTGCCGAAGCCGTTGCCACCTCCCTCACTAACAGCGCCGCTTCTGTCGCCGCCCGAAATCACGGTGCCCAGCTCTCCTTGGCCCAGGGCCCTATCGACGCTCCCGTCGCTCCTCCCTCTGACGAGGTCACTGGCCATGTCGTCGATGACATTGCTAGCCGATTCGCCGCTGCCAAGAAGCCCATCATTCTTGTTGATGCTTGTGCCGGCAGGTTTGGTATGGCCAAGGAGGTCAGGAAGCTCGTGGACACTTGCCAGATCCGATTCTTTGAGAGTGAGTGTCTACCCTACTTGCCAGACCCCATACTGACCCCCCTCGTAGCCCCTATGGGTAAGAGTTTGATGGACGAGCACCACCCTCTCTTTGGTGGTTGCTACGCCGGTGCCAACTCTCTCCCCGCCGTCCAGCAAGAGGTCGAGTCTGCCGACTTTGTCCTCTACGTTGGTGCCCTCAAGTCCGACTTCAACTCTGGCTCCTTCTCTGTCAACATTGACCCCAAGATCATTGTCGAGCTCCACTCCTTCACCACCACCATCGGCTACGCCGCCTACCCCACTACCGACATTCGTCACGTCCTTCCCCGCCTTGCTGGTGCCTTCCAGAAGGCCGGCCACCCCAAGGACTCTGAGGGTGCGCACGAGACTGTCGAGCAAAAGGCTGTCGCGCACAGGGTCACTGGCGGTGTGCCCAAGCCCGAGGGTAACGAGATCAAGCACGCTTGGCTCTGGCCCCGAGTTGGCGAGTGGTTTGCCGACACTGGTACGTCTCTTTGTACTTCCATCTATCGATCACAGCTCACTCTTATCCTAGATATCGTCATCACCGAAACCGGCACCTCTTCCTTCGGTCTCACCAACGTCGTCCTCCCCTCCAACTCTACCTATGTCGCCCAAATCCTTTGGGGTTCCATCGGTTGGTCCGTCGGCGCCTGTCTCGGTGCCGCCATGGCCGCCAAGGAAGACCCCCGCGACCGCCGAACCGTCCTCTTTGTCGGTGACGGTTCCCTCCAGCTCACCCTCCAGGAGATCGGTACCATGCTCCGACGAGGCTTGCACCCCTACCTCTTTGTCCTCAACAATGACGGTTACGAAATCGAGCGCCAGATCCACGGTTGGGATGCCGAGTACAATGACATTCAGCCGTACGACCACCAGCTCTTGCTTCCCTTCCTTGCGGGTAAAAAGTGCCCCACGCCCTTCCAGTCGTACGAGGTCCACACCCCCGAGGAGCTCAACAAGCTCTTGTTGGACGAGGACTTTAACAAGCCCGACAGGCTTAGGTTGATTGAGGTCTACATGCCCCGAGGCGATGCGCCCGAAGGTTTGGTCAGGCAGGCCAAGCTGACTGCCGACGCCAACGCCGAGCTCTAATCTGCCCCAATCTTTTCTCTCTACATATCTTACATTGTTGATTAGTTGTTGTAACTCCGAAAAAGGAACCGTGTATAGAGGTTCGAAACAATTAGTTGGCGAAGGAAAGAAGAAGGACAGCAGTACATAGTCTTTGTTTGTCTCAAAAGAATTGTTAATCTTGCGATAAAATGCATCACCCGTCTCAATACACATTGTCTGCATGCTATCTCTTTGTTCTACGAGGCTATGGATATCTGAGGTTCGGTTCCGGCTTCTGCATGATCCCGGCTCGTTTTTAGATGCAGCTAAGACCGAGGAAGGAGGAGCATCACCGAGTCGCATTATATTCAACGCTGACGATCTCAGCAGGGTCAAACCAGGACGTACTCATCAGCTTTTCAGTGCTCAGACTTATTCAAGCTAATAGGAACAGATCATGAAGGCCAGAACCCAGTCGCATGTGACGTGATGGTCTATAAACATTCCTATGCCTTCTCTGCGTCTCACTACTTGTATATCACTGGGGTAATGAACCCATCTACGCTGCTGGCGCTTCTGCGGATCCACCAAGGGGTACGACCATCAGGGGGTTCTGGGTACCCAGATGCTCCTCGCCTCGTATATATGTCTGCACCACCGATCTGCGCCACTCTTGTCAGCAACCCCATCCACGCCCTGGCCGTCTTCTTCACGATATGCACAGAGAAACTCACGAAGTGGCTCGGAAAAGCTCTGGTTTGCTCTTGAGCTCTTGAAAGTCGAACCCTCGCAGCAACACAAACAGCACCACCTTGATCTGCTGCAATGCAAACCGGTAGCCAATGCAGTAACGAGTGCCGCCGACAAAGGTAAAGTTGTTGCCGTAGACTCCGGGAAGCTTGACCTTGTTGGGGTCGTCCTGGAGCCATCGGGAAGGGTTGAACGATTCGCCGTCCGGACCCCAGAGGGCGGAGGAAGTGTTGATCGCAGCCAGAGCTGGAGGCGTTAGTCGAATCCGCGACAGTACAAGTGAGCAAGCTCACGAAGGAACAATTGATCTCCACGCTTCATCTTGACTTCTGTCATCAACTTGCCGTCAGCTCCGACGAGGGGTTGACTGAAGGGGATTATGACGTCGTGTACAACTGTGCGGAAGTAGAGCGAGACGCCGGGTGCGAGCCGGATGGCCTCGCGGATAACGGCTTCAAGGTATGGAAGTTTGTTCAACGTTTCCCTATGTCGGTGTCAGCTCTCGTGGTGGCTGAGAAGACAGTGTATGAGGCTTACGTCGAAGGACGGTCCTCATCAATAGTCAACAGCTCTTTACGCAGTCTGTCCTGGACGTCGGGGTACTGGGTGAGAAAGCGGAGGGTGGCAGAAGCGGCGCTGGAAGTCGTTTCTCCTCCTGCAAGTAGCTACGTGATGTCGTCAGCAATAGGCCCGCTGCGGATTTACAGTAAACAAACAATCGTCAAAATTTGATCGGCAATGTCGTCCTCAGCAAGTCGTTCATTCTCTTTCAAATCGGATGCCATGTTGGATTTGACTACGCAAGTGGTAAGCTCAAGTCCCCACCACCGCCGACACTTACCGAGAAGGGACAGCAGATCTTTGCCAATGTCTTGTCTCTTCTGAACACCTTCTCCCGAAGTGATATCCAGAATCTCTTGAATTCTTTTCCTGGTGAGTGACTAGGGACGATGTCAGGTGATGATGTCTGACGATGAAAAGATACCCGCCCTGGAAAAGTCGATGAGTGTTTGTCGTTTCTCCATGACCATACGGTCCCGGCTCGAGCGCCGCGCCAGAGTGAGCGACCTTTGCCACACACGTTTTGATTCACACTCACCAAGAGGGTGAAGGGAAAGTACTGTTTGAGGATGTACTGCACCCCCAGCTCTGATCCACTTTGAAGGAACGCTTCCGCCAAATCTACCACCATATTCTTCTCCCCAGACAAAGAGTTGAAAACAAATCCAAATCCAGATATGCCGATAATGTCAAAGGCAGCCAAAGTGAGATACTTCAACACGTCGATCTTGGCGCCACCGGCGACAAGTTCGGAAGGCTTGATCGGGGAAGGGGAGGTGACGATCCTGCCTTGGCTGGAGATGAGGTCGCGTAATTTGTCTTTGAGCGCATAAGAGACATCGTAGAAGACTGGAAACATCTCCTTGACTGCCCCTTGGCCAAAGGCCGGGCCCATGATTTTCCTCTGGTTCCTGTGATGATCGCCGGTGCTGAGGATAACCCCCGCACCAACCAGCCTGCCCAGAAACGCCTTGACCACGGGCGGCTTGTCAAAGATATAGGGGTTGTTGACGATGTAAGACAAGGCGGCGGGGTCGATGGTAGAGAGGTCGTGGGAGCCGAATTGCATGCGGTACTTGATAGTGTGGCCATGGGCCTTGTGCCAATCGGCGTGGGCAGAATTTGGGGTGGGTGGAGCAAAGACGCCGGTGATGTTTCCCCAGAAGAAGCTTCCGGGGTCTGGTCCTGTAGATTGTCAGCTTCAGGTGAGGAGAGGGACTGATCAGCCCACCTGGCAAGTTGCGGTAGGCGAGTCTGGCGTAAGCAATGGGGTAGAGCCAGAGATAGCCGGCAAAGGTTAGGATGGCCAGAGATACCGCTGTGAGCTGCAGGGGGGGCAGGGAGGCGATGAGGTGGGCGAGGGTGGCGAAGCGGTCCATGGCTGATAAAAGAAGATGGAAAGGAGGATGAGAAATGGAGATGCAAATACACGGCGTATAGAGGGCGCAGAAGGAGGGTCCGTGAGCCGGGTTTTGGGGTCGTCGCCCGGGTGATATCTCGTCATACAACTTGGTCTCGCACCGGGCCGCCACAAGCATCCTCTGCATCCTCTGCATGCCCTGGCTATCATTGCGGTACCCAACGGTGAATTCAGGGAAAGCATCGCCCTCTTGTACCCCTCCTCACCACTTCTCGACGTCGGGCCTGAGTGTGCGTCAGCTATCATCTCTCATGCCGGACTACGTTTCAATCAACAACAAGACACAGATAGCCCATTGAAACATGACGACCTACCTCAGATCAAGCTCCTGCGTCCAAGCACTCCTCCTCTGCCTCACCAGCCCCACAAACGCATCCGCAATCTCTTCCGTCTGCATCCGGCTACCTTGCTTATCCTCGCCCAGCTTGTCTTTGACAGCACCAGTGTCGATGATGCCGTCTATGACGACATGTGCTACATGGATGCCCTGCGGTCCAAATTCGCGGGCGAGGGATTGGGATAGAGCTCGTCGTGCAAACATGCCGGGCGCCAGGGAAGAGAATGAAGCACCCGCACGGAGCGACATGGTAGCGCCAGTAAAGATGAGGGTACCCTTGCCCTCCCTGCTGGCTGGGTCGGAGGCTGACAAAGAGCGAGGGTCGGGATTCTTCAAGAACCTGGGGATCAACGCTTGGGCAAAGTTCCAGCCGTTGACCACGCCCGAGTCGAGACCACCTTGCAGGTCCTCGATAGAGGAGTCCAAGAAGCTTTTAAGGTTGAATCGCTGATTGACATTATAGACTCCCACATCTAGCTTGCCCTCGGGCCACTTCTTTTCCATCTCCTCAAGCGCCTTTCTCAGACTGCCCACCGAGCCATCGCTGGGCAGTGCCAGTATGTTCTCTTTAGGGATAGAGGCGGGGAGGTTCAGGTTGGGTAGTGAAGTGGGGAGAGAGCGGGATAGGAGTAGGAGAGAGTGGGTGGGCGAGAGGGAGGAGGCGACGGCCGTGGCGAGGCCGGGACCGACACCGAGGATGACAGCGATCTTGCGAGGAGTGGACATGTTTGGGGGAGCACGGGTGGGGTGGCTATCGCGGGGTATGTCGATGAATGCAGGATGAAGAGATGAGAAGCGGGATCTCATGGTCCCTGGTGATGGAGGTCACGGGTGGAGCCCGTCGGCGATGCTTGGTGAATACGTAAGGCCTGCATCCATGCATATGATGATGATGGCCAATGCAAAAATCAGCCATCTACTACCCGTGTAGCCATCAGCCCTATGGGTGGTGTAGAGTAGCTCCATTCATCTCACAGACTCATCGTATGGCATATCGTCACCAAGGTTTCAGTACCCCAAGTACATTATCGCCTTCTTCAACGCTGTTCCTCTTGCCCTGTCTTCTGCCCCAGCCACCCACTCCTTCCCTAATGCCGCCATGAACTGCCGGACTGTATCGAGCATATGTGTAGGGTCAACAAACTCCAAATCCTTGCGTCTTGTCAGCCTGCCGTCTGTCTGACTCTAACAATGGGAAATGTTCAAGCGAGGGTTGGTGCTTACGGAAATGGTAAACAGTTGTCGGCCTTTCATGCTCAGAAGCACAAGAACCTGGTCGAGCTCTTCCTTTGAGAATGCGGCGGGATCGGCAAAACTTGGCGGAGGAGGAGATGGAAAATCGACAGGATCTTCTTCCTCGTCTGAATCTTCATCTTTATTGGTTCCTGGTTCGTGGTCATCTTTCGGATTTGGTAAAGCTGACGAAGCGTCGTGGTCTTCTACACCCTCGGCCTCTTTTCTAATATCTATAAAAGGTCGGTAGCCCCGAGGATGGTCGACGAGATACTTCTCCAGCTTTGTCGAGAGCGGGTGAAAAACATTCGTTCCCTACCCCTCATCAGCCCAGTAGCCCAGTATTGTTTCGAAAGCGAAGATGAAACTCACAGGATCCAATAGAAAACTCGGCCCGAATTCCGACTTGTACTTCATCTTCTGGCAGTCCGGTACCCAGTACCCCATATAAACCCATCCCATTTTGCCTCCGTCTCCTTCTGCCCGTCTGATGCGTTGCGCAAGGCTGACTTCGTACAGCGCGGAAAGCGTGCCGAGAGAGGCCCATGCCCAGGACGGAGACCAGATAAAGTAGACTGAGGAGACACCGGAGGGAGTGATATCGATGACGGAGATGGCAATTACCTGAGAGTCGACTTTGTAGACTGCACCATGTCAGTCAAAGGTGAAGGCTTCAAGGCGACTTACGAAGATGATGAGCTCCATAGTCTTTAGGTAGCCTCTTCTCTTTGATACCCCGAGCACTCGCCTCCCTGTCTTTGTACGGTATCGGCGCGGCGATCAGAGGCCCAGAACAGAGAAATCGATCAAACCCGCGCATTTCCACCTCTGCTGGCTTGTCTTTGTGAATAGCGATTTGGTATTCTTTGTAAAGCTCGAATCGTTCTGCTGTAGCCTCTGCTGGGACCAGCTCAGTCTAAGAATGTTAGCTACATAGTCTGGCTGGTCGAACAGAGGACATACCTCGAAGCGATGAACGGCCTGACTCTCATTGCCATACCCCACCTCATACTCGTGCAGTTCAGCGATGAGATCTCTTTGACCTCCATTCGCTTTACCCTTCCCCTTCTTGTTTCCTCCCGACTTTCCCGTTTGAGCGCCTTTGCCCGCAGCGCCTGGTCCATCCACGACTATGCTCTCCCCAGGCTTCGCCCCCTCGCTCAGGAAACGATTGAAGCGATTGACGACTTGTTTCTGCTTCTTGTTTGGCTTGAAGTTGAGGGCGTCTAGCCGTATGGTATATTGAGGGCAGCAGGTGCGTGCCATATCAGGACTAGGTCAGAGAATGTAAGCCATTGAACCATGCGGGTCGACTGAATGTCAACGTACTGGTACACATATGTGCCCGATCGACGCCAGCCTCGGTCCATGAGCACTTGGTAGAACTATCAAAGAGTCAGTCTCGCAGCCACTACAGGGCAGAGCTTCCAGCTACACACCTCAGTCGTCATCTGCTTCGATATCACTGCACAAACTGCGTTAGCACAGCACATGCACGTTTACCACGCGCGTCGACTCACTACCGTACTTGCTCGACTCTTTCTTGGAACTCCTAACACCAGAAGGACTGCAGTAGCCGCATGTGCCAGACGAGTACCCGTAGGGAGAGAGGATGCTGGGCGCCGACATGGCTAGATGGTTGCCGGTAGATCAATGAAAGAATATCAAGCCTGTAGATGTAGCGTGTCTCGAGCTCGATTGTCGAGGGCAAATGCTTCGGGGGTGACTGCTATCGAAGAACAGAAAGGGAGAGTCAGAAAAGATGAACTAGTAGTCGATGAAATGGCCACTCTTCAAGAGCAGTATCATGGCAGACGAACCGACAGATGGCCGCTGTCATTGAAAGTGGAGGCAGATGGAGAACACGTGACCTAGGCTCGCGCGCGTATGAACGCTATCTTTGTCGTCAAAGAGGTGAGTGTTGCGTCCTCTTGAGGCCTGAGATATGTAGCCGGATGTTCTGATGAGGTCTTCATGCTGCAATATGCGACTACTTCGGCCGCAACATCATTCCCTCTGTTCGTTCTTTTCTCGTCCTCACAAGGATGTCTTTAGTACTCAAACCACTGCTCGGTCAAATCATCATAAATTTGACATCAGGGAGAGTCATCGCCGCTCAAACAATTACTTTATGCCCCGGTCCTGTAGACGAGGTGATCGCTTCTGGATGGTGACGTCGGTCATGGCTGACGATAGCGTCATTCACCTGCCCGCCAATGTCATCATCATTGATGTAACACCGAGATTACTGGATGTACCAGTAGGCATGCACTTGGCATTGATTATTATATGCCTAAAGCCATAATTACATTCGCCCATTCCCAAAACGGTTGACTATCTGTAGCGATGGAACGTGAATCAGAGTTGGGTTCCGCCTCAGAGCCTGTGAGATGGCGGTGCGGCCTGTGTCGTGTAAGAGACTGCGACCTGGGTACCCATAGCTTTAAGCAACATCCACTCACAAACCATGCAATATTCAAACCCCCGTAGGTCCACCAGAGTAATTCCGACTTGGTGATACGATAAAGGGCATGTAACCACGGTGCACCGTAGGCCAAGCATACCAAGAATGGCTATCATCTGCCCGGGCTGTAACACGCGTACCCAGTAGGGATAATCCCAAACGTTTCTTCTGCTATCAGCCAGGGAAATTGGGCAGACCTAGGTCGAAACAGGCAGAACACTCACAGCGCCATCTCACCAAAAACTGCGGGTATCTCAATCGTCGAAGCTCAAGAGTCTATGATATGAGAGCAATGGTCCGCTTCCTTTGAGGGCTGTGGAGTAAGAAACCACAGCACAGTCAAAAGCGGTAACGACTTATATACCGCCGCTCATATTATCAACTGACTGTGGTCGTGTTTGAGGAATAAGGCTTGAAACAACATGCATTGTAACACGAGAAGAAGTAGAAGCCGACCGAGCTGCTCGCGACCAGGTCCGGTCGTCTTAGTGTCTGTTGTGGCCGGAGGTGTACTTTGCTGTTGGCTTTACAGTATGACCTGCAGATCGCCAGGTAAGCTTCATAGTCACATGAAGAAGCCATGAAAGAGAATTCGAAACGTTACACGAGCCGCTTGCTCTGCCACTACCGCGAGCTTTCGTCTTCCACGCTGCCCGCAAAGGAATGCAGAAAGAATCCTCATGGTGTTAGCCAGACCATGGGGCTTTGCAGACGCCAATGAGGTATTGTGGCTTTTGTATTCTCGGCGAAATCGGTGTTCAAGTGATGGCATTGTGGGGATCCCGCCGGTAGACTTCCCTGCTTCCACGTGCGAAATTGCCTGTCTAGAAGAAGAATCCCAACGGAGACTCTACAATAAGGGGGACAAACAAACTGTGGCGTGTAGTGCTCGAAGGCATGAAGATCACAGTAAGGTGGAAGAGAAAGGTTGAAGACCTCTGTTGACGCGCAGCCACGCCGATCGCTTTTGTCAAGGGTGCCTTGGCTGATGATATGGTCTATTTACTTGCCAGTCGATGGTGTTATATCTGATTGAACACCGAAAGTATATGAGGAATCAGGAGGAACGGATACTGATCATAACACGTTCTTTACCATGTGCTGCTCGTGAGCTCACGTAACCACGGCCAACAGCCCCTTTCGAACGTCCCCGCCGTCAGTAAATGTACATACAAAGTAACAATATTCTGGTTATTGGTTCGCCACCCTTGAACATACCATAATTCACCTCCAATCAGGTCCATTTGGGCTGACCACGTTTAGCGGTGGGACGTGAGTCAGGGTCGGGTTCCGCATCAACGCCGGTAAGATAGCAGCGCGGCCTGTGCCGTATGTAAGGGACTCTGACCTGGGCAGTCCTGTCTACCATAGCTACAAGGTTTATATACTCACAAATCGGGCAATAATCAAGGCCCCGTATGGTCCTTAATGCGATTCCGTTTTGATAATACGAGAAAGGGCAAGTACCCATGTTACACCGATGGCCTCGCATATGAAGGATGGCGAGCATCTGCCCTATTTGTAGATTGTATCCCCAGTAGGCGTATTCCCGCACATTTTCACAGTAGTCAGCCTGAGGATGTGGGGGCCCCTTTCGGAAAGGAAAGTGGCTGGCAAACTACTCACACCATCGCGTAGACTGCAGGTACCTCAATCCTATGGGAGCTCAAGCAAGAGTTATCTTTGGGGAGCAATGGGATCTTTTGGGTGTCTGTTGCAGGGTAACGAGTCGCAGCACCTATAGAAGTGACGACCCATTTATACATCGAACCTATCTTCATCGACTGCGGCCGTGATCAGAGGTCAAAGGCATGGAAAAACCCGCATCGCAGCACGAAAAGAAAAAGCCAACTCCGCCTGCCTTTTGCCTTCCGATCTCCCGAAGCTGTCCCCGGTTCCTGGACCCTGTTGAGTAAAAAAGTGGTTGTGAGTGAATGAGATAGTATAGTAGTGATGAGGCGCCTGCTGGCGGACGGATACAAACATGACTCCCCCGAATGCTATCTTCCATAAGCTGGTGTACATGTCTGCTTCTTCATCTTACCAGGTGTGAGGCGCTGAAGGACTGTATACCAGCCTTCCACATCAGGATCACGTGAAGCTTATGATTGAGAATATCGAAACGACGGTTGTACGAGCCGCTTGCTCCGCCGCCATGAGCTTCGGTCTTGCACGCCGCTTGCAAAAGAATTCCGAATAAGGATAAACATCAACATGTCAGCCATGTTATTGGGCTCTACAGACGCCAATGAGGTATCGTGGCTTTTATGATTCCGGCCAAATCGGTGTTCAAGTGACCTGATGGGAAGCATTTCGGCTGGACTTTCCTGCTTCCACGTGCGAATTTCCTTGTTTCATGAGAAGCAGTCCAGCGGAGACTAGAGGATAGCGAAGGCCATAAACAGACTGTCGCGTGCAGTGCTCGAGCAAATGAATATCGCAGCAAGATAGGAACAGAACGTTGAAGACCTCCAACAACACGACGAATGAAGTTGACGATAAGAGTATCTCTCGTCAAGAACCATCGTAGGATATGATGACGCTACAGATGGGCGCATCAAGATTGGTGTATGTTTGTCGATCGGTATTACCACTTGATGAAATATATATTGATTACATACGCCCATTTCCATACGGATTGATCATGTTTAGCGGGGGAATATTGACTAGATTTGGGTCGCTGAAAAGTGCATGTGAGATAGCGACGCGACCTGTGCCGAGTGAGTGTGGACACCACAATATCCCGCAGTCATAATGGTTGACTGTCTTGTACTCACAGTATGGGCATATACTGAACCCCCGTGAGTCAATCAGGGAGATGCCCACTTGGTGATACGACATGGGGCATTGCACCACTGTACATTGATGGCCTTGTCGAGCAAGAATGGCCACCAGCTGCCCTGGGTGTAGGTTGTAAGCCCAATAGGCGTAGTCCCAGGGGTACCTATGGCCGTTAGCCTAACAATTTGACTAGAGCCAGATCTGTCTCCGGAAGACAAACCACTCACGGCGGCATATAGTTCAAACTGCTGATATTCAGAAGCACAAGGATGTCTCTAGAAAGGCAATGGGTCACCCTGGGTGTTTGTATCGTGAATGAGAAGAACAACAGCGATACTCGGACGGTGGCGAATTTATATATCGCCGGTATAGTCGTGATTCATTGTGGCTGTGTTCGGGGAACAGGGATTTGGAACATGCATTGCAGCACGAGAAGCACGGCAGAAGGTAGAAGCTGAATAATTACTTGTACTTTTGCTGTACAGTTTTCGGTCTCCGGTAGAAAACTTCTTCGGTATGTAGAGAAGAACAAACGGTGAATCACCTGCTGGCCAATCAGGCTAGCATAAAGCTTATGAGCAGGGGCATGCTCCCTAACCTTCAGGCCAGATTCATCAGTACCCTTCTTTCGGCGCATCACCCGGCCATGGAAGAGGGGTCCCCGTTATGTGGACTTTACATGATGGCTTCTGTAATTTCGGCAAGATCGGCTATTGAGTGTCGACAATTAGTTACGGGCTCTTTACTGGGTGACATCCCCCTTCCGTGTGTACTGAAGCCATTCAGTATTCTAAAAGACAAGTTCTGTTGTTGAAGGGCGACAGACGACTACGATACTAGCCATACAGATCGTCGCGTGTAGTCGTCGAGGAGGCGCATGCAAATACCCCGATTCTGAAAGGCTGACGGTGTCCCATGATGAAAACCGCTCTACCAATATATTAGTGCTGATGTGGGTACCAGCGTCCTTTACCACTCTTTGACACCCTTAAAACCAAACAAGTGTCGTCATCTGTGTGGTGGCTGATCAAGAAAGTTGATTTGTGCAAATTCGGCGCGGTCATGATATATGTGTACATATGTGTGTTCGAAAAGGGAGCGCCAATCCACCGCATTACCATCTGCCAACTGACCCTACATATACTTGTACATAGAGGGCAGAGGGCAGTCATTCAACTCGGCTTGCCCCGCCATTTCGGCTCTCGGCAGTCGGAAGTCGGCCTTCTTATCACCCAGAAGCACGTTACGTAAGCGTGCCTTTGGATAAACAAACCGGCCGGCTCGCTTGCTGCCATGGATGCGGCGGGAATCTCACTTCTTATGGCACTCTTGCGTGTGTTACCTCATATCCCAGGCATGGAGTACAGAAGAAGAAGAAACATTGCAAGAGAATCGCGCATGCTTTAAGATTCGAGCTGTTTGTGCGGGCGTGTTGATAAAGAGGACCCTGAAGCGGAGTCGCAGCCCTGAGCATTCCTTCTTTCGTTCCGAGCTGAGCGCGAGTCCCGCCGTAATGCGAATGATTTTAGTCTAGTGCGTTTCCCTTTTCTTTTCCATATTCTATCGAGCAAGGTCGACCCGTTCGGCGCTTGCGACTGTAGCATAAATCTCCCGACCAGAGCACATATCCAACAGCAGCATCCTGATATACCAAGAGAGATCCACCAAGTCGACCTGCCACAACAACCTAATCTCGCCCGCGCACGTCAACAAAGATCTCCTTGCGACAACGCCGACCATTCCCTCTCTCCTCTTTCTTTCTCCCTCCGACCACCCCTACCATCTGTACGCCACACCAGACGGCACTCGTCTGAACGACAGCGAAGCGAAGAGAGACCGCACGGCGCAAGCAGGAAAGATCTAGGAAGGGGACAGGAACCCTGCGAGGCGACCTGTGATAGGAACGATCCTTTGGGTTGGATCGGTGCAACAACAGCAGCAGGATAATTTTCATTGTTCTGCTCTGCTTTTAAACCACGCTTCGCTGCGAGCCCCTCTGTGCAGATACCGAAGCTACTGGTGTTAGTGGAGGGACGAAAAAGGAGAAGGAAAACAAGTAGCAAGGGAGGTCACAAGGGAGGACAAACCATCATCAACACACGGCTATTCCATCGCACACAATCAACAATACGCTTTTGTTCCTCCACCCCCACTCTTTCCAAGCACGCCGCCCTCCACAGCAGGCCGAGCATTGTCACAACAATAGGGTCTCCTTATCATCACACCTCATCATCACTACCCTCAAGGTGGCAATCACTCTTCGATACCCGCTGTCTGAGCTAGCGTGGCGTAATCTCACCCCATCTGCCGACCCATCTCCACTATCTTTGAACAACATCTATTTCGCATCTTTACGACCACAAACCAACGAGGGGTTGCCAGCCATAGACGTCATCACTGTGAGACAAGGAGAAATTGAATCCGATTAGTACCGGTACGTCCCAGATTTCTCGTCTGCGCATCTCCCTCGCCACCTGTGTTGTATCATCACTGCCTGGTACACCTTGGTGTACTCTCCTTCTCTGGGCTGCTGGTCATCCCCACCCCGCCCAGCCTCCTTCCGCCTGCCTTTTCTCATCCCTTCATTTCCGCCCTCGTGCAGCGCATCGTGACTCGCATTACCCGAGTGTCCGCTGACTGTCATCCTTTGTGTTCGCAGGCCTACCCCGACCTATGCTTGCAACTCGTCGCCCAAAGCCCTCCATAATACATACCACTCCTTCCCGACTGGCATACCCGTACGAGTCAAGGTACGTGCGCATGGACGCGACGCGCATCTACTGACGGTCCCTGTTCCTACGCTCAGACTGCCATAGATTTTTATCCCAACATCAGTCCGCGATCTGTCAACCTTCAATCTCCGCCCATCAAGCCTTACCCAGGCATGAGCGTCGTTGCCGCTCCCCTTCTTCACCAGCCGTTCTCGGACACGGAGCTCTACACCTCGCAGGGCGGCTCAGTGAATCTTCCTCCGGTCCCGTCACACCTGCTGCCCATCTCTGTTCCGTCTCCGAGTGTCCCCTTCCCCACTTTTCAGCAGAGACACACCTCGCCCTACCCCATGGCTGAGCAACATAGCTTCTCTGCCCTCGGCCCAAGTGATGCTGAAAGCTCGACATCGTCTGTCAATGTTGTCCCTCCCCCCGCACCCAGGTTTCCTCCAGCAAATTTGCCGGCAGTCACTCCGGACCTACACCCCAACCCCCAAACTCCTCTCCCGCCGACCCCCGAGTCTTCACCGCCAACGAACAAGGTGCTTGGGCCAACGATGATGATCAAGTTGGCACCGCCGGCGGACGATGAGTACGAGTATGGGCAGGTGGACGTAGAGGCGCGCAGAGCGCTGGAGGATCTCTCCGGTTCGCAGCATTCGAGGGAGTCTTCGGGCAGTACCAGTACGACGCCAAGGAGGATACCAGCCATCTCTGTCAATACTGCGCAAGCTATTCCTCGCGAGCTTCAACGCACACCCTCTCCCCGAATCCGTAATGCTTCGGCTGGTCTTTCATCGGAACCCATGTCCAAGTCTGTCTCCTCCGAAGGCAAGCCTCCTCGGCCAAAGTCTATGGGGGCACCTCCGAGGCCAAGACGGACTCAAACGGCTCATGGACACCCTCAAGCGACCCGAATGGCCGAAAGCAGGAGCGCAGACTCGAGAGCCAAGCTGATAGTAAACAATGCCATCAGGTCGACTTCCTATGGGGCATCGGGTACAGGGGGCAGCAATTCTGCTGCAAGGTCTATCAACGATACTGGTGTACACGTCGTCCCCGGAAAGAAGTCCAACGCTGGGGATATGGCACCGCCAGATCTGGGTGGGCCAGAAGGGCTTGAAGCTAAGGTGGTCTTGCTCGGCTCGCAGGGTGTCGGTAAAACCTCCCTGATCTTGCGGTACACCACCCGGGCCTTCTCCGCCACCCCTGCCCCAGCAACTATTGGTTCTTCCCTACATACCCGCAAGCTTGTCCACTCTGGTGTACGGGTCAAGCTCCAGATTTGGGACACTGCCGGTCAAGAACGTTTCCGTTCCATGGCACCAATCTACTATCGTGGCGCGCATGTATGCGTGCTGGTGTATGATATCGCGGATTGGCAAAGCTTCCAAGATGTCAGGAGTTGGCTGGAGGAGTTAGGCAAGAGTGTACCCAAAGAGACCGTAATCTTTGTAGTTGGTGCCAAGACAGATTTGGAGGCAAAGCGGCAGATTAGGTGCGTTTATCACACTTCCAAATCATCATAGCTGACTTCCATACAGTCCTGAAGTCGCGAAAGAGACCATCAGATCGTGGATCAAGCCACCCCCTCCAGAGCGAATCCCACCGCGACTGCAGCCACCCCCCCAACGAAGTCTCTTCCGCACCTCCACTGCCGGCTCCCGCCTCGACTCTCCTGCTCCAACACCCCACACCGCCCCGGCGAGACCACACTCCTATATCGCCTACACCCCTGAATCTCGCTCCGCCCCCATTCCCGTCTCGCGCTCCAACTCGGGAGGGCCCTCTGTACCCTTCCCCAGTGCCCGATCTATACCTTCGTCGCCGAAAAAAGGGAAAGCAACGGAGCGGGGAGATGTGAGCGAGAAACGGAGTAGAAGACATAGTGCTAAGCCATTCCCTGTCAAAATCTCCACCTCTACAACTTCGCCCAACTTGTCAAACTTGGCTTCATCGCCTACAAGATTGGAGTTTCCCAGTCTGCAATCACCTTCACGACCAACGTCAGCCACTTTCACAGAGCCAATCAGCCCAAACCTGTCAGGTAGCAGCAGACACAAGGCTTCTAACAGCCGGTTCTCGATCTCTGGTATCTCCGAGGTACTTGGCTTGGGGCGCACAGTCAGCATGTCTGGCGCTGTCCATTCCTTGCAAGAACTGGCCGAAGCTCCTAGCTCTCCCAACCCTCTAGAATCCTCCATATCCTCTCCCAGCACCTCCCCCAATGACCCCTCTCCTCCCCGCGTTCGAACGGAATCGAGCCCCCTCTTCCCGTCTTACGACCCCGCCCGGCTCAAGGGCCCGCGCAGGTCGGACGAGTGGGCTCGCAGCGGGTGGCGCATGGGTGAAGGGCCTGGGGCTGCAGAGGCACTGGGAGAGTTTGGCGCGGGCGTAAGAAGAAAAGAAAGCGAAGAGCTTTTGGGAGTGGCGGCGATGAACAGGTCGCTGCCTGCTCTAGGAAACGGAGGATACAAGATGCCGACCTCGTCGGCGTCGACTGGGGCGCAAGGGAGGGGTAGAGGAGGAAGCCTGGGCAGGGACCCGAGGCTGTTAGGAGAGACAGAGGAGAAGGAGGATGGGTGGGGGGTGGATGTGGAAGGGGTGAGGCTAGGAGAGTGCAGTGCTGCTACAGGGGATGGTACGTCCAGCTATTACTCTTAGGCTGCTGGCGCTGACGATTGTGGTAGGGATCGAGGCTCTCTTCAAAGCCATCTCATCGATCCTAGTTGAACGCAAGGACAAGATTGAACGCGAGCGAATGCTCAAGCACAAGCACAGCGTCATCCTCGTCGACCCCGCTGCTAATACTTCCTCGAGCAAGAAGGAGAAGGCCGGGTGTTGCGTCTGACACATTCCTCTCCAAGAGAGAGGTCCAATCTTGTCTGCTCGTGCCGACTGATCACGATTCCACGAAACAACACAAAACAAACGAACTTCTGATGATTTCACGAACTCAATCGCTTTAACGACCAAAAGTATCTGTTACCTCACACGACATACTGTAACGGGCTTTTTTCTCTTTCCCAGTTTTTTCCTCTTCCACCCTCTCTTCAAAAGACTTTCTGATATATATGTTTGACTGTACCATAACACCTCGCATATCTCTCTTTCTCTCCCATCTCTATCTGGGTCGTATACAAACTTAATCAAGTACATTTCTCTGGATCATCATGGGTCCGAAACTTTCTTAGGTAATTGTGGTATCTATATATGCCTCGGTGTGTAATGCTTGTGAAAATAGCGGCAGAGCCGCATGCATCTTATGTCTTTCAATGGTTCCAAACACGTTTGGTTAAGGGAGGATGAACGGGATCAAATGCACAACGATGACTGCGTTTGTCGTTTCTCCATGACCATACGGTCCCTGCTCGAGCGCCGCGCCAGCGTGAGCCACATTTACCACCTCACCAAGAGGGTGAAGGGAAAGTACTGTTTGAGGATGTACTGCACCCCCAGCTCTGATTCACTCTGAAGGAACGCTTCCGCCAAATCTACCATCATATTCTTCTCCTCAGACAAAGAGTTGAAAGCAAATCCAAACCCAGATATGCCGATAATGTCGAAGGCAGCCAAAGTGAGATATTTCAACACGTCGATCTTGGCGCCACCGGCGACAAGTTCAGAAGGCTTGATCGGGGAAGGGGAGGTGACGATCCTGCTTTGGCTGGAGATGAGGTCGCGTAGTTTGTCTTTGAGCGCATAAGAGACATCGTAGAAGACTGGAAACATCTCCTTGACTGCCCCTTGGCCAAAGGCCGGGCCCATGATCTTCCTCTGGTTCCTATGCTTATCGTCGGTGGTGAAATCGGCCATTGTCGAGATATGTAACGATAAAGATGCTACATGACATAGGTGAAATCGTCTGACGAAGTGGAGCGGCCGACGAACATGTGACCTCGAGTAACGAAAAAAACATAGAAGACGACCGTTCATAGACGTATCACAACACAAACTTCTTCTCTCCGTGGACTTTATTCACCTGTGCCTTCCATTAGCGTTTTCATGGGCCATCCACCGCCCGATACGCACATGTTGTTTCAGTTGTCCCTTCGTCGGAAACTTTGACTCACACCCCTTTCTCTCGCATGAAAAGGTCTTCTCTCCGTGAGAACTAGTCACCTGTGCTTTCCGTTAGCATTTTGATGGGCCATCCGCCGCCCGATACGTACATGATAGTTCAATTGTGCTTTCGTCGCAAACTTTGACTCACACCCCTTTCTCTCGCATGAAAAGGTCTTCTCTCCGTGAGAACTAGTCACCTGTGCTTTCCGTTAGCATTTTGATGGGCCATCCACCGCCCGATACGTACATGTTGTTTCAATAATGCGTTCGTCGCAAACTTTGACTCACACCCTTTTCTCTCGCATGAAAAGGTCTTCTCTCCGTGAGATCTATTCACCTGCGCTTTCCGTTAGCGTTTTGATGGGCCATCCACCGCCCGATACGTACATGTTTCTTCAACTTCGACTCCCTCGCGCATCTATACAGACAACCGTCATTTTTACATCCCAACGTCTTGGGTTCATGGTTATCAGTGTGCTATGACTTTCCTTTAGCGTTGTGACTGGGCACTTCACCAGCCCGTACGTACGTGAGTATTCAGCCGTGATTTCGTTGCAAAGAGCCTACCACAGACAGGACACTCGGGACAGGGGCGTTGGCGCTTGCCTAGGTCCCAGTAGGAGAACTGCTCATGAAGGGGAGGGCTTGCGTTGGTCCCTGAATAGTCGCCTGGACCATTAGCCCAAAACGTCCTATGGGCACGTGAACGAGTGGACTTTGCAGCCCTATGCACTGTGTCAACCGCCTCTTGACATACAGCCTCGCTAAGTCTAGCGAACAATATCAGGCTGTTGCGAAGTGGGGTGTCCAGCTCGGTACCGTTGGGTACTGGGACAGTGACAATGGCCGCGAATGCCATGCGATATTGTGGTCGCGAGTTCTTGAATTTTTCGTGAAGTGGCTGCATCCCTGTTAGATCGTTCATATGAAGGCTAGACCGTCATTGAACCCACCTGTCTAGAGGATCCACTTCGTCACGATCGTACGCTTGCTTGACATGCCTTCTCCATCGTACCCGGAATCCCATCGACTTGCCGGATGGTATCACCCTCGACGTTTGTCCAGTGTATATCAATACAGGTAAGGGCGGATGTGGATGAATGCTATACTGGTTTCCGGCATGATCTTCTTCGGCATTCTCTTCCATGGCATCCTCTTCGACCGTGTGTTGAGATTCTCCTAACGCCACCTTCCAAAACGCCACCTTCCAATACACTCCGACACAACGTCTCTGGACCTCATCAAGGCCCTCCAACTCGTCTAATCGGTCGCCATCCTCGTCACAACGTACGCCGTTCGCATCGACCAGGGAAAGGATCTGGGTGATGGATGGGGGTTCTGAGCTTGCCAGAAGCTCTTGGAAGTTCGTTGGCATGAAAAGTGCCCAGAGACCGTTGCACCAGCTTTCGAATTTCTTCGGACATTGGGTTGTTCGTCCAGATCATGTACAGGTCCTTGCACCCAAGAACGAAGTCCAAGACCTCGGAAAGGCGCTTGTACGTGGCTTTGGGCATGGGGGTTGCCTTTATGCCCAGGCGAGAGGCGTGCTGTTCGAGGGGCCTGACAAGATACTCCACCCAGAAGGCATCTCCCGGGACTGACAGGCTGTTAGAAGGCATATCCTCGGGCTTCATGCGCCTCGCAAAGTGGTCGTCTAATTGACCGGACTGGCCGTCATCCTCGTGGTCGTCCTGACAGTCATCCTCGTCCTCGTCTGACGGGATGTCGTCGGAGTCGTCGGAGTCGTTGGGGTCAGGCTCGTTCCGGGTTGAGGGGATGGGAAGACGTTGCACTGTGTCGGGTGCGGGAGGATGCTGCTGCAGGCGGTCAGCTTATGTTTCACTGACGAGGCGAAAGGACCTACGAGACTCGTTCCCACTCTCGACTTTTTGGCGGTTAACTTTTGGCTTGTCAGCGATGTCTGGGGCGAAGGGGCTACCTAAACGTACGGTGTGGGCTTCCAAGGAGGAAGTGGCCACCCTCTTGGCCTTTCTGTCGGGTGCTTCGGTCGGGATCGAGGAGGATGGCTGGGAAGCCGCAGAAGAGGGGGTGGAGGTGATCCAGCCTTTAAGCTAATGGACTCCAGTCAGCATGACCCCGGAATGAGACTGAGAGACTGACGCTGGTCTGCTTGGGGTCATCGTTCTGCGAGAACTTCTAATGCAGTCAGTTAGTTAACGTTTTCCATGATGCGAAGACGGCTCTGGATGGGGTGAGAGGGATGGGAAGGTGGATGACGGTATGTGAGAGGACGGAGCCATCGGTACGTACGCCTTTTCGCGCTTTGCCGGGCATGCTTGTTATGGGTGGTTGTTGGAAGATGGGATAAGAGAGAAAGAGAGAAAGACCAGAATCCGTGGGGAGAAGGTGGGAGAGGTGAGAAGGTGAGACATGGTCCAAGCGCAGATTAGTCAACCGGCGATCTCATCTCCGCCCTCATCTTCCCAAAGGACGCGCAGACTCTACCAAGCCTCGCATACGAGGCGACGCTATGAGTTGACTGTATATAGGACTTGTCCTGCCATGATACGAGCAATGCATATCGACAGATATGCCATTATGTTGAGCGAAGCCGCGCGTCTTCTCTGTGTACATACCCTTCTCATCATTTCCCTTCTCGACCTCTGCTTCAGGTTGCAGAAACAACCTCGGCCCCGTCATCCTGATATTCGTGGGGGGTATGCTCCCCTTCCCCAACATCGTGGGTATCGAGGTGGATACCATTCTCTCCGATGATGGACATTTCGTAAGCCAAGTGTTGCACGACCGGCTCGTCGAGAGACCCTGGCGCGCGAGGCTTGTTGACGAGTTGGGGTAATGATTTCGAGTCTTAACGCGTCCATAGCCAGAGGGTTTTAGAAATTTGGGTAGGGACAGGTTGGAGTATAGAGTCGTGATGGGATTGAATCACAGGGGCGGGAGAGGAAGGATGGCGTGGTGCTCAAGGAAGATTCGGGTGTGGGGCAACGTGCATCGACTTGAGGTATCGTTCACTATAGTTCTGGTCAGTAGGAAACCATGCTTGGAATGAGAGACGTACCGATCGAGGCTCGGTTAATAATCACTATCCAGATCACTCTCTTTGGCACTCTCTCCAACCGTCCTAGACGGCACCTCTCTCTCTCTCCCTATCATTCATGAACGCCTCCCTCTTTTCCCTCTCCTCTGGCTCTTTCTCTCATCCTCTTCTTGCACCTCCATACACGATTGCACCCACTCTGTCAAATGTCCCTGCCCTTCTCGAGCACTTTCAGAGACAGAGCGTCATTCTCATTCTTTGCAGGATCAGAGAACGAGTAAGGAAATTGAATGTTCACCAGCGTGACACTGCCTTGTTCGCCTATGAGTGAACGATAGAGAGGTTTGCGCCTGAGGGAGAGGAGGGTAAGGCGGAAAGGAGTGCCGGGTTGGAAGATGTTTTAGGGAGGTTTGATAACGGTGCGATGCGACTTAATCGCTTCGATATGGGCAAGGCGGGATAGAAGACGAGCTCTACCCCCATCCTGACCCCGTTCCAAAAACCTCTGTGACCTAATTCCCCACCGAAGATGACCTCGAGTGATGACTCGTCGGTGGCGGACTCAGAAAGCCCGCATGAGAGTTGACCTCGAATGAGACTGCCCTATGAGACACGGCGAGAGGAAGAGTGAAGATCGGCGGTTGAGCGTAGAAGGCATATGCCCACAGTATCCTTTGCTTCTCCCGGTGCATTATCATCTCTTCAAGGACTCGCGACCCATTCAGATGTTTGGTGGGCATACGCATGGAAAGAGTGAGGATGAATCTTGGAGAGGAGCGGTGGATAACGAGCTTGGAATGGTGAGGTGGAGAGGGAGCTCGAGGAAGGCGTGGGCGGAATGGGACTCTCGACGCCTCAAGCACAGTTTGGAGAGTATAACTCCCGTACCACTTCGCGATCATGGCAATACAGAGTCGGGCTGTCACCGGAGCGTCAGCGACACAAGTTATCTGTTGTACCCTCGGGATACGTCACCGGTCACAGACCAGGGGGCATACGCTGAGGTTTATGACAAAGTGACATACCAGGCCTCGAGCATTTACGCAAGGAAAGTTGATCTTGATTCCAGGCGTTGTATATGTCTAGTTTCCCCGTCAGCATATCCTCTTCGGCGATGGTAATTCGGTCTACGACGTACAATGTGATCGAATTCGGCTGCAGGTCATTCCTCATCCTGCTTGAGAAAAGCTGTGGTGTTGTCTTTTGTTTTCAGAGCGTCTCCTGGCTTGACACCCATCCCATCTGGACAGTTCTATGTCGTCGGACTCTTTCTCTACTGCCACTCCATGATGCGAGGCTGACTCGTGGTGTCGATAGAGAGCAGCTCGTTATAATATTAGAGTAGACGATAACAGCGAGTCATTAGAGGAGGGCCTGGGTGGGTGAGCAGCGTTATTCTGAGTGCAGCGGTTTTGGGTGTGGGCTTGTTTGGCGGGGAAGCCGAAGAGGGGCAGGGGGGGCAGGAAGGGCTTGTGTCGAGCCAGGGCAGGTGCTGGTGCGAAGGATTTCGAGGTATGTAGTGGAGAGATGAGTCGTCGAGCCAGGTGCTTGGGCGGCTTGTCCCGCGGTGTCACCAAGGCCCGTGCTTTATTTTCACGCCTTCACCATTTCACCAACAGCGTCCCATTACTGTTGGGCTCGTACGAAATCGATTATCCAAACTGTCCTCTATCCGCCTTCGTCCGAAAATGACCACCCCCATCTTGCCCCTCTCCGGCCCCTCCTCCAATTATCCAGGCGCCGGCTCTTCATCGCAATCGACCGGAGGGCGTAAGTGGGGGCAAGCTGCTGGAGGAAGCAGCGGGAGAGGGCTGGGTTTGGGGCTTGGCCTGGATATGGACCATGATCTGGGTAATGCGAGAGGGGGGTTGGGGCTCATGTTGAAGAGGTTGACAAAATTCAGAAGCATGGTGAGTGACTATTGGAGCGGGCGACGGGCTCTCGTGAAGGCATTGGACACGTGTTGGCATATCAATGTCGTATGGCAAGCATGTGGTAGGTTAGCTGCTGACCGTAATGATGGTGTAGGATTTTGAGCTGGCGTTCTGGACATTGACATATCTTGTGGTCGCACCAAGACGAGTTTACAAGCAAACATACCATCAGTAAGTCGCGTCTCTATTCTGGACACTCGGGGCACAACTGACACAGTGTTATAGCAAACAGACAAAGAATCAATGGGCTCGAGACGAGTAGGTAGCAATGCGTTGTCAATGTTAATTGGCAGAGACTGACCGCGAACGCGCAGCCCAGCGATGTTGATTCTGATAGCGGGGTGTCTAGCTGGTATGCCCGCTCATGCAATGCGATATTGCTATTGACTGACAGTGCTGTAGCTTCCGGAGTGGCCTGGTCTCTTGTCTATCGTCTCCCAGCTCTGTCCTTCCTTACACTTCCACTCCTCATGATCTTCCGTGACTTCCTTCTCCCCTCGCTCCTCATCGCCTTTATCCTATTCTTCGTCGCCAACCGACTCCTCCTCGCGCCTTCAGTTCCCCACGCATCGACATCAGATAACAAAGTCGAGTTTGCATACTCGTTTGATGTGGCGGTGAACGCCTTCTTCCCTGCTTTCCTCACGGTCTACGTCGGGTTATTGGCCCTTGGCGTGGTGGTCGTCAGAGACAACTGGGTCTGCTTGTGGGTGGGAAAGTGAGTCGGCAGATGTAGCTTGAATGATCTGTACTGATAGGTCGCAGCACGCTCTTCCTGATTGCGCAAGTTCAATACGTCTACGTGACATACCTGGGCTACGCGGCGCTTCCATTCGTCGCTCGGTCGCAGATCATGCTTGCGCCTCTGCTCCCTGTCTTTGTTGGGTCAGTCTCCATGATATCGAAGTCGGCGATAGGAACCTGGCTGATCAATTACACAGTTATCTTTTGAGTCTTTTGGGGTACAACGTGGGCAAACACGCACTGGAGCTCTATTTCGGACAGACCTGGAACTAGAATGTGTAGACGAGCGGAACGGGCCAGCTCTGATTGTAAGGTCATAGAAATGGCAGCAGTATGACTGCACCCGACCATGCACACAATCTCAATAAATTATCAGGCGACTCTTCAGCTTTCGTGGGAAGTGGTTTGATCATCGATTGGAGCATTGGGTCGTGAGGTGCTTTGAGATCGAAGGATGTTCGCGTACGAGTACAGTAGGATTCGGCGTACGAGTGAAGTGGTGGCAACCTACAAAGAGAAACTCTTGGTCTCCTACTTTACCTCTATGGTAGATAACCACAACGTATGTGGGTCAGTGGCCCACTGCATCTGCCAAGCCATTAGAGTTCAAAAGCGCACCTGCATGATACCTCATGAGCGCACGCGTCAACCGGCGACATCACTTTGCGTCCCGACGCGCCGCGTCTCTGCTCTCTCTTCTTTGTCTTTACGCAAGAAATCATCTACGAAATGACTCACTCCTTGACATCACCCCCATCACAGTATAGCCGCCCCCCAATGTCCTCGTCACCCCTCAACCCTTTCTCGCACCCCCCGTCTGTCCCAGATCCGCAGCAATCCAGACATGCCCCAAGTTCGTCGCCTCCAGCCAACCCCATGTCCTCTCCTACCCCATTTTTCCGGCCTTCTCCAGGTAGACTGGGAAGTAATTCGGGTCCGGGGTTGGGGAAAGGAAAGCTGTCTACTCGCTATACCAGACCAGCGCGAAAATCACTACCCTCCGCTTTGCCATCGTACAGTCCGGCGGGTCCTAGCAATGGGGACCTCTTTTCGGAAGGTACCACTCCTCTCGAGGGAGCAATGTGGCGAGAACGGTTTACTCGGCGGATGGACGAGAGAACAAGAAGAAAAGAGGCGAAAGAGAGGAATTTAGAGATGCGGAGAGGCATAGGACGACCGTTATTCACAGACGACATTGAGGAGGATGAAGACGAGCTGGAGAGAAAGGCGAAAGAAGATGATGATGAAGTACGTCACATCTGTTGCCTGTTAGACCTACAAAGCTTATGATGCCACAGATATACAGACGGATCACGATACTTCAACGCAAAAAAGCCATCCACGCCCAGCTGGTCAACGAAGAATACGAAACTGGCGGCTCGGATCCCAGTCTGCCAGACTTTTGGGAAGACGAGCTGGAGCAAATGCAGAAAGAGGAGAGAGACCTTATACGGCGCTTGGAGGCGGGTATTCCAGAGGGGATTGAGGATGAAGAGGAGGTACCAGAAGAGCTAGTGCGAGAGGCGGAGGAGATCGACATGGGCGAAAGACGTGGGATGAACATGTACGCAGCGGTAGAGGAGGATGATTGGGATATGGATGTCACATGGGAGGAGATGGAGGTCGCAAGGAAGGTAGAAGAAGAGGCCTTTGGTGCCAGTGGGAACTTGCGACGGTCAGACGGGGACGGGATGGATGTAGACTAAACTTGGATACGCCTGGGGCTGCTGGGTTCCTTGATGCTTGTACTTGTACAATCCAGTTGTATATAATGTTGTAATGATATTGAGATGTATCACTCAGCTTTTCAGGTCCCGAGTTGATAAATGGCTGTAGAACAGGACACGACATGGTGAACCTGGGAACGGGGAAACTGAAATGACTGCTGCTCTTCATCTCGTGTTGCTCATTTCTTCTTCTTACTCCACATTGCTGCTCTCATTCTCCTACTCGCTAATGACTCGTCTAGTACACCTTCTTCTTCTCGTCAACCGAGAAGCCACCTGGACCAATGTTGACGAGCAACAAAAGTCCGCCAACGATGGACAATGTCTGGAAGCTATGCCCTTCATCAGCTGCTACGCTTGGGGAGAGAAGAAGGCAACCCACAAGTCGTACTTCAAGAAGTCCCTCTGCGGGTGAGCAGAGTGCACGCTCCACCAGTTGTTGATGAAGACGTTGAAGATGCTCAAAAGCGCGACCAAGAAGCTCGCACTCCACTTGGCCTTGAAGCCGACGGCGACCATGATACAAGCACCGAGGCCGACGATTGAGACGATGACTCGGGCAAGAGACCAGTTGCCTTGGAAGATGAAACCGATGAAGAGGAAGATGAGGAGGACACGGCCGGCGAGTTGGAAGCTGATACCAGTAAGCATCGTCCCGTCTGGAGTCGGAGGGTGTACTCACTACTTTCTCCTGTCAGTCTCGCTCAAAGTAGGCAGTCCTGCAAAGATCTTCTTCTTGTTTGCCAGCGAGTCCGAAAGCACCATCAACAGACCACCGATCACACTCAAGTTGCGCAAAAAGAAGGAAAGGTCGAAGAGAAGACCGTAGCCGAGACCTTGGGCAACAACGACACCAAGAAGGAGGAAGACAGAGTAGTCGGGGTATCGCTTGGCGATGACTCCGAAAGAGCCGCCGAGCATAGCCTGAAAGAAATAGGTCAGGGACAAAGGAGTACAAGATGGATGAGAGACTTACAACGATGTTGATGAGGAGGAAGAGGTGGGAGATACCCCAGGGAAGGTATCGGTATCTTTGGGACGCGTTAGTCAGAGCTCAGCATACTCGTGGCGAGAAAGACACACTTTTGCAGGTACCAAAGCTGGTCACCCCACTGCGTGAGGATCCTAAGCGCGTCTACCGACGAGCGCGAGTCAGTATGCATTCTCGAATGACACTACGAGCTTCATCTCGAGACCACTCACCTTCGAGGAAAGTCACGACAATAAGGAAACGAGCCATAGCAGGGACATAAGGCCGGATAGGCTAGTACATCATCAGCACCCTTAGCTTAACTTTTACTCTTCCCGACCACTTTTCGCCCGTCCTCGCCCACTTGCACGAGCCAAGACTTACCTGCGTGTATACCTCGATAGCATCCTCCACCTTACTGCTCCACTTCTGCACATTTGCCACAAACTCGTTGTCGCTATAGTTGACCTGGCCAGCACCCCCGCGCGGCAGGGGGTCTGGAGTGTAGCCGCCGAAGCCTGAGCCGGGGCCGCCGACAGAAGGGCCCATACCCTGGAAGGCTGGTTGTTGACGGGGGACGTTGGGGTTGAGGTGGATTCGCTGGGACATGGCGGAGTTGGGCGACAAACAAGAGAAGCAGTAGAAAGGTGATTGTCGTGCTGGAAGAGCACAGAGTGGAGGACAGCGTCATCACTTAAATGGGGGGCGTATCCTCAATCTCGGGCTGACGAGAACCGTATCGCTTGTTGGACTCTTTTTCTCGCAGGCCGCATGCATGCATAGTGTAGCAATCACACAGCTTCGTGATTATATGTGCACCAGGACCCCAAAATCTACATGCCCCCCATCGTTCTACGCCGTCTTCCGCCCCAATTCCCGCTGATGACCTCCTCGTCTTCTTTTCCTTTTCCAGTCTTGCCCTTCTTGCCCTTGGTCTTCCGCCCCTTGATGCTTTCAAGTCCCATGATGTACCTCATTTCTTGTTCGTGTTCGTCCAGTGCTGCGCCCTCTACGCCTTCGTCTCCGACTCCAGCACCGCCGGTAAGGACTGATGAGGGGAGTTGCACATTGTATGCTGGACCGCCGAACCGCCGGCGGCAGATGGAAGACCCATGCTCCAAATATTCTTCGCGCGTGACTGGGTAGGTGGACAAGTAGATATCAGATGAGGTCAAAGCTGCTGCTGAAGTATATGGCGGGGTTGCAGGACTGTCTTTGATCAGCTCAATGCTCTCCTCGCCGTGGCGGTTAAACGTACTCAAAGGCCTCAAATATGCCTATCTCATAGCCGACTGGGCATAATGATTGGAGATCTTTTTCTCTGCACGAGATATCAGCTCTGTAATCTAGCTCATGTATGACTTACAGTCTTTCTCCCAGAGCCTCAATGTTACCCAGCCCCCCAAAGATACCGATATGAGCCCAGAACATCCCTCTCAGTTCTTCAGGCATGCACGAGATGACATGCGCTATTGTCTCTGGCAGCCCCATTTGTTCCAGCCCTGTCAAATGGTCAGTGGTCACTTTGACGATCGTTCTTGCGACTTGCCAATATCTGAAGGGTTGAATAACAACTCGGCCCCGGCAAAGCGTTCGTTCCCCATCCACAGAACCTGCTCTTCCTCTTCTTCCGCCACTTTCCGTTTTCTTTTACCATCCATTCTGGTGTCACCATCCATATCCACATCCTCACCCCTGTGAACATCTTCTGGTATGGAAGCATTGGGTCCGGATCGGATGTAGCCTGTGCGAGAAGTGGAGGTGGAAGCTGCTGAAAAGTCCGGTAGGACGTACTCTTGGACGATACCGTTTTTTCTTGGATTTTGCCTGACTGAAGTCAGTTACTTGGTCTGATGAGGGTGTCCCTTTGAGCATCACGCACTTGCAGATCTCATTGTCCCCCTTCCAATCCATACTGACATATCCACACGCTTCTCTGACGGCATTGACAACATGCGTCTGGTCAATCATATTCCATTGCCGGAAAGAGATGAGGTGTTTGAGGTGGTTCGTCAGGAGTTTTCCACCAACGTCGATCCTGAGGCATGACAGGTCAGTACGCCTGATAATGGGCTGGTTGGGAAGAGACAGAAACGTACCGTTTGACATGTTGCCAGACAACTTGACCGTCCTTTATGGGAACGACGTGAGTATAGGAGTATCCAATGTCTACAACCACCGTACATTGTGGCGGGATTCCAAGATCATTCTCAAAGAGCCCGCCATACGGTATCAGATCCGCAGCTAACGAGCGCATGTCAGCACATGCTCCCTCAACATGTATCAACGGCCAGAAAGAAACTCACGGGTCGTCCGAAAGTAACTCTGAAACTCCCATTCTTCGAAAATCATCTGGTCATATGTTTCGGCAATGTTGGGGAGATTGAAATATGGTTCTGTCACGAGTAACGACGTTTCTTGTGGGTCCACCTGAAGCCTTTTCATTAGCTCGTGATCATCTGCGCTCGTGCATGAGTGACTTACATCGAGCACTGCTGGTGAGAACAAGCGATCCCAAATCAGCTTTTCCGAGTCCCAATTCACGAGCATGCCCTATGCCGTCATCAGCTTTTGACCATATCAGCACGATATAGAGGGGCTCACCTTCTCGAAAGGCCGCCGGTACACAATCCCCGAGAGATCTTTACACCCATCGATTTCATCGCCCACATACACCTTCTTTTCTGTGCGAGAGCGTGCTATGGAATTCGGTATCGTTACCCTGCACTCCTCCTCCGTCAGCATGCTCGTCCAAGAGTCTGATGCGAGCCAAGGTGACATACCGAGGGTCCCAATCAATCCCAGAGAAACCGGCTTTGATTTCATACGCGCCGTTATCGAGGATAAGTACCGGAGGTGCTGACATTGCTGTTGCTGGCCCAGAGAGTGGTCGCGCGAGTTGGGAAAGTGTCGACGAAATGTAAACAAACGCCAGGGAGCGCGCCGGTGCAGCGACGAGAAAAGGAGGCGGCGGTAGCCGATATGGAAATGACCGGTTTTCGGGGAGTGGCCGTTCTGGTAGCAGATTCAAGTATGCCACTGCAGTAATCTCGTAGAGCCACATGGGTGCCCGGTATTGACTGGTCTAATCCAGAGCTGCTCCTACACGTTGTGTCCTGGCTGCTGTGTACATGTCAAAACTAAGTGATACATTCGTCAACGAGGAGCAGTTGAGCGCTACATGCCTGCTCTACACTCTTTGTAACGAAATGACTACCCCGATGCAGTCTAGATAGTCCTGTTGACGTGGATCTCTTTTGGCTTGGATGTCTAATTGCGAGCGCGTTGTTTAACACCGGACCTGGGCTTCTGAGTGCTCTCGGCTCCGCCACCCCCTCCATCGGAACCAGGTCCGGTTGCACAGCTCCTTCTCTCTATGGTAGTTACCGCAGCACTGGAAGCTATAGATGAGTGATAGAGTAGGAATTCATGTGACAATCCCAATGTCTTCGCGAGAGCCCCAACATGGAAAGGCGAAAGAAGGGCACACCGACGACCTCTTCGTTCACCTCAGCGTGCGTCAGCGAGGAAAGAGACACCAAGACACCATCCAGTCCCACTTTTTCAAGAAGTGAAGGCGAGGGGCGTTGGGGAAGGGCGAGTGGAGGTCAATGTCGATAATGGGAAGGGTTTGCATTGCTGAAAGTGAGACAGTCTGTGTGGCGAAGTCAGAGCCAGATGTCTCTACGAACGGCACGGACGCGTGAGCATGGAAAGCAAATGTCGACGGAGTACCATTGACGAAAGAGGAGATGCCGTTCGTTCTGGTATATGGTCTCCTGTGGTCAGGCGCTCTGGGTCGTTTTGAATGCGGGTACATGTCATGATAGTTGTACATCTACGTCGTAGACTTCAGGTAGTTGCTGGCTTTGATGTTTTCTCTATTTCTGCACTCAACGTCAGTCTCGAATTCCAAAGTACTCCGCCACTTTGGACGGCAGTTGCCCTTCGCCCCATTCCACGCTCGATCGAGACCCGAGTAAACTCACAAAGCCTTCAAAGCCTTTTTCTGTGCCTGCAAATCGACTTCTGATCCGCTCTCAGTCTTGGACGTCTCATTCGCGAGGGATGGCGCCGCGGGCTCATCTAACAGCGTCCATAACCATGCCGGATACTGATCATCGGGAAGAGCCACGGGATCGGGCTTATCTTTCAGAATGGAGAGGTTACTGAGGGGAGTGCCTGCTGGACATGATGAGATGGCTGGAGGAGGGAGTCAGCAAGGCAATAGTTCGAAGTGGAGAATCCAACGCACCTTTAGCCGCTTTGGCTTTGGGAGCGGCGAGGGAAGAAGAGGATGAGAAGGATGCTCTCAGTATCGGTGTTATTGATCGGGCAGGGATTCTGGTGAAAGACATGGCGAACTGAGGATCGGTGATCTGAATAGCAGAAAGTCAAAACAGGTATTGAAAGAGCGAATGAGCGCAAATGTCAAAGTGACGTGTTATTATTGTGCGCTTATCATTCACCCCGTCGGCCATGCGTACAAACGTTGTGATGAGGACTGATTTATGTCCAAGGAGACATTTGTGAGCATCAGGCGTATAATCTGCAGAGGCCACGGTGCTCAGATACAGATGGACGGTACGGTCGTTTTCCAAAAGACACGCCGATCTTATATTCTGGTGTGAACGCGGTCAAATGTAGGCTTGGTAATACCACTGCATCATTCAACACCTGGAACGATGACAGCTTTCCATTAGATCACCCAAGCCTATCTGCTTCTGTCATGCATATTGCGACAGCTGGCTCAACACCCCTCGTTCGTTCTCAACCAACGACGAATTTGCCTCTTACATAATCATTGCTCGCGTTTTGACGCGACGCGCCGTGCACGCATCTGACATTACTCTGTGCTTTTGCTTTTCTTGCTCTCTCCCACAAACACATCGCACGGCTGTATCACAATGGCTGAGCCATCCCCCGACGCCATCAAAACCAACAACAGTCACCTGGGAGGTATCACACGCCTCTGCTTCTCCCGGGACGGCGCGTAAGTACCACTGCCGTATCACCGCGCACGCGTCGCTGATCATGTCTGCAGCACCATCTTTACCGCAGGTAGTGATTGTCTTGTTCGGATTCACCAGGCAGACAATCCAGAAAGTGAACCTGGGTTCCATGATGATCATCACGAAGACGTGACCTGTTTAGCCAGCTCTGTAAGTCCCACTCTTCCAACAGCAGAGCTGTCCCCTGACGCGTCGTTAGTCCGATCAATTGATCACCGGATCGGTAGACAATATCGTGAGACACTACTCTTATCCTCAAAACGAGTTTCTAGGGTTTGTCACGCGCTCGTCAGGGGTACCCATTAGGTTCTTGGATGTCGACAAGGCGGGGGAGAGAGTGGCGGTTTGTAGCGAGTGAGTACTGTCAAGGTGTAAGGGTATTGGCGCTGACGAAGATCTCAGTGATATGGTGGTGAAGGTAGTCGACCTCAAGGATACCTCGATCTGGTCTCAGGTATCTGATAACAACAAGCCCGTACGGTCGGCCACTTGGGATCCTCTGGGCAAATATCTTGCAAGTCATGCCGCATTTTGACGTATAAACGCTCACGAGATGCAGACAACCATATGTTGCGATGGAAAGCTTAAGATCTACGATACCACAGGTTCTACCGCTATTTGTGTCAAGGTTTTCGAAGCTGTTGTCTACGCGAGTGAATCCGAGTAAGTCCAATCCTATTTGAATACAAAGGTTAACTTGCGCGTTTTCAAGCTCCAAGTCGTCTTGTTACGCGCAATGGCATCCTTCTGGGGCATACTTTGCTGTGCCCACGCGCACTAATGACATTGCAATCTACAATCGAGATTCTTGGACCAAGCAGTCGACTTTTGTCCCCGACGGTCCTAAAGCAGTATGTACCCTGCCTCGGAATCATAAGCACTCCTAACAGTAAGTAGCTTATAGGTGAACTTACCTGGTCCCCCAATGGACGTTACTTGGCCGCCTCGGCTGCTGCCAATATTTACGTCTTCTCCACCGACACACGTCAACCTGTCGCCGCGTACACCTGCCCCAAGGGTGCTATCTCCGCCCTTGCCTTCTCTCCCATCTCAAATCTCCTTGCTTTCACCTCTCTCGATGGTTCCTTCCACCGTTGGTCTGATCCAATCTCCAGCGATCTTGCCGATCCCGTGTCAGACGATGAGGCGAGGCAAAAGAAATTTGAACAGTTGTTGGACGATGAATTCGGAGACGATGATGGAGAGATTCAAGAAAAAGGGGAGGATTTGGGGGACGACGAGCTTTTCGGGGACGATGCGTGGATCGTGGATGATGATGGTAAATATACAGGGTATGGCAAAGATGAGGAGGACAAGCCAAAGGGGAGAACCGCGGTGGGTATCTCCAGAGCCCAGGAGGCTTTTGAGCCAGGAAGCACGTCCTTCAGAAACAAAAAGCGTTACCTCGGTGAGTGTGTCCACGTATTCAAGGGGTATGCTGACACATTGTAGCGTTCAACATGATCGGTGTGATCGACGTCACAGACCAAGAAACTCATAACGTCGTCAACGTCGAGTTCCACGACAGGTCTGCGCGCCGCGGCTACCACTTCCAAGACCACCACAAGTACACGCTCGCCTCTCTCGGAGAACAGGGTATCGTCTACGCCTGTGAATCCGAGGACGAACAGCCTTCCATCATCTACTACCGTCCTTACGACTCGTGGACTACTCAGGCAGATTGGCAAATAGACCTCTCACCTGGAGAGAACGCGGTCTGCGTTGCTGCGGGGGGTGGGCCAAGTTCCGAGCAGTGGATGGGAAGCGTGGTTGTCGCGACGAGTAAAGGATTTGTGCGCTTCTTCACTGCTAGTGGGGTGCAGAGGTATCTGTGGAGCTTGGGAGAGGATATCATCACGATGGCCGCAGGGAGGGGAGAGGTTGTGGTAGTCCATCGGGAAGGGCCAGCGGTGGATGGCTGTCAGAATCTGAGGTATACGTTGCTTGACTTGGATACGTTCGATATCATCCAGGAGGGCAAGATCCCATTACCACGGAAGATTGAGCTCGACTGGATTGGATTCACGTCTGAAGGAGTGAGTCGCTTTTTCTTGGATGTAGAATTGTGCTGACGCTGGTGTAGGTTCCTGCAATCTATGATTCTGCTGGTCTTCTTTCCGTCCTCGATCGTCATCGCCGTCCTGGCCAAGCCCGCTGGGTACCTTTGCTCGACACCACGTCTCTCGCCAAAGACGGCAGGAAAGAAGCTTACTGGCCCGTGGGCGTGTCCCAGACGCACATGTCTTGTATCATTCTCAAGGTGAGCGCACAACATGAATAGGTGAATAGAGCTGACGATAGGAGCAGGGTTTGGAAGTGGAGCCCTGGTTCCCGAGACCACTTTTGCAAGAGATTGAACTGCGCATGCCGATGCTCAATATGATAGAGCAGCAAGGCAAGTCTGAAGAAAGGTGAGTCCAGTGTCTCTGACGACTAAATCCGAGTTGACTGTTCATCCAGTCTCGCTCGAGGCTCTCTTACCCTGTCCAACCTTTCCCCGATCGATCCCGAGGCTTCCTACACTAAAAAGGAGACCGAAGTCGCCCTCGACAAAGAGATTCTCCAGCTCATTCAGGGTGCTTGCAAAGCCGACAAGCTCCAGCGCGCCCTCGATCTCGCTCGTCTCGTATATCAGCCAGAGTCCGTGAAGGCCGCTTCCACCATCGCTGCCTTCTACCACCTACCTGGTCTCAAAGACCGGATCCTCAACGTTCGAGGTGAGAAGGAGAAAAAGGGCAAGGAGAGGAAGTTGAAGGAGAAAGAGATGGAAAGGGCGAGGGGAAAGGACTACACTGGGGTTAGCCAGAAGGCGACGATGCCGGAGGCGTCGAGCAGTAGACAATTCCAGGACTTTGCACCTAGGTCGAGGAGGGCAGTTGGATCTTCCGTCAATCGAGACTCAACACCGGCGTCGAGCAACCCAGTGTATGTCCCCGAGACGCCCGGGGAAGATGTGGAAATGGAAGATGTGGATTTCGGCAGAGAGAGAGGCGGGAGTCCTGCAATCGAAAAGAGGAAGAGGGACAAGGAATTTGAAGAGTTTGGTGTTCCAAGTAAAAAGCGAGGGTCCGAGTTTCCATTCGCGAAGCCTGCTGGTGAGTATATATTCAGATTTCGCATGACCAAGCTGACTTGCGGACAGCTGTCCCTGCCAAAAATCCGTTCGCCAAAAAGCCAGCTGGCTCCAATCCGTTTGCCAAGTCTTCTGGGGGCGCGACTCCGCTAGATGGCAAGAAGAGCACGAGCTTCTTCGATCGAGTTGACAAACTTGAGACTGATGGAGTCCCTAAGAGTGAGTCCTTCGCGCGAAAGGAGCCAGGGACTGATGTCTCCATAGCGAAAAAGACGAGTAAGAAGGAAAAGGCTGCCGAGGCTGCTGCGTCCGGCAGCAAGCAAACTTCCCTTTTTGCGGCTGGTATCTCCAAAAAGTCCAAGAAGGCCGACCCCGAGACTCCAGTGGAGGAAGAGGAGGAGAGACAGGAGACGGATATTGGAGACGGCGCCGCGGAAACGTTCGTGGAAGACTCTGCCCAAGGGTCTCTGGATCCGGTAGAAGAAGAGGAAGAAGATGCGGAGGAAGTGGGCACACAAGTGGATGAGACTCAGGTACGTTCAGCCGAACATAGGACAGGCAGAACACTGACCTTGCGCAGGAGTAGCTGTGGTTGGTTCTTGCATGCGGAAAGGTTTTGGCATTTTGTACGACATCCCCACATCTCACATGGATTCTTGTACGATTTCGGCCTCGTCGGTGATAACGGCCAAAGGGATGCGAGGCTTGGCTGGAGCCAGCTCCAAAGTTCACATCCTTTCAGCCGCCTGGAGTTTGCGTTTCACATCGCCAGCCTCCTTTGCCAGGTTTCCCTTGCTATCCCTTCGAACCGCTAGCTGGTTTCCGCGCACATCGCTCGACATCATGGATCAGTTTCTACCACCAACAATCCAAGTAGCAACCTTGACGGCTCACTCACTTCCATAGGCTCCCAAGATCTCAAGTGCCCATCTCAGGGCGTTTCAAGTCAAGATGGCTAACCCTGATACAGCAGCCCGAGAAGCGATCACCATTGTCTTGCCACTTCTTTTGCTTTTCGTGGCCTCGATATGGTTGTTCAAACGTGGAGGTAAGAAGAGCTCGGGAGATTCGAAACCAAGAGGGGGAGGTAGGAGAGGGGATGATGATGATGGTGATAATGGAGGGGGTGGAGGGGGTGGGCGAAGTCATGATCTCGGAGGTGACGGAGCTTTGCGTCCCAATGGGGGCGGCGGAAGTGGTGGCGGGGGTGGAGATGGCAATGATGGCGGAGGTGGTGATGATGCTGATCGCAAGAGACGCCGCAAGGATCAAGACAAGAAGGACAGGAAGGACAGGAAGGACAGGAAGGACAAAGAAGACCAGGAGAGAAGGGAGAAGGATGCAGAACGCGAGAAACGAAGAGAGGATAGGAAAAGGCAAAAGGCAAAAGAAGCTGATGAACGTCAGGAGCAAGAAGAGAAGGCCCGCAAAGAGCAGGAGAAGGCTCGCAAAGAGCGGGAGAAGGCTCGCAAAGAGCAGGAGAAGGCTCACAAGAAAGCGGACGGGGATCGTGCCAGGGATAGGGGCAGGGGAAATGGTGCAGATGAAGGGCTTGGATCGCGCGGCGCCAATGGTAGTGATGACAGCGACACTAACGATGACGATGGGAATGATCAAGATGACAGAGGAGGGGTTCGCCGTCACGGACGCCACAAATCTCCTGCTACTGGCAGCAGCTCTCCACTCACCTCGGCAGGGGATGCTTCGGACGATGCCTCAGCTCAAACTGGCGATCACACATCTTCAGAGAAGTCTTCCCGTGACTACCCTCCAAGATCAACGCAAGATTCTCCCTCTGACTCTCCCCTTTCTTCGTCTGATTCCGATCCCAGCAGCCCGCTCGAATATAACACTGGAGGTGGTGACGGAGGTGGCGGAGATGACCCGCCTCCTCCGGGTTCACAAGGCAAGGTCCGGAACGTCTTCAAGATTGCTGACGATGTAAGTCTCGCTGTCAATAGCCGAGGCGGCCAAAGGTATCGCGTACGAACCAATAGTCAGTCAGATGGAAGCGACTTTGACGACGCTCCAGGTGGCCGGGGGTGGCCAGGAGGAAGAGGTGATGGTGGCGGTGGCGGTGGTGCCATCAGGATACCTCGAGTACCTCCTTACACCACTATGGGCCCAGCCACACCTATGACTCCAGGAGGTGCTCAATTCAATGACTTGCCTCCTCAAACACCGGCGCCCTTCCATCACACTCAACGTATACCGGGCACCCCTAACACTGCTCGCACACCTGCGTCTCCTTTATCAGCATTGCCACCTGTGACAGCAGCTCTGCAGCATGGTTATCCTGCTCTGATAAACGACGAGGGTGTTGACCCTTGGGCATATCGATCAGCTGCACCCGGTAAGAGCAGCTTTACTCCAAGTGATCTGGATCCTCTGGTCACCAAGGAAGCACATCGTCAGCCCAGGACGTTATCCGACATACTGGGTGTCCCGGGCCTCGAAGGAAGCTTGGGTCCGGGCTTGGATCCAGGCAACAAGTTCTGGCCTACCATGTTTGGGGACCTCGGACGACGTACTGAAAACGACAGTCGAGGCGGGTCCAGCGCCAGCCCGGTAATGGAGCGCACTGGAGTTTGGGGAGAGGCCCCACTGAGCCCGATAGTACGTGCAGAAGACATAATCATTGAGGGAATGAGCTAATCATCTCGAAGGATTTGCAGCCTATTCACATCCAAAATTCCGGAGGAGATGGTGATGATAACCGGCCGGCCATACAGCTTTCCCCCCTTAAACCTCCCAAATCGTCTTTCAGTGAGAGAGAAAAGACCAAGAAAAAAGAGAAAAGACGTCGATCAGAAAGGTCTCAAGCCCCTACAAGCGCAAGCAAAGTACGATTTGGCGATGTCGGCTCGCGCCCTATCACTCCCGAAATCGAGGAGATCCCTGAGACTTCCAGTGCCAACATTGAGAAAAAGGTCTCTGGTGAAGATGCCGTCAAGGACGATGAGGCAGAAAAGGTGCACAAGGACAAGGAGAACGAGAAAAGGGACAAGGAGAAAGAGAAAAAGGACAAGGAGAAAGAGAAAAAGGACAAGGAGAAAGAGAAAAAGGACAAGGACAACAAGGATAAGAACAAGGATAAGAACAAGGATAAGAACAAGCGTCAGACCGAGACGAAAACAGATAAAGAGGACGGTGAACCAAATAAAGAGAAGCAGATCCGAAAAGAGAAGGCTAAGAAATCCAAAGAGGAAGACACGGAAGAAGAGGGGGAGGAGGAGGAGGAGGAAGTCGCAACCGAAAATGACAAGAAGAAGGTGGATAAGAAGAAGAAGGATAAGAAGAAGAAGAAAGAGAAGGACAACAAAAGCAGTGATCAAGAGACCGAGCAAGAACCAGAAAAGGACGGAGAGACAAAGAAGGATAAGAAAAAGAAGCTCGAAGAGGTTGAGGTCTTGGTGAAGGACCCAGAGACGGGAGAAATCAAGAAACAGAAAGTCATCAAAGAGGTCGAATCCAAGGAAGAGGGCCCCAGAAAGGTCAAAGATGCCGGTAAAAAGAAGAAGACCAAAGGCGACAAGGAAAAGGAGGTAACGGAGTCAGCAGAGGAGGATGCCGTGAAGGAGAAAAAGAAGAAGAAGAAGAAGAACGGTAAATCGGGGGAGGAGGAAGAGGAAGAAGAGGAAGGAGTTGAAAAGGCGAGAAAAAAGAAAAAGAAGAGCGATAAGGGCGGGGATGAGGATGAGGAGGATCGAGAAGGCACAAAAACAAAGAAGAAAAAGAAAAAGACACAAGAAGAGGCTCAACCAGACAGCGACGAGGAGAGCGTGAAAGGTAAAGAAGGCCCCGGAAAGAAGAAGAAGGCCTCTGAGAAACAAAAGGAACGCACCAAAAATGATGTGGTCAGCGACCAGGACGAAGAGGACGAAGAAGCCGTATACCAGAGATACACCGACAAGAATGGCAAGCAAAGGCTTCGTAAAGTTCCCGTCGATGCCCAAAAGAAGCAGAAGAAGCAGCGGCAGCAGATGGCGGACGCAGGCCAGTATGAGGAGGACGAAGACGGCGAGCAAGAAATCTACTATGATCGCCAGGGCGCGCCTATCAGACAGCGCAACAGCAAGCAACAGCGACAAAGGCAACAAGGCCAGTCCGACGAAGCTGATAACACTGTACCAATCGAGCTGCAAATGGCCGATCAAGGCGGATCAGTGGCACGACAACGAGGAGCTCAAGGTAATCAGCAGCAACAGCCTCTTGGTGATCTTGACGATGACTTGTCTCAGAACCTTTCTCTCGAAGAGCGACGTATTATTGCCGAACAGAGAGGCAGAAAGTTGGGGAACAACAAGATCCCTAACCATACCCGGACCGATGGAGTCGACAATGATGTTTCACGCGGGGAAGACGAGGGAGAGGAGGGTACGGATAATGCGTCGCTGAAAGACAAATTGCGTAATAAATGGGACAAGACAAAGATGGGAGAAGCAGAGGAGCCTGCCGGAAAAGTGGATACCAAGTCTGAACAACCAAGCACAAGCTCTGATGGAACCCCTCTTGTGGAAGAAGATCCCACAGCAAGGAGCGAACACCGACAGCCCAAAGGTCCAAAGGGACGAGTATCCGATCCCGAAGATGTCGCGCATGAGGCCGATAAAGGCGACAAGGATCAAGACAAAGATCGTGAGCAGAAGCAAAAGCAGGAAGACGAAAAGAAGAAGGCAGATGAGGATGAGGCTGCTACAAAAGAGAAGGAACGCTTAGCAAAGCTCGCTGAAACTCGCCGTAATCTTATGGGTCAAGTACCTGGACAAAACAGTGGCTGTGAGTTTGTGGGTCTGAATACTTACACCATGCACTGCTGATAACTACAAGTACCTCCACTGCGAGAGAAAGCATCAGCGCCTTCAGACAAAAGTCTAGCGCAGTTGCGAGCCAACCGGGAGAATGTCAGACAAGGTCCCAAAAGGCTTAAAGATGAGATCAGCCACAACGAAGGCAAGCAGAAAGAGAACGAAACTCAAAAAGAGGTAAAAGAGGGTGAAGGTGAGTCAGCAAGCCTCGCAATGCCATCTATGCTGACCACACACGCCTTCAGAGCAAACTGGTCCCAAGGGCGATGAACGTATCAAGCCTACCAATCCGCAAGACGCAGCGCGACAAGGGGCAAAAGACATTGAAGAGCGTTTCCGACGTGAGAGGGAGGATGCAGGGAATGCACCCGACACGTCCAAGAGCCCGCAGGATGGAGCTAGAACAGAGACAAAGCATGAAGAGCAAGACCGGCAAGAGCGCCAGCAAGAGCAAACACCGCCAGGTCAGGAGTCTGTGCTTTTTGGACATGAGCAACGTACCTCGGAGACGCCATTGAAACCGGACAACATTGAAGAACCTCAGTCGCCTGCTGTAGCAGCTCAATCCATCAGTGATCCAAAGGCAATCGATCGGGGTGCAGCCAGCGAGCAGACACCTGGAAGCAACAGTGACGGAGCAACTATACAGTCCGATTCTGAGAAGAGGGCAGCTGCTGCATTGAAGAGAAAAGAGACTGCCGAGAAGGAGCGCAAGAAGAAGGAGTTAGAAGGGCGCCAGCGTGAGAAGGAAGGACGTTCTTCAGAGGCAGATGATGACGTGGCTCGAACCCTTCCTCCTGTCTCCGGAGATGAATCCTCCGTAAAGACCGGGGACGAGTCACAAGACCTCGTACACACCCAGCCTTCCTCACGTGGATATCAGGACTCCCAAAGCCTGCCCCGCCCAGTCAGATCTGACAAGACACTTGAAGGGAACAACGGAGTAACAGACATGCAGACGGTGGACACCCGCCCCCGACAAGAACCCCATCACAACGAGACTGAATCCAATGCCGTTCGAGAAATGCTCGACCTTTCGCAATTGAACGATCGAGAAATAGAAGTATACGAGCGTGATGGCACTCTGCCAGCAGCTGTACAGTCTGAGCGTAAGGAGAACGTCAGCTCTGAACTCGTGTCACAGCGTCGAGGCGGGCGAGGTCGTAAAGATCCAGCTCTCGACGAAGAAGTGCATGATGATCAATCCCGTGAAAATGAATCTACCAATCTTGTTCGGCAAGGCGATTCGCGAGTCCGAAGAGAGAGATCCACACAGTCCGAGGTCCCGTTGGATGGAGTAGAGACGGATCTCGCCAGCTCGCAGCTCGTCCTTGGTAACGCGCAGAGGTCAGGCCACGGTAGGTTAGCTCTGGACGCACATGGGTATCGAGCTGACTTTTGTTCAGAGCAAGGAGCGAGCGATAGTGCGCTGACATCCGGATCTCGTCATCTTGGGCGGGAGGATATTGATAGACGAAAAGAGGCGATAGACTTGTCTGAATTGAATGATGACGAGATTGAGGAATGGGAGCGAAGTGGTAACTTGCCTCTTGCCACAAAAGAAGGATCCCAGAGACCTCCAGAGCCCCAAGAGATCGTTAAAACAAGACGAAATGAGCAGAGAGGAGAAGGGGCGCCTGCATTAGATGAGGTGTCTTTCGAGGTGCGCGGCGAACGTCGAACGGATCCGGATGGTGAAAGGGACTCGACTCCCCCTGCAAGACAACATCCTACCCTACCTCCGATAGCCTCCAAGTCGGCTGTCGATGAAGGTATCGCCTCTCCACCTTTGAGCGGAGCCACTCTGGTCGTAGACTCCTCAGACGAAGAAGCGTCTGGGCCAAGGCAGACAGAAGCCCAAAGACGAAACATCAAGAATATGGAGATCGAACAGACTGTGGCTCTCAAGAATGCCGTCGCTGACAATCCCGAGCTCATGAAAAATGCAATGGCAGAAAACGCAAAGAAGAAGGAAATGGCGGGAATGGGGAGCGACGAGAGAAAGAAGGTAAAGAAGACAAGGGGCACCAGCGACATTGTGACTAGTGATGAGGAGGAATTGAGAAACGTCCCCATTCGAAGACCATTGGAAAACCGGCGGGGACCTGAACCGACTGGCGATAGCGAGACTGAAGTCGAGGAAACAGAGAGGGACATTTGCTGGCAAGCCCAGAATAATCAAGAGACGAAAGGGCACAACCCCCGAGATTCGGGCTACGATTCCCCCGGAAGGAATTACAGCGACAATGATACGGATTCGATGCATTTCGAGGGCCAGGTGGCAACACCCCCACCACTTTTGCCGCCTCGCCGACAGCAGCCGGACAAAAATCATCGACAGGATCATTCAAAGGCCCCAGAGGCACCCAGAGCCGAATCTCCGGTCGAAGATGTTTCTTCGGAAGAAGAGGAGTATGTCGACGACCCGAATAAGACACCAGCAGAGAATGCTCGAGAAACCTGGCGGAGTAAGGCCGATGCTGACAGAAAGAAGAAGGAGCGTCAGCAAAGGAAGATCCAGGAAGAGGCAGACGGTCAACGCACAAAGCGAGACCAAGCTGTGGTGGATGATGACAGTTCCGTTTATGAGAAACAAGAAGCTCCTCAATCATCCCGTACGTAAACCTTGGGCCAGAATCCGCCATCAGCTGATTTCATTATAGAGCCAGAAGAAGCTTCGAGAAAAAGGAATGAACAACGAGATGGCCGACCTGGAGATGGCGAGATCTCTCCACTCTCCCCCGATGACGAAGCTTGGGTCAATGATCGCGCCAAACGGCGTGAAAGGGGCGAGAACGTACCTGAAGCTGAAGAGGTTTCCGATATCGAAGAAGGGACCCAGCCTCGATCAGATCAGTCACAGCGCCAGCAAAGGCCAGAAAGACCCGAGGACGACGCACCCTTGCCCGGTACCGGCTCTGAAAAAGACAAGAAGGGCAGAAAAGAGCGTATGCGGTTTGGGCATGAAGATCGCAAGAAGCAGGGAGAAGCACAAGAGGAGATCGAAGAGGTGCACAAAGCGACGCGGGAAGAGAGAAGGAGGCAGACGCAGGAAGAGAGGGGGAGAAGACGCGAGGCCGCGGAGGGAAGGCAGCAGAGGGCCGAGAAGGATGCCAGAGAAAGACTGTCACAGGAAAGACAAGGGCGAAAGGTGCGGGAGACAGATGCTGACGACGGGGATAAGTCGAGGAAGGGTCGACGTCAGGCGGCCGATGGAGATTCTGAAGAATCGACCGTCAGCAGCTATACCAAGCGCAACATCTCCGTCAACCCTTTCACATACCTCCGGTCTACCTGGTATCTTCTCAAAGCCGCTCCGATATGGTCCCTTTTGACTACGGGAATCCTGGTACTATACATTGAGATTACTCGTCAACTCTACGAGATGCTTTCGGTCTCGTCAGGAAGTACCTCACTCACCAAGAGGGCCTCGTCTGACGTTCCCGCCGACCTCGCCTTCACTCAAAGTTGGTTCTCAGACTTGGTCAGCAATCTCTCTTTCGACCCAACAGCCTTTTTTGCTTTTATCAGTATGTGGAGTATCCTGTGCTTGCCCATCCTTGGGCTCTTGATTCACAAGACGATATCTGTTGCTGAGAACCCGCGCCCCAAGAACCCTGACGCTTGGTGGCGAAACCCCTTCACATCAACGGGTAAACTCTGGCAGGGGTTCAAAGTCTGTTGCCAATCCAGTACCCGAGCCGTCTTGTTGGACCGACACCTTTCTGGCCCCAGACGATTTATGGGGCGGGCGGGAAGGTGGACCTGGCTCCGAATCCTCATCTTTTCTATTCAGTTGGCAGGTTTTGTCCTGATCATCCGCCAAGCCATGAGCCTTGCATACATGGTCGGCACCGGAGGCTCGGAATCGTTCTCTACGCTCCCTGATGTGGCGTCTTCAGAAAAGTCGATCGCGGACGTGGCGTCGAGTCTTGACGATCAAGGCGCCTTTGCTATCCTCAATTTCGTCTTTTTCCTCTTGCTCCTCGTTCTTGCCGCTTCTTGGTACGCCCTCCTCCATGCGGGATCCCGCCTTCCCCGTCGTGGTCAGACAACAGACGAAAAGCAGGGCTTCGACGGTAGCAAGAAGTCACGCTGGCGTCTTCCAGGCGTCCGTACGTCTCTGAAATGGTTGGCCATCATGATCATCCTTATTGCGGTGATCGTCTCTCTCCTCTTCTTCCAGAACATTGCGTCTTACATTGCTGGAGAAGACGGCGCATCGGATGCTAGCAGCGAGGTGGTCATGTTGGGAGCGAATATGATATTTTTCGTGTTGATGGGAGCGATGGGATATGTGGTGTTTGAGCTGGAGAAGGTGTGGAGGAAGCATCTGAAGGGACGTTTGGGTGGAGGTTGTAATGGCAGCGGGTGCTGGGGCTGCGGATCTGATGTTTCTGTATAATCATTTGGGTGTTAGAGTTCTAGTTCCGATTGTGACTATGTAGATCTGTAGAATGTGAGTAGTAAATCAAAGCCTTCAAGAAGCCGAGCATGTGTAAGCTAGGGTCTACCCCGCACATAGAGTGAAAGCGTAAACGTTCGTGACATCATGAAGATCCAACATACCCCGGTAACTATGACCAGCTCATCCCCCTCCAACCCAGCCCCCTGCCGGTATCCCTATTCTGGCCGCTAGTTGTCTATACTGTTGGGCTGCCAACGCGCTCGTGCGGCCCCAAAGAATCACCAAAGCGAACACCAAGAAAAGGACATTCGTCGTCTGTACCAAGTTAGCCCAGACTTCAGTTTTATGAGGCGCAGGAAGTTTGCAGTAGAGAGAGAACTTACAACGAACTCGTAGAAATCCTGTCGTTCCTTCTTCACAACTTTGCCGCACGCTTCCCAAGCTGGCACTTCGCCCTGCTGACCTCCGTCGGAAGCTGAGGCGGAAGAAGAGTTGGAAGGTAGACAGTGCAAAAGCCTGCGATTGCCAAAGGGGAAGCAGAATGCCTGGTCGAGCTTTGAAACAAGCGCACAATCAGCGAGGGTCAACAGTGCTATAAGAGAAGTGGACGCACCTCGTCTTTGGGACACGGCGAGCATTCGCCAAAAGGTCTACAGACCAGGTCCCCGGCTGGATGCGCAACGTACTCCGGTTGCTTTGCCCTCTTCTTCGATTCGGCGCCACCTGTTGCTGTTTCACTGGAGCTATCTTGTCGTATCCCCAATGCGTCCAAAGACGAAGAGCGAGTGTATAGGTACCGTTCTGGTTCGGCTGTCGCGAGCGCGATGAGCGTCAGGAGTAGTAGGGCTATTGGCCAAGACCTATAACTCTTTATTCAGCTGTCATTGTTATCCCCATCCAGCAGCATGCTTACAGTGTCCGTAATCTGACCATATTCGATTATGCATAGACGATCAAAACAGAAATCTCTCGAGGAATCATAGCAGTGACGCGCAAGTTAACGTGTAAGCAGGAATCGTAATTACAACCTCCAGTAGCCAACGCGTCGTCAGTTTGCGCCCTATGACCTCTTTCATTTCACCGTCTTTCAATCTCATATCATCTCCTTCCCTCTGGTACTTACTCAATTCTGATAGCAGCGCCCCCTCGACAACTGAATCACAACCCCCAGAAGGAAGCAACAAGATGGCTGTGGCGACCCAGAAGATACCAAAGGCTCCAACAGCCCCTAGTACCTCCATCAAGGTGCGCTATTAACTATTCTCAATGGACGGCAACTGACATCACACGCTTGACAAACAGACATACTACCAAAACAAAATTGAATCTGCCGAGCTTGACATTACCCGCAAGACCCAGAACTTGCGTCGATTGGAAGCTCAGCGAAATGCTCTCAATGCTCGAGGTGAGTTGCTCTCATCGCGGTAGCTATGTAGTGGTCAGTACTGAAATCATCCATAGTGAGGCTCCTCCGAGAAGAGCTGCAGGTCCTGCAAGAGCCTGGAAGCTATGTGGGTGAAGTCATCAAGGTGATGGGCAAGAAGAAGGTCTTGGTCAAGGTGCAGCCTGAGGGCAAGTATGGTACGTCGAAATGTCTTGTCCACCCGATGCGATCTAACAGAAGACCAGTGGTCGACTTCTCCCCCGACATCCCCGTCTCCTCCCTCACTCCCAACCTCCGTGTCTCCCTCCGTGCCGACTCTTATCTCCTCCACTCCATTCTCCCCAACAAGATCGATCCCCTCGTCTCTCTGATGATGGTCGAAAAAGTCCCCGACAGTACCTACGAGATGGTCGGTGGTCTGGACAAGCAGATCAAGGAAATCAAAGAGGTCATTGAGCTGCCGGTCAAGCACCCAGAACTGTTTGAGAGTCTGGGTATCGCTCAGCCCAAGGGTGTGTTGCTGTATGGCCCCCCGGGAACGGGCAAGACGCTGTTGGCGAGAGCGGTGGCGCACCACACGGACTGTCGATTCATTCGAGTCTCCGGATCGGAATTGGTGCAAAAGTACATTGGTGAAGGTTCGAGGATGGTTCGAGAGCTGTTTGTGATGGCCCGGGAGCATGCCCCGAGTATCATCTTTATGGATGAGATCGACTCTATTGGATCGAGCCGTGGCGAGAGCGGTAAGGGAGACTCGGAAGTGCAGAGGACCATGATGGAGCTGTTGAACCAGCTGGATGGATTTGAGGCTACCAAGAACATCAAGGTAAGCTCAAACCCCTTCGTATTCATATTGGCGCAGCTGACGTCCGATAGGTTATCATGGCCACCAACCGTATAGACATCCTCGACTCTGCCCTTCTCCGACCAGGACGAATTGACCGAAAGATCGAGTTCCCGCCTCCCAACCCTGAGGCCCGTATCACCATTCTCAAAATCCACTCTCGAAAGATGTCTTTGCAAAGAGGTATCAACTTCAGAGCGTTGGCGGAGAAGATGGGCAACTGCTCTGGTGCGGAGGTGAGGGGTATCTGTACAGAATCAGGCAAGTCGTCTCGAGACTCTGACGAGGGCGACACTAATTTGAAACAGGAATGTACGCTTTGCGTGAGAGGCGTCAGTACGTCGGGCAGGAGGACTTTGAGATGGCTATCGCCAAGGTGTTGAAGAAGAACGCGGAGAGCAACATGAGTGTCAACAAGCTCTTCAGCTAGACCCAGAAGCGTATATATGAAATTTTCTCTGCATTTATGATGGCTGTATATGGAAAAAAGGGCCATGTCCTCGAATAAGTAGATGATAGAAAAGAAGAGTCTAAGGGGACTAGACATAAAAGTACACCCAATCAAGCCTATTGTTTACACTGTGGACAAGCCTGCCATTATCTGACCTCCTCCCCACTCCCTGCCCCCTTCCCGTCTCCTTTCAGCTCGATCCCACCGCCCATTCCCGTTGACCTGTTGGCCTCCCGCCTGATCTCTTCCAGCTCCTTGTCCGTAGGGATTCTATCTGAGGGATCAGGCGCAAACGAGGACATGGTGCGGAGCACGAGATCTGCCGAGGACAGGAAAGAGTTTGTAGCGAGCCGGAGTAGACGGACTGTTGTGGTATAGTAGTTGCTGCGGGTACCCGAAGTGAGCTCGGGAAGAATAGCATGGGGATAACGAGGGGGGCTTACACCACGAGTATGTCTCCTTCGACGCTCATCTCCCTGTGTACCATGCCTGCATTCTGCTCCTTGTCCACGTCCAATGCCCGCCTGGCAATGACGGCGTGTTCTGGGGTTCGGAATGGGATCCTTAATTCGCTGTTTATGCACAGCCATGGGGGTCAGGAGTAGGAGCAGGAGGGGGGGAGGTCAGCAATGCACTCTGGAGGCCGAGGGAACGTACACGGTGTGCCAGCCTTCTCTGTCTGCCATTATGCACAGTGGTGGATGTAGAGTAAAAGGCGGGATGGGAAGTAGCGAGAGAGACGCATCCAACGCTGGAGTCGCCGCCAATTCTCGGCATCCGCTACTCTTCTCTTCCTTCAACAGCCGCCACATATAGAATGATCAAGGTGCGTCCACTCTGCGCTCTGTACTGCCATGGCTGTCCCGCACACTGCACTCCATGCGAGCCATGCTTGCAGCCATGGACGATGCCAGCGACGTGTGATTACGAATACAGTCACTGACTATTTGGCTCAATGCCCTGCCCATACAGCTCTGGAGTGTCAAGAAAAACGAAGAGGCTGCGGCCAAGAAGCGTCCCAAGGTCACTGCTGCTCAGCTGCGTGTCCAGAAAGGTGTGCACATCCCTCGAGCTCTAGACATCATCCGCTGATGGTCGCGTGCTAGACTTGACAGAGCTGGATCTCCCTTCCACCATGAAGACTGTGTTCCCCGACCCCACCGATGTGCTCAATTTCACCCTCACCATCACTCCCGATGAAGGTATCTACAAGGGCGGCGTGTTCAACTTTTCCTTTGCCATCAAGCCCGAGTACCCGCATGAGCCGCCAAAGGTGAGGTGCAAGGAGAAGATCTATCATCCCAATCTGGATCTGGAGGGGAATGTCTGTTTGTGAGTCTAGTTCAAAGCTCAGACAGATTCAGCCTGAAGAGAAGCAAGAGCTAACGGGAAGTTAGAAACATTCTGCGAGAAGACTGGAAGCCTGTCCTTACCCTCTCAAGCGTTATGATCGGTATCCAATACCTCTTCCTTGAACCGCAAGTCCCTTCACTCATGCCACCGATAATGCCGTCTAACGATCTAATCATAGCAACCCTGATGACCCACTCAACAAAGACGCCGCCGAAGATTTCAGACGGTCTCGCGAGACATTCGTCCACAATGTCAAGCAGGCCATGAGGGGTGGTTACGTCGGGTCCGAAAAGTTCGACAAGGTTCTCGCCTAGAGAAGGTCCTCGCTGTCCCATCTAGATGTGTATCTCGGCATGCTTCGTCATGGTACTCCTCTCCCCGACTCCTCCTATCCACTTTGTAATCAACCCGTTTCAAACCCCTAGTGTGTAGAGTGGCGAGCGGACAGAGAGAAGAAGGGCATTTCTATAGAACGTATATGTGGCCTGGTGCTCATGTAAAGTAGAATATAGGCCGACTTTCTATCACTAAGTGTAATACTGCTGACAAGTCTGAATTCGGCGGAGGTAGAGAAAGTGAAAGTCTATCATACGTCTGCAGAATGATTATGGCGGCCCTGGCTTGTCATATCTGCTGCCTTGTTCTGCTAGATCGGGCGATACCCAAGGGAATCTCAAATGTGACTATCACTCTTACTGGAATTTGCAGTTTCTACAATACATAAGGCCGAACACATTGAACGGACCTGTGGTGGCGATGGGGTATACAACATCATGCAGGGTATCTCACGAGCCCAGCTCCGGCTCACTTTCGCCCTTTGAACCACTTCCCAACCTTCTTACCAGCATACACTACGCTCTTCGTCAACCCCGCCGTGAACAAACCCTTGACACTCTGCCGAAGAGCAGGGGTGTGGATGATCTCATTCAACGTCTTGGAAAGATCTGTGGGGAAAGAAGGTTTTGTCACGAGGGGAAGGAAGGTTTCTGGAGAAGATGGGGAGGATGGGAGATGGAAGACGAGATTGCTGGGGAGGGTTGAGGCCAGGTAGGCCATGTGGTTGGGATCTTTATGTTGCTGATTGTCACATCGTCAGCTAGATACTTTGTGAGAACCCGTCCCACTCACCACCAACTTTCCCTCCCCTGTCCCTTTCCACGTCCATTTTTCCTTCTTTTCCTCGGCCCATTCAACTCCCAGATCACCTCTCTGAAGGAAAGGCCCATACATCTCCCTAAAGCCTTCCCTCGCCCCCGGCCCTCTCACGATATTCCCAACCTTGCCCGGATTCTCACCCCCTGGCACCCGCATTCGCGGATCGCCTTCATAGCTCAGGCCGGTAATCTTCATCCATAACTCGTCCTCTGTGAATTCTCTTGGAAGAAGCAAGAGAGATAGGGAGAGGGCAGATTGAAGGTTGGTCTGAAGAGCAGCCTCGAGGGAGGGAGGGGGCGGTTGGAGGAGCAAGGTGGGTTTTTGGAGTCTGCCGGAAAGGTAGAAGGTTGTCCAGTCCTTCAGGTCGTCTTCCAACATGGAGCTGGTTATTATACCATACTTGGCATTCTACATGACATCAACATCAAGTCTTGTATAGCAGCGGAAGACTCACCGTCCCGCCAATGTCGACCATCGTCACGTACCACACCCCCGCTCCCCACTTTTCTTGAATCCTCGCCACTGCTTTGGCCCCTAGCAGCCTCGCGTATAATGGGTAATGGGTGGGGTTTTGACGCAAGTTGATGGAGTGAAAGTCCTCGGCATGGGGGGTGGACAGAAGCAAGTCTGTCAATGGCGATTCCTTCTTCTCTTCCACTTTATTCTTGGGGGAAGAAGACGCTTGGGGTAGTACACCAGAGCCATATGCCACTGCCCAGTCCACGGGCGCCTTGAAGGTCGAGATGAGCGGCCTGAGTTTGGTGTAAGGATCCGTCTTCTCCTGCGAAGAGTAGCTCCTCAAGGACAAGTACAGCCGGGGGACACTTTTCTTTCCCACCGACAGCAGTGGAGCCAGCGGGGCCAGTCTAGACATGCTGGGGGATGATTGATGCATAGAGGAAGAAGAGAGATGCTGCAAGATGGATGTCCGCCACACGAGCGCCAGAAATCGCCGAAAAGATCGATGTCAGTCGCGCACATCTCCTCTTGCATTCACCTCAATCCAACTTTCCCCTATCTGCAACAACAAACATGTCCTTCGGTGGCTTCGGTAAGCTCCCTGCACACCCCATCAGATGGTGCAAGACGAATGCTGACAATCACTACAGGGCAAGCCGCAGCGAAGCCGGCTTTCAGCTTTGGCAACAACTCCCAATCCAGCACCACTCCCGCCCAACCCGCCCCATCTGGAGGTACAGGCCTCTTCGGGTCTACCACCAATCAACAGCAAGGAGCTACGGGCGGCGGTCTGTTTGGACAACAACCAAAGCCTGCCGGTGGTCTGTTTGGCTCGGCGGCCAGTACGTCCACCCAGCCTCAACAGCAGCCCGGCCAGAGCGGGGGTCTCTTTGGAGGATTGGGTCAGAGTCAGCAGGGACAACAGCCCCAGCAAGGCCAGACGGGAGGGGGAGGATTGTTCGGGAGCACGACGAGTAATACTGCGTCGGGCGGTCTGTTTGGTCAAAAACCTGCTGGATCGGGGCTGTTCGGCTCTACATCTTCTGCCCCTGCCCCTGCCCCTGCTCCTGCTGCAGGCGGTGGCTTGTTTGGCTCTACTTCTCAGCCCCAGCAGCAAAATGCTGGCGGTGGTCTCTTTGGCAGTACCCAGCAGGCCCTGCAACAACAAGCATCTGGGGGGCTATTCGGTGCTCAACAGCCCCAACAGCAGCAGCAGCAAGGAGGTGGTCTATTCGGTAGCACTGCTCAGAAGCCAGGGGGGGTGTTTGGAGGCTTTGGTGCTTCGACTTCTCAACCTCAGCAGCAGCAGCAGCAGCAGCAACCCCAACAACAACAGTCTGGGCTCTTTGGCTCGACTCTTGGTGCGCCCCAACAGCAGCAGATGGGGCAGAGTCAGATGCAGCAAAGTCAGTTGGGGCAGAGCATGTTTGGGGTGAAGAAGGAGCAGGACATTGAGAGCAGGATAAGGACAGTGCAGAATGCCTGGGATAGTGCTTCGCCAGAGTGTCGATTCAAAGTGCGTCTTCACCTGTATTGCCAAGCACAAGACTGACGAGTGTGCCAGTACTTTTTCTATAATGTAGTCGAAGAGGGTACCGCGTCTCGTTACGGTCGCCCCGCCAACGCTACCGACGACGCCCAATGGGCCAAAGCCCTCCGAGACAACCCTGATCCCAACTCGTACGTCCTCACGGCATCATTACGGTCGCAACTCACACGTCTACAGTATGGTACCTGTGCTCGCTGTCGGCTGGTCAGACGTCAAGAAGCGCCAACAGATGCAAGAAAACCTCGCTGCCGTGCATCAAGAACGCACTTCTGAAATAACGGCTGCCCTTTCGCATACCCGTCAGACATCACTCTCTTCGTCTATCCGTCTCGCCAACCTGCAGCAACGCCAGTCTCAGCTCGTGCACCGACTCATCCATCTCGCGTCTGTCACGCCTGGCATTGTGCCGCTCAACCAGCAGGGCGGTGTGTTGAGGGACGATGAGGTGGCCTTGGCCAGGAAATTGGAGGGAGTGAAGAGGGAGCTGGAGGGGGCAGCTGGGAGCGTTAGAGGCGGTAGTGTCAGGAGAGGAGACGGGGAACTCAGGGGGAGACTATTGGGACAGGTCAATGAGCTCTGGGGTCAGTTAGAAGAAGTCAGGCGCAGGAGAAAAGTACGAGGACAAGAAGGGAGAGAAACTTGGATCGGAGACGAGAGGCTGTTGGCGGAGATTGCAGAGGTAATTCTCTTCACTCGACAGGATGACACACTGGCTGACATGTTGTGGCAGGTTCTAACGACACAGCAAACGGCTATACAGAAGCTGTCAGACTTGGCGCAAGAAGAAAACTTTGATGCGGATGTGGTCCTCCACGGACATGGGCGGTAGCATGTTACTCTTGAACGATGCACAGATTCATAATTGTCCTTGATGAAGCTACTTTATGTACACGGAGATACCCATCGAAGCCCCCCGAGACTCGCGCAGACGCGGCCGAATCCAACGCGCTCCATCTCCTCTTGCAGACATTTTATTTTGCCTTTCGCGTCAACCTTATTCGCATCCACCTCCTCATCCACAAGCAACCCCGGGAGCAGCAGGGGCGCCATGGACATCGACTCCCCACCAGCAGAGTCGTTCCCCACCCCCCAGGACCCCCACAGCCACATCAACCTCCCCTCCTTCTCCGCCTCCTTTCCTCTCCCCTTCCGCGTCCTCTTTCTCGTTGGCGTCGCATTATTACTATGGGCCATCAATCTCCAAGTGCTGAGCTGGATAGGGCTGGATATGAGCTGGATACTGGATCTGAGAGATGATCCTGGTGAAGGAGTTGAGGGACTAGACGACGGTGTTGTTGGGGAGCTGGTAGAAGAGGGCGCTCTCGAACTCGTAAACTCGCCTCGTCTTCGAGTAGAACCTCCACGCCATGCTGGGGATCAACCACCCGACACACCTATACGCCCGACATCCTCCCGCTTGGTACGACCCCCGAGCAAATCGTTACATGTGGGGATGTACAAGCTTTTCGCAGTGTATACAGCTTTCGTGGGCGCGGCCTGGGGGCTGTTTTGGGTTCTCAGTGGGGGAGGAGATGAGGAGGCCATGGAGGGGTGTAGATGGGTGCCTGGGTTGACGGCGTTGGGTGTGGTTACGGCTGTGAGCGTACCATGGAGAGGTGTTGGGGAAAGAGAGAGACTTGGTTTCAGAAGGTCCGTCTTACCCGTCTCGAATCTGTCCTTGAACTGATATGTCGCAGAGCTATGAAACGGATACTGTTACCGAAACTGAACGATCCCATCTACTTCTCCGACGTGATTCTCGCCGATATTCTTACGTCTTTCGCCAAAGTCCTGGGTGACTTGTGGATATCTGCTGCCCAGATATGGAATGGAAATATTACCCAGGGAAGAGTGGGCCAGACCGGAGTGGGTAAATGGATTACTTTGGCTATGGTCAGGTGAGCTTTGAATTCCAAGATGATCGTTATGGGTCTAATCGAGATACAGCCTGCCGTATCTGCTTCGTTTCCGACAATGCCTCTTTGAATTCCACCAATCATCCTACTCTTCCCCACGCCCCCTTGCCAACGCCCTCAAATACTTTTCCGCTTTCCCCGTCATCTTCCTTTCCGCCGCCCAAAAGACCGTAGTCACCGACATTGCCAACTCCAAAGGTCTATCCGTCCAAGAACTCGCCGCTCAACACGCCAGCCAGTGGTTTGGCGAGCACAGACTCTTCAGGCTGTGGCTTTTGGCAGTATGCGTCAACTCGATGTACAGTTTCTGGTGGGATGTGACGATGGACTGGGGGTTGGCATTGTTGGAAGTGGATACTTGGCTCCCGAGAAGTGAGGGCGGGCTGGCCCTTGGAAGTCCGGGAGGAAGAGGGAGACGAGCAGGCTTTGTGGAGACTGTGAAGAGGCTGTTTGGACGAAGCAGAGATATCAATCATCAGCGCTCCCCTTGCCCTTCCCCTGCACCATTCCCGGGTTCGACCCCGACCTCTCCCACCAGGGCCCCCATAACAGCTTCCCTCCGCGCCCCCTCACCTTCCCACACCCCAACTCCTACACCATCCCGCTCCCTCCTCACACACGGCCTGCGCCAGCACCTTCTCCTTCCTGATCCTTTGGTGTACCACCTCTTCACCATCATCGACCTCATCCTCCGATTTACCTGGTCGCTCAAGCTCTCTTCCCATCTTCACACCATATCAGAAATTGAGAGTGGAGTATTCCTGATGGAGACGCTGGAACTGGTGAGGAGGTGGATGTGGGTGTTTGTGAGAGCGGAATGGGAGGCCGTCAAGATGGGCGAAGGGAATAGATGGGGGAGGGGCAAGGTGGTTTGGGAAGGAGAGGACGAGTAGGATTTACATCTGCATCTTTGGGGATCCTAGATAGATTTGGACTATACTTTGCATTCATATATACCCATAGTCCATACTGCTACAGTATAATGCAGGTATCATATTGCATGCTAATGTTACAACACTGGCTGTAAAGATATGTGCGTGCGCCCTTGAAAGATCACCAGATTCGCCCTAATTGGCCATATCACCTGCCACTACCACTTTCTCCCAACAGCGTTCTACAGAGAGGTGAGCAATTACACAAATTATCATGAGGCCACTCACTTGAACACACTCCTTAAAAGCCTTAAATTCCGTTTCGCACATGCCCTTGGAGACATCAGTGTACGACCGGCCTATACACTTGCCGTATGCTAATGACTATTTGGACAGCGCAGGGTCAGCACTTGAATACGAGATACGACTGGGAAAGCCTGAAACTTACTTGGGTAGCACACGATTTGGAAGCCGAGGCCAGCGTCTTGAGAGGTTGCTTGTCCTTGTACCGAGGAGGCATGTTGTTTCACTTTTTGCTTCCCGGAGGCTCTCTTTTGAAACGTAGGTCTTGAAGGATCTTTTGGTTGCGACTATGGTATTGCTTTTGCCTGAGGATATGTCGATTTTGTTGTAACGCTCGATGGGAGAGTGGTGCATGATTTCCGTCGTCGCCGCCGCCGAAAGCGTTGAGAAGGATTTACGTAAACTGCCTCCACCTTTGCTCTTCGCGATATCGAGATGATGATATCGAGCCATTGTTGAATCTCTACACAACAACGACGACAGATTGCAGAAGGTATTGAGAACCTCTTAGATCATTTGACAATGACCTCTTTCTTACGCACAAACTTTCTCCGAACCCGCCTCCCCAATCTCGCCTCTCCAGCATCGTGTTCCCGTATCGCCTCTACCACTCGTCTCTTCTCCTCAGCTGCCCAACTTCCACCCTCAGAAAAAGACCCCTCTCATCCCCATCTATGGTATCACCCCAGCTCATCATACATCTCCCTGTCTTTTCTGCCGACTAAACCAGCAGTCTATGGGTCCAAGACTGTGATCGGGTACTTGCCGCTTGGAGAAGCCACTTTGGATGATTTCAGAAACGAGCCCAAATTTGAGTGCGTATTGTCACTGTATTGGAGGCAAAGACTGACCATTGCTGCTAGGAAAGTATTGGAGGACGCGGTCAAGGATGGTTTGGCAAAGGGAAAGGCGACGACGGTGGAGTTTGAGGCAGAGACAAGACCGACTGATGGATGGATCCATATCACAGGTATGGTTGCTTTGATTCTACAGCTGTTGTGGTAAATATTAATCGCGGAGGCTTAGACGAACGAGCGATTCCACCGATGGGGAGAATAGGTGAGACGGAAGATATCATCGGGTCTGTCTACGTTCAAGAGGGCAAGGTGATTACTACTGCCATGCTGGTGTGTCACAAGACAATGCTGACATTCCATGTTATCAATATGAAGATCATCGCCGATACTTATTCTGCCTCCCCCACATATCGCCTCGTCACGACCAACGGCGTCCTGAGACTCCCTCGAGGGCTGGACGAGCACCTGGTCGAGACACTGAAGAAGTTTGATGAAGAAGAGAGACGAGAGAGCGCTGCTAGTGTGTTTTAGACCCACTCGAGTATGTAAAGAAGCTCGCTACTCTGTTGCATAACTCGCACACATTTACAAGATAGCATTGACAGCCCACTATAGATACAGTCCCTCAGGAAAACAATATACACAAAAGTTCTTTCAAGTCAGTTTAGCCAGACCGAAGTCAAGATGGCAGAACCTTTAGATGGCCCCCAGAATATTCTCAAAAATAAGAAAATTACTCCTGAGGCGGGGCCAGGGGAGGATCAGGCATCAACTGATAACTCCTCCTGCGCGATTGTGCCTCATTTCCCTGCCCCACGTTTCCCATGCCAAGTCCCACATCCGCCATAGCCCTTTTCCCCTCCTCCTGACTTTTGATGTCCGCCTTCTTCGCCAACTCGCCTCTCAGCTCTGGACCGAGACTAGGTACTGGTTTTCTCCTCGACGATGGCGTCCTGCCCAGCGCTCCGACCCTCGGGCTCTCCCCGGGATTAGGAGAAGAGTTGACGGAGCCGGAGCCGGAAGGAGAGCGACGTGGGAGACGCTGAGGTGAGGAGGGTTGAGAGTCGGTGCGCGAGGTGCGAGTGGGATGATCGGCTGGGAGTGCACCGGCGGGGTTGGAATAACGACGAGTGGGGTTATAGGTAGACGTCGGCTGAGGGTACACAGTTGAGGGGTTCTGAGAAGGTGGAAGAGCCGGCGATCGGAAGGGATCGTCTCGAAGCATCTCTTCCTCTTCTTGTTCCTGCCTCCCACCGGCAAGCACGATGGGCGCAACACTCTCCGCCGTTGCCTGGCCGAAGCTCTCCTCGCTGTCCTTGTCGATACTGGAGGTGAAGCTCTTGTCATGAGCTGTAGCGCCCAGTGGAATCGGACCACCTCTAGCGCCCGGTCCAGACATAGTAGGAAGGGGCGAGTGGCCAGGGTCAGATGGCGCTGTGGAGGCAGACACCATGCGGCGGTGGGTCATGCCCATCGGATGACCGTCGCTCCCACGAGCACCACGCCTCGCCTGCTGTCTCCTACGCCTCAAGCAGAAGAGCAATCCCGCGAGGAAGGCAAGTCCTGCAACAACACCAATGACGATACCCGCGATAGCACCCCCGCTCAGCCCTTTCGACCCAGTATCATCCTCCGTACCCCCGGCCGCCGCTCCCGAAGAAGCTGTAGCAGCCACAGACTCTGCGCTTCCGGTCACCTTTCCGCTACTGAGCGTTGCGGTAGCCGTTTTGCTCATGGCCGCGAAAGCAGTCAGGCAGCTCGTGTTTGTGCTCTCTCGCACGGTGAAGACGTTGCTCGTATTAGACGTCCCATAGCCGTCATAGACATGGCCGTAGATTCTGTAGTTGCCTTCGGGCAGGCGGACAGGTGTCCAGCGGTAACCGTGGTTGGCGTATTGGGTGATGATGGTGGTGTTTATAGATAGTGTGGTGCGTTTGACGGGGTCGGAAAGGGAGCGGGCAATGTTGGATGTGGTAGCAGCTGCCGAGGAGTTTTGGGCGACAGCAGAAGACGATGGAGATGTCGCTGAGGTGCTGGATACCACTGTTGTACTAGGCGATTCGATGGTCTGGTCCACGCCCTCATTCACAGCGTACACTGTGATGTTGTATCTCGAGGCGTCTTCATTGTAGACATTCCAGTAGATCCTGTGAACCGTCAGTGACGTTCGTACCTTTACTAGCATGCACTCACTGGCCTGTCCCACAAGCAACCATATCTGCTACATCATGGATTACAAGATAGGGTGTCCCAGAATAGGTTGTGGTGGTAGTAGAAGCATTCGCGACCGCCGCTGTGGTCGACTGAGCGCCTGCTGGCCAGGGATGATTCAGCCACATAAGAGACCCTAGTAGCAGGTAGCTTTGCCTGCTATGTGCTGTGAACAACATTGTCCCGAGCTCTGGCTATTGGTATGTCGAAGGGTGTCGGGGTATGAACAGGCGTGAAAAGACGGTCGGGCGTCGTGAGGTCGTTCTTCGCCAAAGTCATGCAAAAGACAAAGGATGATTGTTGTGGAGCGAAGAATAGATCTTTGAAACCTCGTGTTTTGGAGGTTTCTGTCTGCCCCCTCGCAGAAAAGGACACGCCCTGCAGGCTGTAACCAGGCGGTGGCAAGAAAAGGCCCGAGGTTCAATGCAGTGCCCGTTCCTCGGTAATAAGCGATTGGGCTCTCGCGGAGTTAGAGTGGAATGCGAGGGGGAAAGAAGTGGCCGCTGGCTGGCGCAGAAGAGATGCTGTAGAGCTGTGATAGATGCAAAGTCTGCTGTGGCCTGGGCTTGTGGCAGCACTGCAATTATGCAAGGCAGCAGAGCAGGGCAGGGCCAGCGCGTTTCACATGAGATGCAACCAGGGCAGCCCTGGCCCTGGACGAGCAGTCATCGCGACCACAAGAAAGATGCCGATACATATCAGAGCAGCAGTATATGCGAAAACAGGCTACGAGACTGATACTTCTGCCTGCGGCATCATCTACTTGGGAGTCGTATACCCCGCATAGAGGAGACGACTTCGGGACATCGCCTCGGTACGCCGGACAAATGGTATCACAGCAATGCAGTACTCTCACAACTTCAACCTCCAGTTCAGATACAATTCGAGGCCCGGGGCAGGATCTGAATGATGTCTACGACTGAGGTTGTATGTACACTTCCTGAAGACGTGTGCACTCAGGTTTGGGCTCGAAACCCGCCACAGCGTTTTGAGATCTTTGTTTGGTTCCGATTAACCATGAAAGCGGGATGGTCCACCTGACCCCTGGTGGGTCCACCTTGCGTTCCAGTCAAATCACAACTGTCAACAGACTTGGGAGATTGAACATGCTCTCCTGGCTAGAATATCCTACTGGCCTCACATATGACAGAGCAAGATCCAGGACCAGGAACATGTGCTTTTGAATGATGGAGAGCATCCGCCTCAGGGCCGGGTGATTCAGCCAGGTGTAACAGCGCCTGAACAGGGATGTTCCCAGTTCCCGGCCACCCGGCTGTCTCCTTGCATTTCTTGAAGAGAGACTGATCGACTGGCTTCAGGCTCCAGGCCTCAGGCCATCCATGGAACTTTCAGGCTTCAGGAAAAAGCAGAGGCCCCAGAATTGACGTTTGCCTCGTTAGAACTTAAAAGAGTGCCACCGGGGAACCCCGAAATCGACTCTGGCCGCCGGATTGTGATGACCTTCAACTTCACCTTTCCGTACTTTGTTCCCCCATACGCTACGCTCTTGACAGGATATGTCTCTGAGGGGTATTAACCATTCTGATTTGCTCGATGTACGACTCGTCGAAATTGGTCTTCAAAAAAACGAGGTGTTCTCTCCAAAAGCCTCTCAGGACCCGATGACGGTCTTCCACGACACTTCCCGGGGGAAGGCAGTCTACGTATCTCGCTTGACAAAAGGCAATCACAAACACACCGAAGAATGAGTTAGTGGAGATGTGGATTCCAGAGTGTCGGTATGAGAATTGAGGATCTTGACAGCTGAGTTTCGTATATGGAATTGCAGGCCTTTCCATTCGGTTCTGGTGTTTGTATACAGCAAGATCAATTAGTATTTGCTATAGAGTTGAGAAGTCGAAGATGAAAGAGAGTCAGAGACGAAATCAGGACCATGTACAGTTATTGTCGTAAGCCCATGATTTGCATCTACTCCCCTCACTTAACACCTTGGCGGGTGACCGACTTCTGTCAGACTTCGAGTATCACCTCAGCACCTACACAAAACATACCTCCCAGCATTAAAATACAATGCCCCGCTCCCGCTCTCCCCCCAGAAGTCGGAGCCGAAGCCTGACTCGCTCCAGGTCGCCTCTCTCCCGCTCGCCTTCGATGGACAGGAAGGCAAGCTTGTCTCCCGAAATCAAAGTCAGTCTCTTCATCCCCATGGCTCTGTGCACAAGCTGATGGCGCTATTGAAGGATGAAGACCTCTCGCCTTTTCTGATCAGAGTGTTTGTGACCAAGGGAAGACATACCCCGCTGGGGGATTTTGACAAGGGGACATTGCCTTTGAGGGATGAGTTTCAAGTTTACGGGTCGTACGTCTAGTTCCCTATGAGGCACTGGTTCCTATTGCTGATCACAGATGCAGCAAACGGACAACACCAAGTGACCTGATCCGATCTCTATACCCATCGTTCCCGCCAATCTTCCGCTCGCCCCAAACGCGCTTCCACTTTAAACACATCTACGTCGACGCCTCTCCTCGCGGCCTCTACCGCTCCAAAGACCTCACTTCCTTCATCGGGCGAGACCTCTCCTATGCCGATCCGAAACAGATCCGGGCGGATGAAGATACGATGATTGACGATGATCAAGATGAGGGTCTGCACAAGAAGGGAGTAGGCAGGAAGATCCAAGAAAGGACTTTGGATGGCTATGGGTTCATCACGGGAGACTTTATCAGTGTTAGTCTGTCTGTGCCGGAGCCGAGATTCCCTGGAGGGCATGGGCCAGCTGCGGTTGCGATAGCAGGGATCAACGGTGCGGCAGGGCCAGGCGGACGGGGTGGGGATGCGCCTAGGGAAGGCGGGTGGAATGACCGACGTGCGCCGCAAGGGCAGGGGCAAGATGAGTCGGACAAGGGTGTCGACGCGCCGAGATGGGGACGAGGTGGGGCTTTACCGCCCAAGGGTGGGGGTGCGGCCGCTGGAAGAGGAGACAGAGGGGAGGGGAGGGAGAGGGAGCCATTGCCCGAGGGCAGATGGGGGAGAGGAGGCCAGGGCAGAGACTCGGGGAGAGATGCGGGAAGAGATAGGGACAGAAATCGGAGTCCATCTAGGGGTGGGGAAAGGTGGCAGAGAAGGAGGGACTAATGATGACGTGAGGAGGAAAGATGGCGTGAAGGGGGCCATACTTGTGCGTTTACATTATGAAAGCTAGAGGATGCTTCAGGGATGCAGTGCAAGATTCTTATGTCTTTCCGGATATCTTGTATCATGAACGTGACATTGGAACGAGGACTTGCAGCAGGGATACATAGCAGAGAGAGGGGCTGTTAATAAGATGAGACAAACGCGTACTTAGCCGTGTAATTTGTGTGCCGGTGTGTTAAGAAAACTCGGTTGGGGCTGGTGGTGGTGGTGGTGGATGCATCTCTCTCTCTCTCTCTCCATCTCTCTCTTGTCCTCTTGTCCTCTTGTCCTCTTGTCCTCTTGCCCCGCTGCTCAGCAACCCAAGCTCAATCGCCCCCGTCCCCGCCCCCATCCTGCGTTGTCAAGTAAAACTGCGAAATTACGCCGGTAACTAGGTACTCGTCCCCGAGCATACGCCACCGCCCCTGCCCCCTTATCCTCCCATTCACAACACTCCAACATTCCACCCTCCATGATGTCCTGGAAATTCGGAAAGAGTACGTCCACTGCGCCCCCCCAGAGCATACACAGCCCCAGACATATCTCGAGACCGATGCTGACCAAGCCCGCCCTCCTCTCCTACTCTCTCTCGACGACTGGCAACGCCCGCGATAACCAGAAATAAAAGACTCTGGCTTCCTATCAGGAAAGCACAGCCACGCCTCCAACACCCCCTCCGACATCTCCCGCTCCACCACCCCGACGCCCGGCAACCCCCATCCTGAAGATGCAGTCAAGCCGCCTGTCCCGAGGAGCGGTATGCTCAAAATCCGGGTCACTGCAGCCAAGGATCTTCAATTACCTCAAGGAGGTGCGTACAGGTAATCGCATGATGATGCGTGCAGAGCTGACAAGGCGCAGTGCAAATCCCTGAACCCGTCCAGCAGGCCCTCGATAAGACTCCCACGCCCGCCCCTCAAATAGCCACCTCCCCTCCCAACTCTTCTGCCAATCCCCGCAACAACCGCGACTCTCTCCAACGTCGTCAGGTCTGGTGGCTTCCCTATCTCGTCCTTGAATTCGACAAGAACGAGGTTTTGGTTGATGCGCTTGGTGGAGATCTCTCGTCGCCTGTATGGATGTACAGCGCGACTTTTGACGTATCGAGGATCAGCGAAATTAGCGGAACTGTCTACTTGAGGACGAAGGAACCGCATGCCGAGGGAGTGCAAAAGACGGAGAACGGAGAGGCGTCGCAGGGCGAGGATATGGGAAATTCTGACCTGTGTTTGGGCAGTATTCGATTCACTCCTAACCTTGATTCTATGGTAATGCCTCTTCCTTCTCGAGTGACGCAATCTGACCTTGTATAGCGCGTGTCCGACGAATGGGTGACTGTACAGGGCGGCGGCGGTACCGGTACCATCAACGTCCAAGTTTCCTTCAAGCAGAACCAAGGCCAGACCCTCTCTATCGACTCTTTCGAACTCCTCAAAGTCATCGGCAAAGGCTCTTTCGGCAAAGTCATGCAAGTCCGAAAACGTGACACGCTTCGTATCTACGCTTTGAAGACGCTGCGTAAAGCGCATATCGTCTCGAGATCCGAAGTGACGCATACGCTTGCGGAAAGGACTGTGCTGGCGCAGGTCAATTGTCCGTTCATTGTGCCTCTCAAATTCTCCTTCCAAAGCAAGGAAAAGCTGTACTTGGTGCTCGCATTCATCAATGGTGGAGAGCTCTTCCATCATTTGCAGCGGGAGGGCAAGTTCAATGAGACGAGATCGAGGTTTTACTCTGCCCAGTTGTTGCTGGCTTTGGAGCACTTGCATTCTTTCAATGTCATCTACAGGTGCGTCACTATCCATCTCATCGGACTGCGCTGACTCGCAAGCAGAGACTTGAAACCAGAAAACATCTTGCTCGACTATGCCGGCAACATTGCCCTATGTGACTTTGGGCTCTGTAAACTCAACATGTCCAACTCGGACACCACAAATACTTTCTGTGGTACTCCCGAATAGTACGTTTCTCTGCCAGGTCTCTCGGCCCCAAGCTCACGTTTTCTCAGTCTCGCTCCCGAACTTCTTTCGGGCCATGGCTACACCAAATGCGTCGACTGGTGGACTCTCGGTGTCCTTCTGTATGAAATGCTCACCGGCCTTCCCCCATTCTACGACGAAAACACCAACGAAATGTACCGCAAAATCCTCACCGACCCCCTCCGCTTCCCCGACTCTGTCCGCTCCGAAGCCCGCTCCCTCCTCACCGGCTTACTCAACCGCGACGCCTCACAGCGCCTGGGCGTCAACGGCGCACAAGAAATCAAGAACCACCCCTTCTTTGCCAAACACATCAAGTTTGACAAGCTGTGGAACAAGCAGATCCAGCCGCCGTTCAAGCCTGCCGTGGCGAGCGCGATTGATACGAGCAACTTTGATGAGGAGTTTACGAATGAGGTGCCGTTGGATTCGGTGGTGGATGACTCGCACTTGTCGCAGACGGTACAGCAGCAATTGTAAGTGGCCAATATTTTGAGGCCAAAAGTTGGGGTGCTGATAGTGTATGTAGCGAGGGTTTCTCTTGGAGTGTCTCGCCGCTTGGTGAATCCGTCAACACTCGGTACTAGGCGCAGCGGACCGGTGCCCGCTAGGCGGCATTATGAGTAGATTCTTGGCGAGGGATGACTAGGCATAGTGCCACATAAACCCTCAAATACAAGAAGATAAAACATCCCCTCATCCAGCATTCCCTTATACTCGTACCTTCCACCCAGCCCTTCCTGTAAACCTGAACGTAGTCCAACCAGTCTTTGATACCATGTATGATAGGTAAACACAACACTGTCACTTTGGTCCTTGCTTGTGAAAGTCTCGAATGCCACGCCTAAGTGTAGCATCTGCAGGGTTTGGCAAGATCCAAGATACATACAATCAAACGATGATGGTGTTGATGATTCGTAAGTTACTTTACTCTACTCTACAGAACAAGACAGATGTCTATGCTTGTATGGAGATTTCCATGCACAATCTACCTCTTTGCCCCCTCCAACTCACGGGTCCAACGTTACTACATTTTGCCAGTCAAGCCAGCTCGATGGATCGCCCACATCATCCTCTCCCATTCCAACGCCCATCCCAACCCCAATCTTTAGATCCGGCAGAACCCCGTCCGGCGCCTTGGTGTTGACAAACCCCCTCGTCTGATCCAGGATCCCATGCACAAGCCCGCTACGGCCCATCCCTCTTCTCTCGCCGCTTCCGCTGTCAGGCGACTCGCCCTCTGCCCTGAGCGCGTCTTGGAGCCCTTGAGCCATCACCGCTTCCGGGTGCAAGACCGGCGTGGTAGACATCTCAAAAGATGCCGAGTACCCCGCGGTGTGGTACGAGTTGCTTGACCGGGGTATGGAAGCAGTGGACGTGAAAGAGGAGGATTGAGAGTTTGGCGAGCGAAGGTCGGAGAAATCGCCGTCGACGACCGGGTGACCGAGAGTTTCGCGTTCAATACTGGCGAGGATGGTATTGATGACGGCTAGGTGGTGGAGAGCCATAGAGTGGTGGAGGGAGAGCCAATCAAAAACGTCTCTGTAAAAGTTGTCAGACGGCCAGGCTACATGAGCTGCATTCAGCTTACTTGAATATAGTGATCTCGGAATGGAATGTTGACGCTGCTTGCTCATCGGCCGACTCTAGAGCATGGTGGTAAAACAGGATGAGAGCCTTGATAGCGCGGTAAAGATAGCTGACAAGGGTTAGCTGATACATGGCTGGGTTGACTTGGCTCACTCTGCGCGCGACGTCAGCTTGTGCCCCACAGAACTATAGAGAGCCAGACTCACAAGAGGTGATAGGCGCCACCATATACGTGATTTCCGCATTACTCCCGACAATCGAAAACACGATATTCAAGCACGCTCTTGCTTCCGACAAGAGGCGAGCTGCCGAAGTGCAACTCGAGTCTTTGACGTCGGCAAAGGGTTCGTGGAGGTGAATAGCGACGATGTGGGGTACCAGGTGTGCGCTCTGATGGGTTGTCAGATACATATTGACGAGAGAAAGAGCGGCTTACAATGAGATCAGAGTCTATGGTTTTTATGTGGCCCTGCATGTACTGGATGGGGTCTCTCAACGAACTCGGCCAGGTCAAGCTATCACATATCAGCTTTCGCCTCAATTGCCGAAATGCAAAGCAATTGCTCACCTCAGCGTCGCCAGGTCTCTTTCGATTGCTTTAAACTCTTCCATATCTCTCGCTATCGCTCTCTCCTCGGTCCGCATCGACCGGCATTTGCGAATCAATTTTGATGCGCGGTATAAGAGCATATTTCCCTTGAGAAGCATCACAAAGCTATCTGGAACTGGGTGGCTGTGACGGGTTAGGATGTATCAAGGACGGGAAGGGGAGAAGACTCACTTGTGGTAGATGTCTGGAGAAATGAAGGACTGTGGGTTCTCGGGAATCGAGTCCTACTCGACGGGTGAGTTATGCCAGAGAGAGATGTTGATGGCACTCACTCCTCGATCACAATCAACTCTGCCAGCTGGTAGCCTCGCAGTCTGAGTCTTATCAGTGCTCCGCCCGCGTGCTACTCGAAGACTCACAATCTCATCATTCGGCAACGTTCCGGGCCACCCGGAGCTGGCAGACCCCGTCGTGTCATAATACATCACGTACCAGAGCACCGCCCTCCTCTCTTCCCTCTCGGCATCTGTTTTCGCGGGTGGAAGGATTGACTGGTGGAGGGAAGCGAGGCTCATCCCTGGAAGGTCATCATTCAAGAGACCAAGGCAGATGGCGAGGCGAGTGGACAGGCCAATAGAGGCCCAACAATCCATCCAACTAGAATGGTGGGATCAGTCTGTGTGGATTTGAAGCGACTATTAACTCACCGCGAGTCTGATTGGCTCCAATGACACACTAGTATTGTAGCTTGCAACACGTCAAACAAGCCTCTTCCGCTGACATGATGCAAGCTACTCATCGCACGAGACGCGTATATCGCCTGCTGCTCCGAAAAGCAGTCTTCATTTGCCGGATCAACTGGCTCCCCCCTGCCGGGATTTCCCTTCTTTGCATCTTGAGCTGTCTGTAAGAGATTTTCTTGGACGGTGCGGGTGTGGACGGCAGCCGAGTGGCGGGAGGCGATGGCGCAGAGTGCGTGGATCAGCGCAAGATGCGGAAAGTCGGGGTGGGTTGGCGCATGGGACAGTCTGGCCATGAATGTGTCGCGATGGATGATGCGAGATACGGTCGGAACCTTCGTGAAGAATATTTCAACACTAGCAAGATGGTCAGTATCACGCCTGAAGATAATCTGCCGCGTTCTTACAGATGATTTACAAGTGCTACACATGCTAATGAGTGTCTATGGGACGTCTAGGAAGATTTCCAGCTCACTGGGTGAAGGAAGCGACGATGGCCAGCCAGACCACATCAGCAGTTGGTCCATATCACCAGCTTCTCCATTCATCTCGTCAGCGACTGTGGCCGCTCGACTGAGCCGACGCTCGAGAGGAGCAAGGGCGTCGACGAGATCGTCGTCCCCAGGACTGGCCGTCATAGACGGCAGGGTAGTTTCTGGGGCAAGAGACATGCTGGTGGATGGAAGGTAGTATGGGAGCGAGTTCTGGGTTTGTTGGTATGGGTCAGGGATGGCGCTAGGTATAAGGGGGCCGCCGAGCGTTTGCATTTCATTATAGCGCCACACCAGGTTGTCAAGCGGTGATTGATGAGGTGGTTGAAACGGTGTTTGATATTGCAGTGGCTGATGCGACAGAGGCGATTGGTACCGCGGGTCCAGATCGACCATGGGTGACGGGCCGTCGAAGAATCGGTGCATGTATGCTCGTGAGGTTGATATTTGAGCACCCCTTAGATCTACTGTCACCCAAGTCAACATGCGCCCCACTCGAAAAAGCGCCACTCACCTGCTTCTTTGTTTGTGAAGTCTGTGAACTCTCGCCCAGTATCGGCGACTGGCTCTGAGTTCTGACGTTGGGGCTCAACAATGACTGGCGGAATACCAGGAGCCTCTTCCTCGGCTAATTCGGTGGCCGTACCGGTAGACAGGCGCTCAGAGTGGCCATCGTCAGCGCTGCCGTCCGACTCGTTATCGTAATGGCAATGGATCGCATGGTGCTCATTGGGATGAGTGCGATCAAGATACTGCTGGCTCCTGACACACGAGGCACAGTGAGGCTTTGCTGCGTCACACTTTATGCGCCTTTTGCGACAGCTGAGGCAGGCCGCGTTGCGTTTGAGCTGCTCGCCGCGGACGATTTTGCGGCCCTTGTGGGGGTTGGGGGGCGGTTTTGGGCGGAGGGAGGGGGTGCGGTGGGAGGCTGCGACCATGTCGAGATGCAGATGGAAGATTAGATGTAGATGGACTCCAGCTTATACATGATAGTGTCAGTTTTGGCCGGTGGCCGACAGAGGTACGTAAGTGTCAACAACCACCTCGGGCGCCGGATACCGTTGTCGCTAGTAGCGGCGCCCTCTGACCTTGCTCTATACTCGCCATAAATCTAATGCCTCACTGGTCTTTTAGCTGTATTATATTCCCCGAACTTGCTTAGGTATCGTCATTCACAATACATTCTGGGACTCTCTTGCCCGTAACAACAATTCCAAGTCCGGCCAGCAAGTGTGTGTACCCGTACCATATGGTCGGTTGGTTACCAAGCCCGCCGGCCAACTCGCATAGACGCAGCTTGTTATCCACCGGAGACATTCACCACATACAATGCCCCTTCAGTACAAACAGCCAGCCATCTCCTACCAACCCCGACCGCCCCGTGCCCTCTCCTCGGTCTCTGACATCTCGGTCCCGAGCTCACTTTCTGCGCCCGACACGGCGACCGTCCATCCAGACTGGCACGACACCGCCCTCGACACCCTTCTCGTTGCTTCCGACGGCGTCTTCTTCTATGTCTCACGCACCCTTCTCCATGGATCGAGGTGCGCATCATCGGATGCAATCGGATCCAGACTAACCCGTATCAGCGAGGTTCTGCGAGACATATTCGATTCGATCCCTGCCCCGTCCCCAGAGTCACCCTATCGCCCCCTCTCCAATGTCAAGATCAAACCCAAACCACCCCCTCAGCAACGCATAGACTTGACCGATTGTTATGAATCGTCGGTGCCCCTCGCATTCTTCCTCGCCATCCTCACTGGCACCTCCCTCTCCAAAATCCGTCGCAAATTCCCACGCAACCAAGTCCAGACGTTCGACCTCGCCCTCACCCTGGCGGACAAGTGGAAGTCTCCCCTCGTGAAAGGAGTCATGCAAGGCTGGCTCTGTGAGCTCGCCATGGGGGGTTATGACGATGAACAGTTCAAGCCGTATGAGGTGCTTGTCTTGGCTGCGAAAGCGGGCATGCCGACTCCAGCGCGTATGGTGCTCGAAGAACTCTCCGAATCGTTGCCCCATACCCTGCTTACGCCATTCAAACCCATCACTGATCAATACTGGCACTACACTTTCACCCCCGAGAATACTTGGGACTATAACCAGTGGTCGCGCGGGGTGTGGGAAGAGATTGGGGTCAAGTATCTTTTTGCGATGAAGGAGGCTTTGAAATGCGAGGGGAGGAAGAAGAGGGGAGAGGTGTTTATGAAGGCGTTGGAGGACGACTTTTACGATCCCATGGCGCCCGAGACGCCCAAGGCAACACCTCTTCGTCTCCGCTTTACACCCTCTACCGTTACCACTCCTGTTCGCGTTGCCCCTGTTTCCAGCTTCATCAAGAGCCCCAAGAGCTCCAAGCGAAAGGAGGCAGACAAGTGGATCATGGAGTTTATAGAGCAGTCGTCGTCCGCGGCCTCTGTGCCATCATCTGTGGCGTCATCTGTGACATCGTCCGAGGTATCAGAGAAGAGCCACTCGAGTAGAAGTGAGAAGAGTGCGGCGTCTTCTTCGGATTCGTCTCAAGTCCAGCTTCGTGGTACGTTGGTTATCACTAGAAAGTAATATATTGATCTTTGTAGTCGTGTAGCACAAGCGGCATTTTCGTGTATAGCATTCATAGTATCATTCTTCGCCTGTAGCATATGATCAACCTTTCATACCCTGTGATCACGGTCAATGGTTTCGGCCACTGGCCTCTGGAAAGACGAGCGATGGGCGGCAGCCGATCAAGATTCAGAGTTGCACCCATGACTAAAAGTTAGAGCTTATACCCACACGCGCCTAACTCCCCCCGTGCAATATCCAAAGGCGCGCCTGCACGTGATCCGAGGCTCGGCGGTGGTTCGTTGTTTGTTGTCATTCGCCATTCCTCTCTCTCTTTCACCAACTCTTTCCTTGAAATCAGCATTGTGGCCATCGGAAAAGGCACGGGAAGCATGACCCGCTCCATCCCCAAACCCCTCATACCCCTTCTCAACCCGACTTCATACCCCTCCTTACCGCCCCTGGCCGACTTGGAGACGATCAGGTCGGCGTTACTGGATTACTCGTCATTGATCCCTTCCTCTTCTTCTTCACAAGCACAAGCACAAGCACAGGCAGGGGTAGAGGAGCTGAGGAAGAGCAAGAAGCGGAAAGAGAGGGAGGAGGAAGAGCGGGCGGAAAGCGAACGGCTAGCTAGGGAGAATGGAGAGCGGGAGAGGGAGAGGGAAGGGGAACGAGAGAGGGAGAGGGTGGAAGCGCTGGAAAGATCCAAGATGATGGGGCAGCAAGGGGGCAAGAAGAAGGGCCTGATGGGCGTTGGGGGCAAGGGCAGTCCGGGGGTCAAGGTGAAGCGCGAGCGGACTAGCTGTAAGTCGAGTCTCTCCTTTCACCTTGGAACGTTATACTGATTGGATTCAAAGTGAGTCCAGCACCGTCAAACGCCTCGACATCATCCTTCAAACCGCCAATGTCGCAACCGCATACATACGCTTCATCACAAACCAAAAAGAAAAAGATCAAGCGCGTGATTGATTCCGACGACGAAACGCCCTCCATCCCCCTCTCTCAAACCCAATCCCACTCTGGGTCAAATAGACCAGTACAGCCCTCGCCACCAAAGACGACACCGACGACGTCGGGGCTAAAGTTGAAACTGTCGCATCCACAAGCAAAGAGGCCGGTGGACTACTCACCAGCACCGGCGCCGCCTACAGGCCCTGGTGCGCATATCGACTTTTCCCTACCACCTGCGCCTTCTCGTCCGCTTATCCCTCACCGCTCTGGTCCAAGGGAAGCGCCCAAGCCAGGGCCAAAGAAGCAATCCGAAGTCGACGACGACTATTCAAACAAAAAGGCGCCGAACCAAGTCGCTTTCCCGACCTTTTGGTCGTTTGTCGAGCCGTATCTGCGTGATGTCCGAGAAGACGACCTGGCCATGCTGGGGTTCAAGACGGACCCGCCCGAGGCGTACCACGTGCCTAACAGGGGGCGGCATTATACCGAAGTGTGGGATGAAGAAGACGGGAATCCGCCGGGGACGAGGACGAGGATGGGGGTACCGAATCTCAGACAGCAGCAGTTGGCGCAGATGCGCAAAGCGGGCGGACTGAATCAGCCGCATTTCGTACCGTCGGCAGAGATGAGGGATGAGAATCTGGTAGATGAGCAGCGTGGACTGGGGGCGTTGACGGAGAGGGTTGTGGCGGCTGTGGTGGGAACAACGGTGGATCGGGAAAAAGAGAGAGAGAGGCAGAGGCGGGAGAAGGAAGATGGGGGCGTAGAAGATTCGGGGCTCGAGCCTGCACGGGTGGACGTCTTGGATTTGGAAGAGAGGATGAAGAAGGAGCTACGCGCAGTCATGTTGCTAGGCGAACACGAAGATGTGAGTGCATCATCCTACTATGGGATCAAGCTGACAATTGCCAGTTCGACCCGAACAACAGAGACGACGACGAAGTGTCTTCAGCGCTACGGCAATGCCAACGGCTGCTCGCACACCAAACCTCGCTGAACGACGCGCGCAAAGCCCGGCTCGTCGAGCTCTCCAAGCAGCGTCTCGCATATACCGAATACCGCGCTGCACTGGACGGGATTGAAAAGAGTATAGAAGAAGCGTGGGCAAAGCGGATTAAAAAGTACGGTCTCTCGCCCAAAAAGCACCCGCATCCGCCGACGGTGGAAGGGTCGTATGGCACCATCATTGGCGAGCATGGAGAGGTCGTCCATCTGAACGCGTCGGGACGTCCGCCAGTGCCGGATTCCCTCAAGCGGCTAGTGGAGACGCGAAAGGGGTGGATCGGAAGTGTGGGGCAGGTGATCAAGGAGAGACCGAGAGGAGAGTTGGTGGGGATTCCTGGATCAAGTGTCTTTGAGGGAGTCGGGACGGACAAGAATGACGATGCGAAAGAGACCAGTCAGGAGAGTGTATAGTCATAGATCGAGTGTACAGTACGAGGTTTTGGTATACAATAAATATGTCAATGTATGATGTTTGATAGTGCATCGTTATCTGGGCGGCGGCCGGGTAATTTGAGATCTGGGCATGCCAAGGATCATTTTTGCGCAGGGCGGATCTTGATTAAATACAGATAGATGCATGGAATGAATGGCTGCGACTCGATATCGCATGTCTACAGGTCATTATGAGCCACATTATGCGTGAGATCTATGAGACGACTGGATGGGTACTCGCTACACTTTGTAATCCGGAATCCCCGCGCCGCATATTCAGCAACCGTGTGGAGTGCGACGATGCTTTGTCAGGAATGCTAACGCTTTGTCAGATTGCGCTTTATTGCTAATGCATGGAATGGGCTTATGCATGGTTTGTGAGCATGACAATGCATAGTGTGTGCGTACCCGTGCGCGAGGCATACGAGTACGGTGGGCCGAGGGCAGTGGCCGAATAGCGAGACCGATCACCGTGGCTCGGCAGCGAATCGATCTCTGGTTCTCGCTGCCGGCTGCATGACAAAGCACCGGGTGACTCGACCGCTCAATGGTATATATACCGGGGCCTCTTCTTCTTCTTCCTGCCCATCTCCCCCACACACCACACAATGACTGCCATCCAACGCCCCTCCACCCCCTTCCCATACACCCACACCCTCGTACACTCAACCACCCACTCTTACTTTGAGCCCACCCCGATGCCTTACGGCCACCCCCTCCACTTCCACCTCGCGCCCATGCCTTCGCCTGTGCCCCCTTCCCTCCTGGCAAAGCGCCGCGGTGCCCCCATCTCACCACTCCCCACCCCCACTTCGGCGCCCATGGTCCGCTCTACCAGCCGACCTGTCCGTCCCCGGCCCTCGCGTGCGCTCTTGAGCCAGCAGCCTCAGCCGAGCGAGCCCATCCCCACCATCGGCGAAGTCCTCTCGCGCCAGACCTCCAGATGCCCTTCCGAGTGCAGCACCAGCTCCTCATTCAGCGCACCCTCCCCATCCATGCCCATCACACCCCACTACCCCACCCCACAGCTCGAGGCGCCTACACCACTGGCACTCCCTTCACCCCTCTGCTCGCCTGCGCTCTCGCCTTGTGAGCCGGTGATTGCGACACCGCCCGAGCTGCCGGGGTTCTCTTTCCGCCTGGCTGGCTCTGGCTCAGACTGTGGCGAGGACGAGGAAGAAGAAGAAAAGCGAGGGAGGAAGAGAAGTGTGGAGGAGGAGCAGAGGTGGAAGAGGCCAGGGACGCCGGTGCAGTTTCAAAAGATGCTGGAGAGGCTTGAGGCGCTGAGCAAGGAGAAGCGGGGGAAGGAAAAGCGGTTCAGGAGCGTAGTGGACGGGGGTTCTTGGGTAGTTGTCGGTTAGCTTCTTGTCCTTGACATGGTTGTATTCATAGTAGTCCTCCTTAATGTGTATTGTAATGAAAATGTAGAAAGTAGCCTCACCCATGTATGCGATGGAGCAACCTCTCAGAAAGTCGAGCCAGTGCCATGAGAAAAGCCAAGAATGCGACGTGAATATGCCCGCCGGGCTTCGGGCGCCGTGGAATTCGTAGCATTTGTGGGAAACCGAGGACGGTCATTGCCGCCCGATGACCCGCCCGAGGTCCGAGAAGCGAAAAGCGAGAGCATTCCGGGGCACACTCACCGAGGTGCTTCTTGGGCCATGGCTTGGCCCATGGGGCCGGGAGGGGGGGTTGAAGAGGGGGGCACGGAGGAGAAGACCGAAAGAAGGACGGACGACGCGTCGCGTGGTTGGAGTACCAGCCTGGACTCTTCTGGCGGCCGAGAGCAAGTATCTAGCTGGGAAGGAGAGTACTCGTACCCCGTACTGATGCTGCCCTAGGCATGGGGCGTGGTATGATGGCCGTACGACCGTTCAGGACTTCCATCAAACAGTGATAGTACCGCCATAGCCCAATTCAACATCGACGGCCATAGCCTCCTCAAAGTACCGCGTCCCGTCTGATCCGCGAAGTCAACTAGGAGAGCGCTCGGTTAGTACCAGGGTGGGGGACCACCTGGGAATCCCGGGTGCCGTCGTTTTTTGCTTTTTTTTGCTCGCTCAACCTTGCGTCTATCTATGTAAAGTATGAAACTGGACTTGTCATGCTCAGGTAACCGTTGATGCAGTGCATTTACCCATATACTACACATCAAGATGACCCAAACTCTTTACACTGTACGATTCACAACAATCACATAGCCACAGAACAGCCTACCTTCTTCTCTTCCAGTCCTCTCGTTATGTACGCCTAAGCATATTCGACCCACTCAGTAGGTGACTGACGGATGGCCCTCTCACAGAGGTGGTGGATGACGCGAGGAAAACAGAAAAAGAAAAGGTATCGTGTTGGCATAGAGCAGGGTGAGATGATGTCCTGCTAAAGTACTTTCAGGTGTTGCTTCTGAAGGCCTTTTTGCCATGATACGCTAGGAGGTGCTACTTTGGGAGACGGAGCTGCAAGCGATGACCTGTGCGAGACAATTGGAAGGAAACAGAAGCGAGTATAGATTGGAGATTGTGGAAAGGTGAAAGAGAAAGGAGAGATGACATTCGACCGACGACATGGACACGAGTTGCTTCTGCGGGGGTCCGAGCGCGGTGGTTTGACTGGTAGTTTATCGACACTGTACTGATACTCCTGGATTCAGGCCTCGCTCACTGTCCACCTCGTTACCATCCCCATCAGTCCTCTCTCACAAAAGAATGTATGAACGACGACGACCCAGCAACCATGAGCACCTTGGTGCATTCCATTTGGGAACACTTCGCGGCAAGCATCAGTCCGCTCCACTCAACACTGCCCAACACCAAACTGCAGACACGCGATCAAGTCCAGGCTGACATCAGAGACTCCTCCATCCTGTCCGACGCGCCGCAGTCATCCTGGTCCCTTCTCGAGCTCGCCCAGAGGCCACGAATAACGCGAGAGCAGACTTCCCATAGGTTCGCTACAGCTCGGAGATCCTATCGGGCAGCTACTCGTCCAGGACGGCTGGCCAAAGAGAAGAGAGGCAGAAGCGAGTGTCGGGTGAAGAAGGAACGTTGATGGAAAGAGCCGGCGGCAGAATGTGGGGCATCTCGAAGAATTTCCCTTGCTATGACGCAGTTGGCAGGACTTTTGAGTGCTGTTTGCAGGTGATTGCATGCATGGAAAAACACAATTCCAGCTGCAAATGGCTCGTCATGGCCCCATCTCCCCCACTGCATGCATAGAGGATGGCAGGATGTGTCTGGGCCGTGATGGACCCCACGAGATGCACCCTGCTACCCCCCGATTTGTTCCCGCTGATGATGCGGCTGCCAACGCCTCTCCCATTTTCTCCGTCGTCCTCGCATTTCCATCCATCTCTTTTCTCTTCTCTCTTTCCACAACAAAACAAACATCATGTCCAGCGAATCCCCCTCCCCCGAACTAAAGCCCCAGGTCAAGGACCTCGAGGGCGTCCCCGAGCGAGTCGATGACAGCTCCGCTCCATCGCCTGAGCCGCCCAAAAAGCCCGTCAGGCAAAAGAAGATTGCCGTTCTGACCAGTGGTGGTGACAGTGCTGGTATGAATGCTGCCGGTAAGTCCCTCAACTCTTGTACAAGATCGCGCTGACCCTCGACGCCAGTCCGAGCTGTCGTGCGTCAAGCCATCGCCCGTGGTTGCCAAGCCTTCATCATCCGTGAAGGCTGGGAAGGTCTCGTCCGAGGCAACACCAGCGACCCCACCCCCGCCCCCACCGCCCCTCAAACCCCCACTCTTGCCTCTACCAAGCGCTCCGTCTCCTTCACCTCCCTGCCCCCTTCGCAACAGATCGACAAGCTCAGCTCTGGTCTCGAACAAAAGGCCCAGTCTAACGGTGTCGCCGTGACCGATCCCGAAGATGTCTGCCCGCTCCAAAACACGCATCTGAGTTTTGGCTACGGCCAGCTGTTGAGGGATGGTGCGGGAGAAGGCGACATTGAGGAGCTCGCTGCTCATGGTGCCCAGGGATTGGCTATTGCCGACGCTGAAGACGAGCAGGGCAGGAGCTTGAAGGGCAAGTACATTGTCAGAGTAGGATGGGATGATGTGAGGGGATGGCAGGGTGAGGGTGGTACTCTGATCGGTTCTTCCCGATGCCCATCTTGTAAGTTTTGCACCCCACCTCCTGAATCAAGGCTGACAGAGAAACAGTCCGAACGCGTGAAGGTCGTCTCCAGGCTGCCGAGAACCTCATCAGCTTTGGTATCGACTGCCTTGCCGTCTGTGGTGGTGACGGATCTTTGACGGGTGCCGACAAGCTCCGAGGCGAGTGGCCCAGCTTGGTCGAAGAGCTCTACTCCGACGGCCGTATCAACGATGACCAACGCGAGGCGTACCAGCACCTCAACATTGTCGGTCTCGTCGGCTCTATCGACAACGACATGGCAATGACCGATCTGACTATCGGTGCTCTCACTGCCTTGCACCGAATCTGTGAATCTATCGACTCCATCTCCTCCACTGCCTCGTCCCACTCCCGTGCTTTCGTTATCGAGGTCATGGGCAGGCACTGTGGTTGGCTGGCCTTGCTCGCTGGTCTTGCGACTGGTGCTGATTTCATCTTTATCCCCGAGGACCCTCCCAAGACTGATGACTGGGAGAGTGAAATGTGCCACGTTCTTGAGGCTGTGAGTCGAGTCCTTCTGTTTAGAGCCCTGCTAATACTATATGTAGCACCGAAAGGTCGGCAAGAGAAAGTCTATCGTCATTGTCGCCGAAGGCGCCCTCGACAAGAACCTCCAGCCCGTCAAGCCCGACTATGTCAAGAAGATCCTCGTCGAGCGACTCGGCCTCGACACCCGAGTCACCACCCTCGGTCACACCCAGCGAGGTGGTAAGCCCTGCGCTTACGACCGTATTCTCCCCACCCTCCAGGGTGTGGAGGCCGTCCAGACTTTGCTCGACGCTACGCCCGAGACGCCTTCGTACATGATCGGTACCCAGGAGAACAAGATCACCAAGATTCCCTTGCTCGAGGCTGTCGCTCAGACTCAAGAAGTCGCTGCTGCTATTGAGAACAGGGACTTTGCCAGGGCGATGAGCTTTAGGGACTCTGAATTCCAAGACATGTTGAAGGCTTTCGCTATCAGCAGTACGCTCGATGTCAGCCATGCGGCTCCCCAGGACAAGAGGTTGAGGATTGGTATCATCCAGTGAGTCTTTGCAAACTATGTTGCGCTGGTCTAACAAGGATGTAGCGTTGGAGCTCCCGCTGGTGGTATGAACGCTGCCACCCGTCAAGCTGTGCGATTCTGCCACAACCGCGGCCACACCCCCGTCGCCATCTACAACGGTTTCGAAGGTCTCCTCGATGACAATGTATCCGAGCTCTCTTGGCTCCGAGTCGACACTTGGACCACCCGAGGTGGTTCCGAGCTTGGTACCAACCGATCGCTTCCCAGCATCGATATCGGATCCGTCGCCGCCGGCTTCCAGCGACACCAGCTCGATGCCTTGCTCCTTATCGGTGGCTTTGAGGCGTTCAACTCTGTCGTCCAGCTCGAGCAGAACCGAGCCAACTATCCCGCATTCCAAATCCCCATCATCCACCTCCCCGCTACCTTGTCCAACAATGTACCGCTCACCGACTTTTCCCTCGGGTCCGACACCTCGCTCAATGCGTTGGTGGAAGCGTCTGATGCCATCAAGCAGTCTGCGTCAGCCTCGAGGAACCGAGTGTTTGTCGTCGAGACTCAGGGTGGTATGAGTGGGTACATTGCGGCGATGGGTGCTTTGGCTGTCGGTGCCGTGTTGGTGTACACACCAGAAGATGGTGTCAGCTTGAAACTCTTGCAGGAGGATGTTGAGTTCTTGAAGAAGAGGTACAACTTGGATGAGAAGGGCAAGAGTGAGGGTCGATTGGTCATCAAGTGAGTCTTCTATATTGGTATGAGGCTAGAGCTGACAAAAGGATAGGTCTGAGAAGGCTTCCAGCGTCTACACCACCGAAGTCCTCACCAAGATCTTCCGTGAAGAAGGCAAGGACCTCTTTGACGCCCGATCCGCCGCCCTCGGTCACACCCTCCAAGGTGGTGTCCCCTCCCCTCTCGACCGAACCCGTGCCGCCCGTCTCGCCCTCAAGTGCATGCAATTCCTCGAAGAGCACGCCGTCCCCAACGCCCAGTCTACCGCGCACCACAAGGCGAGGAGCGCGGGCAAGCCAGTGTACAGCAAGGAGACGGCGACAATGATTGCTATCCGAGGAAGCAAGGTCATTTACGCCACTATGGATGAGGTGTTGAAGGTGACGGATATGAAGTTGAGGAAGGGAACGGATGAGTGGTGGGCATATGTCAAGCAATTGGCCGAGACGATGGGTGGTAGGACCGGTTTGATGGCGAGGGATTGAGGTCTCTTATCGAGATATCTGGAGTAGAGTTCGAATGTGTCTAGTCGACCACAAAGATAGAAAGAAGCAAACGAAAGTTGAATGCATAGACTTGCCATCCCAACTAGCGATACATTGTACCAGCTACAACATCTATAGACCACTACTTTTGGATGCCGCAAAGCTCGAGGTTTCCGACCATGGGCTTGATCACCGTCCTGCCATTCTTATCCTTGCCTCGCTTCAGATCCTCAAATGCCACCTCGGCATCCTCCAACGCATAGTAATGGCTAGCCATCTTACTCACATCGCCCAGCTTTCCGGAAGCAAGAAGAGCAAGGGCGTCGGGGTAGGTGTTGCAGTACCGGAAAACGCCGATGAGGTCGACTTCAGACAATAGGGATGGGCCAGTAGGGAGGGAGAGGACTTTGGTTCCCATACCGACAAACAAAACTTTAGTACCGATAGCAGCGGCCTGTGATATCGTTAGTCGAGCAGATGACAAGGGAGGAAAAAGACTTGCCATGGGAGCCATCTGCATACAACTCTCAACACCTGTACACTCAAACACCGCGTCAAACCCATCTTCCAGTCCTTCGATACTCTGGACGGCCTGGCTCTTCTGTAAAGCCTCCCAATGACCGCCAGCGACTTCCAACGCTTCCAACCCACTGACTCTCGGGCCTTTAGGCAATGCAAAGACGTCCGTCGCCCATTGTTGCTCCTTGGCAAAGTCAAGCTTGCCTTGTTCGATATCGACAGCCACGACCGATGTACAGCCAGAGGCCCGGGCAAGGGCACAGGTGAGGAGACCGACGGCACCCGCACCGATGATGAGGACACGAGCGCCGGGAGTGAGCTGAGCTCGACGGTAGGCATGAAGGACGACGGAGAGGGGCTCGGCAAGGGCAGCGAGGGGAAGTTCGAGGTCAGGCGGGAGTCTTTTGCTTTGATCAGCTGACATTCAGGGACAAATAGGGAGGACGCACTTGTATACCAAATCAGCGGGCCAAGTCATGACCTCTCTCAATGTACCATCCAGATGCGGGAAGGTCTTTGCAGAGCTCGCAAACCTCATCTTTGCGCACAAATTGTATCGTCCCCGTCTGCACTGCTTGCAAGCTTTGCAGTAGACACCGACTTCCATCGCGACGCGGTCGCCGACGTTGAGATTGAGAGCGGGATTCACAGAGGAGCCGAGAGAAGTGATGATGCCACAGGCTTCGTGTCCCAAGACGAGAGGCTTTTGGATCTTGAAAGCACCGTTGGCACCGTGCAGATAGTAGTGGACTATGGGATTGTTAGCGAGCGTTGCAGGGAATATGTGAGAGGCGCACGATCGGATCCACACAAGCCAGTCATTGCTACCTTGATCTGAACCTCTTCAGGCTTGGGAGCTGGAACCTCTCTGTCTTCCTGTAGTAGCCGTAAGCACCGAGTCATTCCATTGTATCTCGCTGCGGCTCGACTTACGACCCTGAGATCAAGTCCAGCATGACAGACGACGGCCTGTTGGGCAGCAGTACCATTAGGAGCCATTATGTATAGTATATGGTTGTCGATACAAAAGGAGATGGGATGTGAGATTGAAATGACTGGTTATATACAAATGCACGACCGATAACGGGGCAAGAACTTTTGGCACACCCGGTCCGGTCCAGCCGGTTAGCCCGGTCCTTGCCGCCGGCCGCCGCATTTGCCGGAGGAGTGACTCCGCTACAGTAGATGCATCCCAGACCTCTTGGAGGAAGGTACATAGATGGGGGGTGAGGGGCATTCTCCTGTATGAGCAATAGGTATGGTACAAGAAGTCCGGGCTAATCTTGGGATGTTTCAGTCACTGAATATTCCCTTCGCCTTCCTCACAAGATCTAACACTTAGATGCTTGACGTTACTCAAGTATTTTGCAGGTGTCGTTCTACATACACAACAGAGTATTGGGAACCATTCAGTCAGTGCAGTCCATGCCACTCAGCATATACACATACAGGCGATGAATCACCTGCCTGTCCTGATGGCATCCAAAAACCTGAATCCCCGCTTAATGTAATTCTTCTCAAGACGGCAACAGATCAGAGCATGGGTGTACAGCATCCCCAGTTCCTCCCAGACGATCCTGTCCCATTGCAAAGTGTCCAATGGGATGGAAGCACTCGGATAGATAGAGGACTCGAAGAAACTATCCAAGGGCTCTTCCTCGTGTTTCGCGGTATCCCACGCGGGGCTGTCTTTCGTAATCGTGCGATGCTGTTCGACTACTAGTCGAGCTACATGGTCCATCGAAGAGGCTCCTGGGGCAGCGACTATAAGTATGTCCATGAACTTCCAGTGAGGATTCTCCCACTTGTCCAGAGCAACACGAAACATGAACGCCTCGATTGTGCTCACGGCGCACGGACAAGCCCAGTCATGTGCCAGCATCACAGCTTCGTAGCAGTTGTGAGCTTGATGACGCGGGAACTCGTCAAACACCTCTTGAAGGCTTCTGCCTTCCAATATCCGGATCAAGAAGGCGAAACTAACTGCCGGCGTGGTCTTTCCTTCGCTGCTGAGTTGGTAGATGGGATGGCTGCCTTGCCTATCGAGGGCTCGTGGGGATTCTTCGAGAAGACAGTGAAGTCTCTCGCTAGGTGAAAGGTCAGGCATTTACTTGACAAATGACACGACAGACATACCTTTGACCCGCCAAGAGGGCATAAGGGACGAAAAAAGGAGACATTGTCCGAACTCTTCCACTCAACAAGGGCAGTGGCAGTAGTACGCGGCCAAGACGGGTGCACATCGCAAGTCAGCTTGGGCGGGACCTCGGGCTGTTTCGATTTCGCCATCTCTGGGTACTTTCCAAGAGCCTTCAGGAAGACTATTCCCCGCAGATCCACCTGCTTTTCCTCTCGCGCTCTTGACCAAGGCGAATATGTAATCTATGCCTATCTCCTGCCAGGTCAGGATCCTCCAATCTTTCGGGCTGAGAGTTGACCCTCCGGCGTTAAGGCGCACGGACCAGTGGGCGTCGATACTGGCCTTGTCGTGCTTGCTGTCATTCCAAAGCGGACTGTCCTTCTTCACCTGCGTCCATGTTTCGAGAACCATGCGAGCGACATGAGGCATGTCGCATTTGGCAGCCAAGATGAGGATATCAGAGGGCTTCCATTGCTCATTGTCCCATCTCTCCAATGCCAGGCGGCAGAGCCACGCCTCCAGTGTGTGGACGACCATCGCGCTTTCCCATTTCTTTGCCAGAAGGATAGTCGCATGAAAATTTCGGATCTGGTATCGAGGGACTTTTTGGAGTAGGCTGCCGCAACTCTCACCCGAGATGATGGCGAGAAAGAAGGCGAGGGTAGATGCGAGCTCGTAAAAGTCGTCGGTGAGAATGATCTGATCGGAACGAGGCTCGAGCTGCGCCATGCCCTCTGGCGTCCTTCGGCGAGATGAGCGGCGAGGTGGGGAAGAAGGCACGGATTGAGGAATCTCAAACATTGCTCGCAGTACGGGGCTACTCGGCATCAGCGTCTGCTCTTAAATCACATGATGGGGGATAGTTACCAATGAGCCTGTAAAAGGAGACGAGGAACGAAGAAAGAGACGTTGTCGCTGCTGACGATCTCGATGAGGTCGGGGACCCCGGTATTGGGCCATTCTTCGTGTACGTCTGGCCCTTCCTGGACTCCATCCAAAGGCTCATGCCGTTTTGTCGAATCCCCCATGCTGGTCTTTGGGGTACTGGTGCTGGTGGAGATGGTAGAAATTTATGTCGACAAGAGGGAACAGAGATATTGAGATGAAGACGGGTGAGATTCAGAAAGGTGAAGATCAAGAAGATGAGATAAAAGTAGTTCTTGAGGCCGTTGTCGCCAAGTTGTCGCGGACAGCGAGTACGCCTTGATTCTTTTGGTCCCTGCTCCCGGCCGCCGGATTGGCCAGAGGCAATATTATTATTGTTGATGCAGCAGGGAAGGACGGCGAGAAATGCTAAGTGATGAAAAGACATGTAGATAGATCCATCACTCTCATTTCTGCACAAATGATCGTGCAACTCCGCAATCTCCATGGCCATACTGTACAAGTACTCGTACTCGTACTCGTACTCTACCTTCCGTCGGAAACGCTACTCATACACACCTGAGAGATAGAAGCCTATCAGTTCAGCCCCTGACAATTGACATTATCTGCTTACAGTTGCATGCCTGACAATCTACTGCCCCGTTTCGGGGGCAGTCAGAAACCTCTGCCCGCGCTTGATGTGATATCTCTCGAGCCGGCAGGAGATGAGGGCGTGGGTGTACCTCGGACCCACTTGAATCCAGGCGTTTCTGTTCCATTGCAGAGGATCAAGCAAAGTAGAAGCATTGATATGAGAAAAGAAATATGAGTGATGGTCCAAAAGCTCTTCCCGTGCTTGGTCTCGTCCCATCCGGGGCTACCTTCCGCGATCGTGCGATGTCATTTGACCACTACCTGTGCCACAGAGTCCATTGAATTCGCCCGGACAGCCACATAGAGGCACATCGAGGACCTTCCAAAGGGGATTATCCCAATTGTCCACAGCAACATGGAACAAGTAAGCCTCAATAGTGGCTATGGCAAGCCCGCACCCCCATTCCTGTCCCAAAACGACTGCAGCGCTACAATTCTGAACCTGGTAGCGCGGGAACTCGTCGAACACCTGCGACGCGTTCTGGGTGGCGGCGACAATGCCACTCCTGCACTCTGCGACGCCAGGAAACGACCATACTGATCCAACCATACTTGGCCGAAGTTGCGAGGGATAGCACAGTGCAGTGTTCTCGCCATTTCGCATCCCTTGATTGACTCTCGTTTGGGGAGCAAGGGCACCGCGTATATAACGATATGCATCTTCAGCTGTCCCCTCACTCAGCCTCCTCCTTGGCATCCTCCACCTCAACGAGAGCCATCTCCCTAGCCTTCTCCGCCTCCTCAAACAATGCCCTCATCTCGTCATCCTCCGGCCCGAATTTCATCTCCTTCTCCCAGTCACTCTCCTCATCGCTCTCCTCTTCTTCACTCTCTTGTCCCGGCCCGCCTCTATTGCTATTCTTGCCGCCAGGTGTAGAAGAGTTTGAAGAGTCGGCACCGCCAGAAGCGGCTGGAAGGGACGAAGAGACAGACTGAGCCGCAGAGAGGACTGATCGGGTCAAGGTGGCAGAGGGAGTGGTCAGGGATGCTTGATCTCTCCTCTGTTCCCTGGCGTTCAGCGCCCGGCTGGACTTTACAAGAGTAGGCAGCGGTAGAGGCAGAGGTAATGGCTGCGCCACCGGCACCTGTTTTGCCGTTTGCGGCGCATCAGGCGCAGAGACAGGTCGTTCGTGGATCACCAACGAATCGATCAATGCCGTAACTGCGCTCATACCCGGTTTTACCTGCGCCGCATCGGCAGGAAGGGGTTGTTTGGCAGGGGCGATAACTTGCTGTGGGCGAAGAGCTGCAGGCGCTGGCGCCGTTTCTTCAGCATTTGCGCTCACTTCTGACCCTCTCCTCCCAACGACATCATCAAGCGACGGCACTTCTCCTCGCTCTTCCACCTCTTCCAGCAACTCCACACCGCCTCCTTCTCCGTCCAAGCCCTTCAGATCCCGCAACCATACCGCCTCCCCTCTCAGCTGCCTCTCCATCCACTTGCTTCTCGCCGTACACTTTTTTCCACAAAACCCCTCGTGCTCATTGCCCGATGCAGGGTCGATGCTTCTTTTCGAGGTGGAGATGATGAATTTCCGGCGGGATGAGTATGGAGCCGTTGGAGGATTTAGACAAAGAGGATAAGAGCAGAGAGAGTTGAGATGACGTTCATGGAGGATTTCGTGGTATTGCGGTGGGGTCAAATGCGCCGCCTACATCTCGTTAGCTCTTTTTCTTCAACATGGACGAATACATACAGCCTTCTTGAACGCCTCTCTCTCGACAGTATCTTCACTTAGAAGGTCCATCCACCTCTCGACCTTTCTCTGCAACTGCGCCTTTCTCACTCTCGCCCTCTTGAGCGTCTCTGCATCTTCTCTCAGAGCTGCTTCTATAGGTTCTCCGATCTGAGAGGTAGAAGCGTCAGCCGGAACAGGGGTGGGCTGAGATACACGGCGAGGGCTGGATACTGGGCGAGAGCTTGGGCCGGATGGGGTGTCGCGGGCGGCCACAGCTAAACGCGCTGGGTTGCGCGGAAACTGTACTGGCGCTGCTGTTGAGGTTGGTGCTGGGCCCGAGGTAGAAGCTGGTGGTTTTTGTGTGGGGACAGCGATGGGCATTGTCGGTCGAAAGCCAGGTAATTGATGTTCAAGATTGAAATTCGGTTCGTCAAAAGTCAGCGCTGGGTCTCGGAGATGGATATTCCCACGCTCGGACGCGCCACTCTTTCTATCTGGCCTTGCTAGATTCTCAGATGCAGCATTCAATCATTTTAATCTTCTCTACATCATCTATCAACTTTTTGGTTTCTATGCAAGAACGCATCGTTATATAATGAATGGCTTTATGAAATGAATGCACATAATGAAGGGTGGTTTGTGGTGATGTGGTAATGATAGTGATGACTGTGTGTAACAGAAAAAATGACGACGAAAGTGCCCCAACCTTGGGGACTTGACCAAAGAAGAGAATACAGAAAGAAAGAGCATCTATACACTCTACGCCTCAGCCTCCCCAATCAACTCGTCAACCTCGCCTCCGACGTCCGCCTTGGTCGCGCGTTCCAACCTCCCAGCGCTCTTGCCCGTAAACAATCCCGGCCTCATCTCTGGCACGGTCTGCACAATCCTCAACTTTTCACTCGGCGGCACCGACAGTGTCCACCTGTCCGCCACGACCGCCTGAGGCTGGCCGAAGGGAGCTTTGGGCTTGGGACCCTGAGAGTTGAGCTGGGTTTGATCGAGGCGGAAGTCTTCGTCGTCTGGCAGAGACTGAATGTCATCTGAGGCGGCGGAAGACACGGGGGAAGCGGTGAGGGAGGAGGAAGTGGAGGCGGGGCGTTTCTTGAGGTGCTCGACCTCCATACCACCGTCGAGGATACCGACTCGCATCATGGCGAGCAAGTTGTGGGCAGCATTCGAGTGGTCATACACACCGCCGAAGAAGGCGGTGGTAGCGTCGGTACCGATAGCTCGCTTGATAAGGTGGGCACCACCGGGGTGGTCTTCGTTGAAGGAAGAGCAGTCGTGGATGAAACCGTGGATGGCAACGAGAGAACGCTCCTTGGCTTCAGCCTTGAAGTCGTCCCAAGAAATGACTGGAAGGTCGTTGCTCGACTTGGGCCACTTGAGCTGGTCGGCTTGCTCTTTGAGGAGCTGGAGCTTCATGGTGTACTGACCCTTCTTGACTTCGTTGTCGGGGAAACGCTTCAAGTGAGAAGCCATACCGAGCTTGGAGGCGGTCCAGATGAACCACTTGGTAGGGTCATACTGGAACCACTTGATAGCGTTACGGAAGTCCATAGGGAACTGGTGGTGGAAGTTGTGGTAACCCTCGCCGATGGTGCAGAAAGCGGTAATCATGTGGTCTCGAGGAGTGTGCTTGTTGTCGAAGGGCTGTTCACCGAGCCAGTGAGCGAGAGAGTTGACACAGAAAGTGGACTAAGAAATCATTAGTAGGGTTTCAAGAGTAGGCAATTGACACTCACGTGGTGGACAAAGCACAACCTGGCGGCACCGGCAAAGAAGAAACCACCCCTCCAGTCACCCCATCCAAGACCAGCAACAAGAGTAGGGAAGATGAAACCCATGAAAAGGATCAAGGGGATATAATTCTTGTGCTGCCACCTGACGACCTTGTTCCTCGACAAGTCACTGACATCGGCGACACCAATCTTGCCTCGGGGCTTGACCAGCATCCATCCAACGTGAGAGTAGAAGAAACCCTTGTGGGCAGAGTACGGGTCGAGCTCGGTGTCGGTGTATCGGTGGTGAGCTCGGTGGCCTCGGGACCACCACTTGATGGAACCTTCGACAGCACCGGCGCCGGCGACCGCGAGGAGGTATTGCAGAGGAAGGCCAGCGTTGTAAGCTCGGTGGGCCCAGAGACGGTGGTAACCAGCAGTGATACCAAGACCAGTGATAAAGTAGTAGACGACACTGCGGATTGTGTGAGACTTTTTTCCCATCTTTTTTTTTTCCCAGTGGCAAAACTCACCTCCAAATAGCAGTCTTGGTGTTCCAGTCTGTGGAGAAGATACCGTAAATGGCAAGGGAGGGTGTGACGGTGAGAGCGAGGAAAGAGATCCACTGGATATTGTAGATCAAGTTCTTCCATGTGATGGGTGGGAGGTATTTCTGGTTCATAATGGTGTGGGTGACATAGTTGTCGGGGATGTGGCGGTCAGAAGCCTGCATTGTAGGCTTGATAGGGTGGACGCCATTCTGAGTCTCTGATCCTGCAAAGAGAGTCAGTGGCGAGCAGATGAAAGGACGATTGCCACGTACTGGATTTTGAAGGGACGGCCTCTGGGGTGTGAGGAGGAGAGTAGGCGGGGTCGAGCTGGTCGACGGGGTTGGGACGGCGGCGAGTGAGGCCGCTCTCGTCGTCTGAGGTTGGCGGGGTCATAGGAGAAGAATAGGACATGGTGAGTGGCGAGGGAAAAGAAGAGATGCGAATCGGACGTCTTATATAGCACTCTCGTATCCACGATCTGTCCATGCACCGTCCAACCGCGTCACCAGTTTTTTTGGGGAAACCAAGATCGGACATCTTCGGCGCCACATTCTTGCCTGCTGATAGTCCTGCTATTGCGCAAAATATATGCATGCCGCTCCCAGCCATATCCTGCCTTCACAATGCATGCATCTCCTCGCACCCCCCGCCCAGCCCCTCCTGCCATCACTCAACATGCACCACGTACTCCTTCGGCAGCCCGTCTTAGCGGACATCGCCGCCTCTTCGCTCCACAGCAGCTTTCGAAGGCGAAGTCGTCTCGAATCGGCAGCGTATACACCCGATACAGTTACCCGTGACTCCCCGCGGTCCTCGAGGTCATAACCCTCCGCTGGGGAGCGAGATGTGCCGGGCATCAGGTTGTGAGAGAATATGGTGATCACAAAAATCCACGAGAGCAATTCAGGGTCAGATAACGATAAGATTCCAACCCGTTGGGGATAGGTAATACCGTAGTTACTATGTTATTAAAATAGTTAGATATGTAGGCGCAAAAAAAGATATGGCGTGTTAGGCAAGCAAGAGGACCCACCGGCAAGTCGGCATCCCGAACTGAGCTGAGCACGAGGCAAGTACAGTTATTGTACAGGTATATAGCAACCCATCTCGTTCTCTTGCACTGCAACCCACCATGAGTGAACACCCTGTCCTCCGCTACATCTCTCCAGGCGCCTGGAGCCTCGTATGTCCACCACCCATCGCCAACCTTTCGCTGACCACACAAACAGATCGAGTCCCAAATCTCACCAAGAGCAAAAGACCTCTTGGTCGCCCTCATCGACTTTCTCGAAGTAAGCTCTCCTCACCCTTGACTTGCATTCGCTGACACTTGCTGGAAGAATGACGTGATACCATCCGAGGATTTGTACCACCTTCAGATCCCCGACGACCCGGCTACTCGCTGGCAGGCCATCCCGCAAGCGCTGGAAGACCTCAAGGCAAAGGCAAAAGCAAAAGGGTTGTGGAACTTGTGGCTCAGCGGGGGAGAGTTTCAGGGGATGGCAGGTGGCCAGGGTGGAGGCTTGACGAACCTCGAAGTTGGCAATATCCATTTTGTTTCAGCGTTCGACTTGCTAACAACAGGTAGTACGCGGTGATGTCGGAGATCATGGGCCATTCAATCTACCTGGCCTCCCAAGCAACCAACTGCTCTGCCCCAGACACCGGCAACATGGAAGTCCTCGCCCGTTTCGGGACCTCTGAGCAGAAACAAAAGTACCTCGCCGGGCTGCTCAAAGGCGAGACCAGGAGTTCCTTTGCCATGACTGAATATGGCGGTACGTGTCGACGTTGACGCAAAGGTTCGAGCTCACTCGCCACACAGTCGCCTCGTCAGACGCATCCAACCTCCACAACACCACCGCCTCCCTTTCCTCTCCGTCTTCCAATTACTACTCTCTTTCCGGCCACAAATGGTGGATCTCTGGTGCCGGCGACCCACGCACATCCATCCACATCGTCGTCGCCGTCACCGACCCCTCCAACCCTTCTCCCCACAAACGCCACTCTTTGCTGCTCGTCGAGCCCAAGCAAAAAGGCGTCAAGGTGGTGCGTCCGATGAAGGTGTATGGGTACGATGATGCCCCTGAAGGGCACTGCGAAGTCATATACGACAATGTCCAAGTGGACAAGATCAAAGGCGTTGTAGGCGGCCCCGAAGGTCTGGGACGGGGATTCGAAATGCTCCAAGCCAGGCTGGGGCCGGGGCGCTTGCACCACTGTATGCGTTCCCTCGGTATCGCCTCCCGTGCACTAGACATTCTCCTCCAGAGGGTCTCTTCCCCGAACCGAAAGACCTTTGGCAAGTATCTCAAGGAACACGGCACGGTGCTGGCAGAGATTGCGCATGCGAGGGCCGAATTGGACCAGTCGAGGTTGTTGGTCTATGCGGCCGCAAAGAGGATTGATCAGGCGGGAGCGAAGGGGGCGTTGCAGGATATCGGGATTGCCAAGGTATGTCTCTCGTCATACTCTGTTGCACTTGGCCAAGTCGCAGGAGAGCTGACCAGAGGCACAGTTCACGGTGCCGGCTATGGCGCTCCGCACTGTCGACCGTGCCATCCAAGTCCACGGCGCCGAAGGACTCTCGCAAGACCAACCTTTGGCGGCTTGGTATGCCCAGCTCCGAACCTTGCGTTTTGCCGATGTACGTCCCCTTCTCTTCTTTCCTGACTGCCGCTAACAGGACTCAGGGGCCGGACGAAGTGCACATCCAACAAATCGGGAAACGCGAGCTCAAGAGGGTGGAAGAGCTGCAAGAGAGGAGTGCGCGGATCAGGCGTGCTAGCGAGAAGCTGTTGAAGGCGAATGGAAAGGAGCGGGCCAAGTTGTAAATTGAAAAGAAGCAAAGGAATTGGAATTGTGTTGTCACTTTGTATGAATATTTTCCGAGTGGGCAATGGCCAAAAACATTCTGATCTAGGATTAGAATGATGCAGCCGAGGATAAGGATGAAACAGGGGCGATTCAAGATCTTGGGGAGAAGGGGAATCATAGCCGGGGCGGAGGTGTCTTCAGACCGCCGAGTCTGGGCTTATTGGCATCAAATTAAAATCTGATGATTATGCTGACATTTCTACTAGAATATAGCTCGACTGATAATGCTGTGAGAAGAGCGCCCTTATTATACGACCCTATGATTATAACCCCAAGTCGACAGATCACAGAATCACGGTGACTGCCAGCATCGCCAACCCCGCGATTCCCAGCCCCACCTCGACTCTCTCAGCCCCACTTGAGCTGGCCCCAGCACTGCTGCTCGTAGCACTCGCCGCAGAAGAGGTAGCAGCGGTAGTGTTGGGGCTACCAACAGAGGTGGTAGTGTTGCCTACAGTCGACTCTGTTCCATTACTAAGGGCCACATACACCGACGAGCCCAATACGGTTCCATTGGAGCTGATCGCCTGTGTTTGTACCCAAGGGTAAGACGAAGCCACATCCTCAGTGACATTGAATGACGACTCGAATGTGGTCTTGTCCTGCTCATCAAGCTTGGTGGGCGAGGTGGCGTTGGATAAAGAGGTGATACCGTAGAGCGCCCATTGGGAGACTTCGGTGGCACCGTTCCAGGATGTGTAGACGGCATACGCGCTGGACGAGTTGTCTGAAGACTCGATGGCGATGTCGGGGGAGGTAGTGGGGTAGGCGGTCCAGTTGTATCGAAGGGCACGGTAGCCTTGGACATTTCCCACGCCGAATTGAATAGAAGAGAGAAGAGTACCGTCGGACGAGTATTCCGAAAAGAATGGGTTTTGTCCCCAGCTACAACCACGTCAGTCATTGGACTATGTACGACGTGAAATACTCACCCGAGGAGATAGTTCCCATTGCCTTGCTCTTGAATACTGCCCTGGCTGGACGATACAGTCTCGTTCCAGGGCAAGAATTCTTGCACTAGCTCCACCGTCATGCCACTCTGATCCACCTCCAGGAGCAAGCCCCTCGCCATGTCCTCGTCCGACTCCCAAGACGTCGCCGCATTGTCAAAGACACTGATCTGCGTATAGTTGTTTCTCCAACGAGCGTCGTGCTGCCATTCGAAAGTGGTGTTGGTACCCATGGTAAAGGACGAGTTTTGACCGTTAATGGTCCAGAGGATGGAGCCGTCCTCGGGAGAGATTTGGTAGATGGCGTGGCAGTGGCGGGAGGAGATCAGATAGTTGCCGGAGACATCTTTCTCGATGGAGTTGATGTGCTGTGATATCGTGTCAGCACGGCAATAACGAGTGGAAATAGTCTTACAAAGTAGTCCCAAGGAGAGTCGCTAGAAACTCCAGTAGTTCCAGGCGTTGTGTAGCACTCGGAGGGAGAGACGTGGTCCAAGGACTTCCAAGTGAAGACGGGTTCCCCTGTTTATCGAGTGAGCTGATGTTCCGTTCTATTGGTAAGTAGACTGACCAGTAGCAATGTCGATTTCCTGGAAAGCACCTCCCATGATCCAACCAGTAGTGCCGTCGGTGGTGTTGACACTGTAACTGGAGAGGTCGTATTCTTCGGTGACGTAGACGGTAGCGAGGGCGGTGTCATTGTCCGAGATTGCAAACTGAAGGACATTAATCAAGCCCTTTGAGAAGGTCACGAAAGACATACCTCGTGGAAGTCGATGCCGGAGCCATTGATCGTTGTGGAGCTAGAGATTTCAACCATTTGGAGCTACATGGGATCGGAACCGAGCAACTTACAGGTTGGCAATAAGGCTATAAGTTTGATCAAAGATCAGACCATGCCCATCCCCATAACCATTGCTGTTGAAGGATCCGCCCCAGGTGGCGATGACCTGCTCTCTCTGGTATGTTCCTACGGAGAAGGACATTGTCTGTCCGACCCCGGCTTCTTTGCCATGCCAAACAACCTCGCCGTTGCTGTCGTAAATGATGCCGGTGGGGGTAGTGACATCAGTTCCTCGGGGAGCGAGGAAAATGTAGCCGGAGGGAAGGTCGGAAGAGGGGAAGACGTTGAAGTTCCACTCGGCACTGTGTATCCGTGTGAGAACCTATCCGTATTGAAGTAAGACACTTACGCAGTGAAATTGACAGACTTGAAAGTCTGGACGGGAGCACGGCCAAGAGCACCAGAGCTATACTCTGTGCTGTTGACGAGGTATGCTCGAGCCAGCGAGGATAGGGCGGCCAGGAGTAATAGGGATACTGGCATGACTGCTCAAAAGGGGGACTGTGAAAAAAGTCCTGAAAGAGTCGCTGGTGAAAGACGGAGTGAGCAGAAGAAGCGAAGGATATGTGGCGAGCGTCTTGTTTATATCATGTCCGATGGAAAAACTACGCAATGTAGTACGACCTGTGCACATGGCTGTTAAGCGCCGGGCCCAGTCCTTCTGCAGAAATGGCTGAACAGCGAACACCACAAGGGATCACATGAGAGTGGAATATCTGGAATAGAGGATAGAAGAAATGACAAACAAAGGGTAAAAGTTTGGCATAATAAGACTGCGCGCAGAGCGTAAATCGAAAGTCTGGAAGGTTTCCGTCGATCCGAAATCCGATTCGGGCGATCACTCTAGCCGCTGTTTGGTTCGCAGATACGGAGGCGGTGTCAGATTTTGCTTCATGAGCAAGTCCTTCAAGTATGTGTCTAATGTCTCTCACTGCCTGTGCATCAACGGGATGCTGCTGCTTGATCCAAGCTTTTGTGTCTGTTCTGTTCTATCCCGCCAGGATGCACTTTTTGTCAGAATGATGAGTAATGCCTGATGCAATGATGTGCCTTCACTGGCACGACATGAGGGCAGGGTGCAGTATGACCCAGTAATTGCGGCTAGACACCGACGACTCCCAGACCCCTCCCGGACTTGCCTATGACCGCCACACGAGACGAGAAACATCGTCACGATCTCAATAAACCCAGGTCCCATACGAGTCGTCATCCGGCGCATATATCATGGAACTCCCTGCGAACGTCGCATAGTCTAAGAACGCTTAAACGCACGGTCAGAAATCCATTGATCTCCAGACTTGGGCAAAGTTGAGCTGGATTGTCTGCCCAAGTCGTCAACAGGACCAGCAGCAAAGGACACTCGCCATGTGTACATATACAACAGTGTTTCTCACCCAGTTATAGTCTAGTATTCAGATCTTTCTATCTTCCACCTTTCTTCCTGTCATACCACGCCTTGTATAGTCTGCCCGAATCTTGCCCAATGGTAAACACTACACCCATCAGTCCCTGGACAGTAGTAGCAGCAGAGGATATGACTCACGCTCCCTCTCATCTCCTTCCATACCATCTCTGAAGATCTCCCCTCGGCTCGTACTGATTTCTGGTAACGTATGATCTGCAGAGGCATGGTGCGCCGCCAGATCTTGTAGGATGGGCAATCTCCCCGCAAATGCCTGTGTACAAGTCAGCGCCTATCTGATATATGCGCAAGTACTCACCTTTAGTAGCATGTTCCGTATATCATTGGCCAGCGTATCCTCAAGGATGTCTACAAGTCTTTTGCCTAATCTGTACCACCAGCCGTTGCCCCCCACCAGGTTAGACAGCTTGACGCTGGTTGCTGAAGCTGTCAAAGCATCTTTGACGCGTGACGAGTAAGGGAGGGGGATGATGAATGTTGTGAATTCACTAATCAGCATGGGGTCAGCTACACCAATCAGGCAGGAAGACATTGAACTTACTGGAGAGTCAGTGTACCGGCAAGCCAAAAAGGCAACTCGACTTTGGCACCCTCTTGAATCTTTATACACAGCAGTCAGTACTCTGCATGTCAAATATTACGAGTCATACATACGTTGGGGTCGCTGCCTCCTTCGAGATAGCCCAGTCCCTCTACATCCTGGGCAAAAGTACACGACAGTTTCTTCTAGGATTTAGCGTTCATCCTATGCTGGACACGTCACTCACGTGATTATCCGCGAGGATCGCAGTGATAGAGTAGTAGTCTTCTTCCATGCCTGAGCCCTCCTATCGGTCTGCACTTGATTGTCTCGGAAACATTGAAAACATAGCTCAAGTCGCGTTCTCACCTTCGACGCGTTTGATGCTTATGTAACATGCGCACGCCTTGCTCTTTCACAAAAAGATAGGCGCGCGGAACCATTTTCCACTTTCATCGCTGTTGAAGAAACGTCGAGGTGTATGACTGTCACCCGAATCCCACCATGAGACCCACATCCCTCCTCCAAGGCGCATCAAGACTACCTCTCACAGGAAAGAGGGGAAACAAAGACTTTTACAAAGGTGCCTACTCGTCTTGTGCTTGCTGAGAAGAGCGGATCGCTAACGATTTCATTAGGTACTGGACAGGCTAGAGTACCTGGCGGTGGACACAGAACAGGTCCCCCTGGTAAACATGTCGTGCGAGGTACTGCCAAGTATAGACTGGTGGATGAGAAAGTGAGAGTATTCGTGGCACCTACACAAGAAGCACTGGGGAATACAGAGGTTTGTCGTCACTTGCTTTGAAGTCGGAGATGCTGACCGCTATGTGATCAAGCTCAAGCCATATGTTGCTACACAAGATCTTGACAACCACAAAAGCTTTTTCAACCCCTTCTCTCACGCCTACGGAGACCGCCCTCGCCTTCCATCTTTCTCTCCAAATGCCACACCTATGTTCGCCGGCACCTCTCTGTCGCGGAGGGATTACACGGAATTCTCCAAGAGATGGGCCAATCTGAGTCATGATGAGAGGCAGTACGTGGTGATGCAGCAGAGGAGACAGTGGTGGGAAGAGATGTCCAAGATGTACGGAAGTGATGTGGCCGCTCCGGGCGCGCAAGGGACCCAATAGAATTGTGATGCAACAGCGATTCATGACCTAGCATCAAGCAATCGGGAATTCATCTCGTATACTCCAGCAAAATCTCCAAAGGCGTTATCTATAAACCCTAGCTCGTCGATGCCCCAACGGCCAACCTCTTCAGGTGCTCCATAAACACCTGCAAGCTGACATCGTCTGTAAAGATCTGTTGTCCCGCCGCAGGGTTCGCCCCATACCCACTCGCCCCACTCATGTGCGTCGTCGAAGGGTTAAGCTTGCTCAGCAAGAACCTCGCCTGACTTCCACCTTGATCACAGACGATATATCGCGGGATAGGCAACCTGTCTTCCAACAGATCTTGAGCGTCGATAACAGGAGCTTCGAGAAGCTCTTTAAAGTTGGCATAGTCCTCCTGCTCTTGGTAGTTGGCCTTACGCCACTGAGCAATGGTCTCACCGTGGAAGATGAGAATATGGAAGAAGGTATCGAGGAGGAGGATGGCGTCTGGCCTGATGGAGACCGAGTCAAGAAGGACGGGTCGGGGCTCAGAGTCAAAGCCATAGGACATGAGGGTAGGTTGGATCATGATCAAGGAGTTGTTCACGTCCGTGTCATTCAAGATGTGACTGCAAATCATCAGCATGTATCACCATGGACTTGTCGTACTCACCGGTAGAAAGCAGTCTCATCAGGCGAGTTGTTGAAGACTTGCAAGAACTGACTTCGTCGCAGGTGGAACATGAATTGAGGATAGATGGAGAATGACGGGCCCAGCTGGAAACTCGTAGGGTCTTCCTTTCGGTAATCCGCAAACTTCTGACACAACCTAATCAACATTCTGTCCAACCACCTCAACACATCAGGGCTGTCGTCGATCTCAGCCTTGAAGACGGCAATACGGGCCATGAGCACGGCAGCGGCTTCTTGGTCAAAGCTGGCAGCGATGGTAGGGTGGCCGCCTTCTTGGAAGTGACGCATACAGGTGGTGACACGGAGTCGGTACTCGCCGGAAGAGTGCTGGTAGTGGGTGACAAATTGAATGAGACCGGACTGGTTCGGGGCGAGATTCTGGCCGGTGGGCGTCACGACCTCAAAGTAGGCAGCAAAGGTACTCTTTGGGGTGATAGAACAAATCTTCCAGGCAGATGTCTGACCGATACCGATCTCAGTCTCGCCAACAGAAGCGGATTTTTTGTTGGCAGAAATGACGTGCCCAATGACACCAGAAACCTTGAGCTCCTTCGTGGTCTACAAAACCGTTAGTCGAGTAAATCAGACAATCGTTGTACGCACAGTAATGTCAAGAGTTGCATTGAAGCCCATCTTGAGGTAGCCCTGGTCATCTTTACTCAGGGTCCTCAGGAAACTCTGCTTGAAGATGGCAGTCATGAACGAATCCGAAATGACCATGAAGCCATTCGTCGCGTTCGTCAACGACTTCATCTCCAACAGACCGACTTGATCGAGACAGCCCGCGTAAATGTCAATGGCGTGACCATTGACTGACGCTCGCTTGGAGAGACCTTCGTAAAACTTGGTGGCGCGCTTAAAATGCTTGACGCTGTCACGGTCAATGTCGTGGTGGGATCGGATAGGCTCTCGAAGCTCGGGGCCAACGACAAGACCGGGTCCGTCGGTGGCAGCACCACCAGCAAAGAGCTGGATCCTAGCACCAGTGTTGGGGAACGCAGTCTACTACATGTAAGCATCGCCCCCTGACTGTTGCGCCAGACTCACCTCGAGCAAAGAAACAGCCACGCTCAAGGCCACACCAGTGCACCTCAAAGGCCTCTTGTTCTGGTCCACAGGCCAGGGGTCCCTCTGGAGCTGCTCCAGAATGTTGGTGAGCTGGAACTCGCAAGCCTGGACGGGCATGAGGAACTTGGAGGCGGCGTTGACGGGGATGGGCTGGCCGGGGCGCATGGGCTGCATGGGCCTGGAGGGGTTGAGGCCGAGCATGTCGGCGATATGCTTGGGCTGGTAGTCTTTAGAGCCACGGAAGACGTAGGCTTTGGGGCAGTCGGGGTAGGCGAGCTCGTGAACCATGGTCTAGAGTACTGTCAGCCTGGGCTTTGCTGACCAGTCTCGAAACGCACCATGGTACCGAATGTGATCAAGCCGACAAGGGCATTAGGAGGCAACAATGACAAGCTCGTGATGATGGTCTCCTTCAAGGCCTTCAACTCGTCCTCGTCGAGACAAGTGTCAACGACATACAGGAAGATGGGCGGAACCTGGGCGGTACGCGAGAGGATGTATTCGATGGTGGTGAACCCAGGCTGGAGCTCTGTGGGCAAGTTGGACGGGGAGAGGTCGTGGTGGTACTGAGGAGGGAAAGGGTTTCGCTGGAGACAGAAGGGGCAGATCCACATCTTGCCTCGGACGTCGACTTGGCTGCGACGAGTTAGCCTCTCCCGCGTCACGGCCGGATACTACTCACCAGTAGGGGTTCAAGATGGCCTTGCAGGAGGTTCCCTTACAGGTCACGGGCTCGTACGCGACAGGAGGCACCTCCTCGCGCTCCTTCATGGGGGTATAGAGGGCGGAGATGGGGACAACGGTACGGGTAGCCTCGAGCCTGCTGGAAGGCCACACATTCCACGAAAGTCGGAGACCTGCGCAGGTCAGCATTCGTCCTCGCTCGTTGGCGCGTCAGCATACCGTTCTGGTCCTCGTAGTCCTCGAAACTCATGCTGGCGGATGTATCTGCTAGATGGGAGATAGAGGGGAGACGAGATGAAAGAGGTCATAGGCGGGGCCGTCGATGTGGAAGCGGTATCCGCCGAAACGCCAACGTATTTGATCCCGTCGAGTGTGGCACTTTCCTGGGCCCTCTTTCAGCACCGTTCATGAACCGGAATGCGCCTGAAACGAGTGGGTAGCGTAGGCTACTGACTGCGCGGGCTGTTTTATACCGGAAGCTTAAAGCAGACACGCTACGAGTGCCAAGAAGGGTCGAGCCCACTTGAGAAGGCTGCCAACGTTGAGGGATTTCGTCCGGTTTGAACGCGGCAGTTGCTGTGGCTGGGTAAGCAGAAATGGGGCATATGCTAATTCGGCGAGACATGGTAGACAACAGCTGGAATGATAGAGCCAAGAGTCATTGTGTTGACAGCCTATGCAGCTCAAATACCCATATAGACAGTGCATGTGACACTCAGTCCACCTTGACCTTTTCTTCCTCTACCAACTGCCCCCAGACCTCCTTTCCACCCCCAAAGTTGTACACTGCCCGCAACGCAAACACCACACTAAGCCCCACCATACAAACCACCACCGCCTCATACTCTGCCCACCTCAGCCCAAACTCCCACCCCTGCACGGGCCCAATCAAGCTCAAAAACACTGCAGGCACGACCACCGGCGCCCAGGCGTCGACCATGAGCCAGCCCCATGGTTTGAGCTCGTCTGGGGTGGAGAGGTGGGGTGTGGGGGTGAAGAAGGAGGTGGCGGAGAAGATGAGGGAGGCGAAGGGGACGGCGAGGATGAAGGGGACGAGCAGGAGGGAGGCGGGGGTGGGCGGAAGGGCTTTGGGAGAGGTAGATGCGAGGAGGGGGAGGACGGAGAAGCGGGTGAGGAGGAGCGTTCTTCCGATGGCATCTGGCGTAGCGAGGAGGATCTCCGAGAGGAAGGAGGGCTTGCTAGGGAGAAGATGGATGAATGGTGTCCGGGTTTGCAAGAGATCTATCGTATGGTCAGGGCTCGGTTCAGTGTATCGAAATGCACGCACGGGTGAGACCAAAGAGAAGGGCATAGCTGGGGTTCACCAGCCATGAGGGACTTGTATTGGTAGACATGGCTGGCACAGCGGTCAGCGATATACGAGGGTAGATATGGCGGCTTACCAAGAAACGTCTCTCCGCCAAAGACGACAACCATGATCCCCGCAACCTCCTGCAGTGCACTCGGCCTCGCCCTCTTCGCCACCTGCCCTTTCCCTTTCTTTCCCTTTGCACCCTTGGACGGGAAAGCAGGGGGCTCGAAGGCACCACTGGCTATCCAGTTGACGACGCTGGACAGCCGCATGGCGCCGTATAGATCTATGAGCGGGAAGGGGAAGTAGAGGGGGTGTACGGGGGCGAGAAGGGGCTGGAGGGCGGCGTGTGCCACCGCGATGGATGCGTCCATGGCGAGTGATGAGAGATAAGACAAGGCGTCAACAATTAGAGATAGTGGGCAGGTCACGTGGCCTCGGTGTCTACTCGAAGACAGGCGTCCAGTCCGGATGGCGGCCCGATATTCCCGTGCATCTCTCTTTTGCATCTCCATCTCAACTCTGCAAGCACAAGCATGTCCAACTTTGTCAAGACTGGCCGAAAAGTGAGCAGCGCGGGGAAAGCGACCGTCATTGACGCGTGAATCAGATCGTCGCCATTGGTCGCAACTATGCCGACCACGCCAAGGAGCTCGGTAACGCTGTTCCCAAGGGTAAGTAGCATGAAGTGGGTAAAGAGCGCGGTACTGATACTGTATACAAGAACCATTCTTCTTCTTGAAGCCCACTTCTTCATACCTCGTCGCCGGCTCCGGTCCGGTCGAGATTCCTCACAATGTCAAGATGCACCACGAAGGTGGGTCCCGCGCAAAGGTCCGAGGGATATACTGACGGATGCAGTCGAGCTCGGTGTGGTGATTGGCAAAGACGGGCGTGATATCCCCGCCTCTGCCGCTCTCGACCATATCGCTGGTTACAGTACACCCCTTTCATCTCTCCTACGAGTGTCAAGCTGACTGCGAACAGCTCTTGCGCTCGATATGACTGCTCGTAACATTCAAGACAAGGTCAAGAGTAAAGGTCTGCCATGGTCTACCGCCAAGGGCTTTGACACTTTCACCCCCGTCGGGTACGCCCCTTTTTCCCCTTCCCTACTCGAGACCCGCTAATAGCCTCCAGCCCCTTTATCCCGAAACATTTCCTCCCCGATCTGGCCCAAGTCGGCCTCCACTTTACAGTCAACGGCACTGTCAAGCAGTCCGGCATCACCGCCGACATGATTTTCGACATTCCCCACCTCATTTCTTTCGTCTCGTCCATCATGCGTCTTGAAGAAGGCGATCTGCTCTTGACGGGTACGCCAAAGGGTGTGGGGCAGATTGTGGGAGGGGAAAAGTTTGCGGCCAAGTTGACCTATCCCGGAGTGGATGGGGAGGTGATTAGTGAGTACGAGGGGCAGGCTGTGGATCGGGTTGGAGGGTATAAATTTGAAGAATAAGCTAGACATGAACCTTTTTGTGAAAGGCCAAACGAGTGATGCCGCTACTAATTCATAGGGTATCGAGAGAGGCATATTGTAAAAGTAGGAAACATTTTGGTTACTGATATATAACATCTATAGACAAAGGTCGTCCCAAAATCGTCAACAGTTCGTCAAGGAAGAGATATTAAGTGCGATGATAAAGGGTATATATAAAGGGTGATATAATCGTGCAAGGGTCGTACAACGTCGTCAAGAGAGGAGGAAAGAAACAAGCTATTCGCGACAGGCGCGCAAAAGGTGAAACCAAGAAATCAAGAGACAAGACACAAAACCAAAAACTAGATCATCTGCCCATACCTCCACTCCATCGGGAGACTCTTCCTCCCAGGCAGCTTTTCCGACCCCGCACTGCCCACGCTGCTCCCGCTCCTCGCGCTCCTGACCGACCTCCCACTATCGGGCGTCTGGCTCCTCGCAAGGCAAGTGAGGAAAGAATGGTCGCCTTCCAGCGGACTGGACGAAAGCTCGGCAGCCTCGCGGCGCTTGGGCAGCTGCGAGTGGGGGTGGGCTCGAGAAGGCTTGCGAGGCGCATACGGCGCAGCGCTGCGCTTGGTCTTCTTCTCGGGGGTGTTGATGTCGCGCGCAGGAGGAATACGGAGGGAGAGGGACTCGGAGTCGTCACTGTCAGAGACGGGCGAAGTGAGAGAGCAGGTGGTGACGGCTTCGCCGCATGAGGTGAGGAGCTCTTCGAATGCGAAGGCAAAGTCGACGGTGGCAGTCGGGGACTGGCACTTCCGAGTGCTGCGACCGAGGCTTGGAAAGGTCGGTGTGGTGGGCGTTTGGAAGGTAGAGTGTACGCGCTGGGTGGTCCACTGCTCGGCAGGGACGATGGGGAGGGCAGGCATGAGACTGCTGGTGGTCGATACCGAGCTGAGAGGCGTGAGGAGCTCGACGTCGGCGACGGTGCTCGTGGCGCTTCCGGGGAACCCAGAGAGGGTAGGGGTGGCAGCAGTCGAGGGAGGCAGGCTGAAGCGGGTGGTCAAGGTGAGAGGAGGCGGCGCTCGACGGGCACGAGAGATGCCCTTGGCAAAAGGTGTAAAGCTCGGCTGGCTGGGAGCATCGACCATCTCAAAGTCGTCGTCTACCTTGTCCTCGAGAGGAATAGTAGACCAGGAAGCAAACGGGTCTTCGCCCTCCATACCGAGGTGGGGCGTGACGATCTGCCTCTCTTCAGACCCGTCGCTCGACCAAGAGAATCGACGTTGGGCGTCGCGGGGCTCGGGGCTGAGACTGGGAGTTTGGAGGATGGAGAGGTCGGCGTCAGTCATGGACTCGTCGCAAGACATGTCGCGGTCGTACGAGAGCTCGTCGGGGACCTCTGGGATTTCCGAGACGGTAAAGAGGCCGCACTGGGAGGGCTCCTTCATGGGGATGTGGCGGCCGTTCTTCCTGGCGGGCTGCTTGGGCGGGCAGGGCACTGAGCGGTGGGGCGCAGTGGGCGAGATGGGGATCAGGGACGTGTGGAAGAGAAAGTCCTCCTCGGTGGAGGCGGCGGTGGTGGCCGTTGGGAAGGAGAAGGTGAACGCCATGTCTCTATGCAGGGTGAGCGACGTTCGAGGGAGGGCGGGAGATGCTTACGGGATGGATGCGGGGTGCCAAAGAATTGTAGGAGATGGGGTGGGATTATAGGGATTGGAAACGAGTGTGGGTATTATATGGGGCGCGGGGAACAATGGGCAGAGGAGAAAGCAGAACGATAAGAAAGTGACGGTTGATCCTGTGGCGCGGGCAAGGTCTGTTGTCTTCTGTTATATACGCTGTGCTGCCCCTCGGGGGAAAAACAAACGGCTTTGCGTCGGAGCAGCGCCGGGTTCCTGTCAGTTGGGCGGAAAGTAGTGCAGGCCGTTGCGAGGGAGAGAAATCCTTCACGACCCAGCAGAGAGGCCCCAGCGCAAGGCACACAGGGAGCCTTCGAGGCCCGTGCGTCCGCCCAATAAGGCAATCACCTCCTCGCAGCGGCTCGCCTCGCATGGGCGCACACAGTTCAAGAGCAGTGGAGCGTAGAGCACCGTGCAGCAGAGGGAGAGGAGAGAAGAGGGCGCTCACTTGCCCGTTGTTTGGTTCACACCGCCACGCCCGTCTCGCGCGGAGTCCTTCCTCTCTGTCTCGGAAAACGGCTTGTTCTGTCTCGCACTTTCGGCCTTGCTGCAATGATGCACGCCTTCTAGACCAGGGATTTCCCCATTGGAGTACCTCCGAGGTATGGCCTATCGGAAGATATTTGAGCCGACGAACAGCTAGCAGAAACCATAAAGATCCTCCGCCCTCATGGGCTGCCCGGACCAAATGCCTCTATTGACATGCCATCGCGCATCGCGTCGCACGTTGGCATCACATTAAAGCACCGCGGAGCGACGCGTCCTGGCTCATCGTACTAGAGAATAACTCCGGTCATTTGAATTATGTATACACTCAGGTCGCTCAGGATGGATTGGATTAATCACTTGTTTTGGTCCGATGCCACCCTGCCATCTCTCTTTCGAACAAGCAAGAGGCCCAAGAGACCCTTGTCTAGCCTCACCCCATACCCATCTATCATGCAACGCTTGCAAATACATCCGAGGTGACCGCCCATATGGACATTCGCTCCACCACGTAACTTGGTGCATCCCATAGCATTGTTGCTGCCGACTCTACGAGTATACAAGCGTAGTGCCTGCGCCGGTTTAGTTCAGCGTGGACGTCCTTCTTGCCGCATCCCGGACGCTAAGCTCTTTTGCCGGCCCCACCGGCCCCTGCCCACAGTCCCCCTCGCGATGGCCCCCTTGACCCCTCTTGCAGCAGATCGCATGGCCTGTGCATAGATGAGCAATATGTCTCGCGCGGTCTCGCGGTGTTTGAGCGCATGCCAATGATTTGTGCTAACAGAGTCGTCGTCGTCGTGCAGCGCTCAACGCTCCACTGCGGCACAGGATTAGCGTATAGCATCAGCCCACCGAGAGATCAAAGGGAGGTATGTCCCTCGACCCACAGAGCCTGTTTGTGTACGCAGGCTGTGTCTGTATGAAACGGGGACACCGCCTTGAGAGATTCAGGACGTGTTGGGCCACTCTTCGCGTGCAAATTGGGGGGGCTGTAGGGATCGTATGGAGGCGGTGGTGGGGTGGGAGTGAAAGGTTGAGAGAAGGGTTGTTTATCTTCCTTTGAAACTGAAAACTCATCGATTGGGGGAAGTGACCCTGGTATTTCAGCGGTAGCAGGGCCACCCGTGTCTCGCTCCCAGCAACTGCCAACGTACGCCTCTGCGCGACAAGAAATCAAGCGCGTCGCGTATGCGTCCCCTTCACTTGCCAATCCCCTTGCCGAGGGTCTGCCGGCTCCACTGATGATCATGTCGACAACACTCTCGCAATGTTTACGCGTTTTGAGGAACCATCAATCGAGCCCCTGCATGTGATCTGATGCCACTGCCCGAGAAAGGATGGGCTAAAAAAGTCAATCAGCTCCCTGCAGCACACAGGCGGATCAATTGCACTTGTTGACGTTTTCTCGCGAGTCCTGCAGGGAGACAGAATATTCCAGGAGGGTAACCGAAGAATGCCCACTCGAACGCGGACAGGGGGGATGGGGCCAGGGAAGTTGTCCGCGTTGACTGTGGCGGTTTCTTTCAAGCGTTCGTTAGGGCGTTGACGATCGAGGATGGCACTGATGGTCTCTTGGTCACTGAGACCACTGGTGAGACCTTTGATAGGGCGAAGGGCGAGTGGATGTTGATATGAAGATTGATTGTTCTGACGCAGCTCGCTCACGTTAGCAATTAGACCTGATCGTTGTGTTGCCCCCGCCACTTTTCCACTCTCCCCTTCAATCTATCTCTTGCAGGTCATTACATACACATCATATGCACATCTATTCCTCAGCATCAGAGTCCTCGTCACCCCCGTCCACAACCACCACACCACCGCCCTTCTTGATCTCTCCCAACTCTCGTCCATGTCTCCTCAACCTATCGCCAAACGCCTTTCGCGCACCAGCATTGCTCGCCGCATCCCACACCTGCAACTGCGCCTTACTGCCCGCAGCCGCCAACGCAAGCGGTGTCTCTGCATCAGGCGACCACTTGGCAGTGAAGATCTTGCCCAGACCCAGATCACGCGAAGTCGCCAGACTGATCTCTCGTTTCTTGCCAGCGATACCCTCCGTCTCGGCATCCTGAATGTTCCAAATCTTGACAGTCTTGTCCATACCGCCAGTGAGGATACAGCCGCGGATATGCGGGTTGACGTCGAGCGCCGAGGCGGGGCCGTCGTGCGCGGAAAGAGTGTATTTAGGCTGGGCGGTGGTGAGGAAGCCGGACGACTTGGGGGAGGATGTGGTGAGAGGAGAGGATTTGGCGGAAGAGAGGGTTCGCGAGTCGTAGCACAGCACGAGACCGTTTTCAAGCGAGACCTGCCAAAAGTGTTAGTCTCATCTCGAGTCGTTGCTCAAAGTACTCACAAAGAAGGAGAATGGCTCCCAAGGGTCCCACCTGATGCACTCGACATCACTTCCGACTTGCACTCCAATAGCCTCGTCCACCGATCTGATGTCCCACACCTTGACAGTCCTGTCGTACCCCGCGCTCAGACACACCTTGTCCAACCCGCTCTCGGTGCTCCTGTTCCACTCGACAGCCTGCACCTTCTCCCCACCGTGCACCTTGTCCCAGCTCCGCATAGCAGGCATGGGCGATTCCCGCGTAAGGTCCCAGAGCTTGACGGTACCGTCGGCAGAACCAGACAGGAGCAAATTACGGTGGTTGGGCGTCCAGGAGAGGGAAAGGACGGGCTGGACGTGGTGCTCGTCATTCGCAGTAGGCTGGACCATCTGCTTCTTCTTCTTTTTGCCGGTACCGGCGGGCTTTGCTTCGGGCTTTTCGAGCGAGGGGGAGGGACCGAGAATGGCACTGGGGTAGAGACCGTCTACGAGGTCGGCATCCCAGATCTCGATAGACGGGTCGAATGAACTGACAGCGACATAGTTGCCTGGCTTGGCGCCTTCGCTGGCTTGAGGACCAGGAGCAAAGTCGAGCCACTCGACAGAGAGAGGGAAGGCGGGGAGCATCAGGTCGTGATGGGCGTACAGGTTTTCCTCAGCGTCACTGTAGACGTGGAAATCAAGAGACGAGAGGTCGGATGTGGTCCGAGAGGTGATGATCATAGAGTCGGTAGGGTCCACAGCGAGCTCCTCCTCTTCTATCGCATCGTCATCCTGATACATGTCAGCTTGGTAAAGGAGGATTGTAACGAGACGCACCTCTTTCAGAGTGATATAGGGGTCTTCCTCGTTGTTTTGGTAGTATGCCAGACCCTTGACGTTGGCAAACGCACCCATAGCTGTATTTCATTAGCACGATACGTTTTCGGTTGATGTACTACCCACCAACACCACCAGAGACCTCTTCGTCGTACTGGTCCATCTTGAAAGCCGACAAGTCACTGGGGTCGAAAGGCTTGCCGTCTTCGTCCATCTTCTCATCCTCGTCCTCCTCTTCCTCGCTATCCTTCTCTTCCTCATCATCCTCTTCAGCATCTTCATCCTCCCAGTCCCCCTCTTCATCGCCTCTCTCAGCCCCAGCCTTCTCCAAAGCAGCCATCTCCTCCTTGAGCTTCTCCAACACGCCCGGCCCACCGAGCTTGCCTACTCGCTCAATCTCATCGTCGTCCAGTTGGTACTTTTTGGGCTTGACGGCAGCCCGGCCTCTTGGGACCCAAGTCAGGGCTGAAATAAGGGTACCGGACATGGTTTTTGGGTGTTGCAAGGAGGAAAACCTTTGCGTTTGATGCTGGACCATGGCCGTCTTGAAATTCTTGAAGCCAGGAACGATGGCCATCTTTTATAGTCCCTCCATTTTAGATTGACCGAGAGATGTTGTGAGCTGGTTGTGACCTTCTTTCGCGGCCGCCCAAGAACCTCTTTCTGCATCGTTCCGAGGTATTCATGTGTTGTCTATACATACGGCAGAGTCAGCGATCGGGTCTCGCAAAAATATTGCGATGCACAAGCAGGCCGACGATAGTACCTGAGCGTGGACCTCTTCTTCACTGAACGTGGGCTTCGCGCTTTCAGATTCGACGTTCATATACCATCTTGTCATATGGCTACTCGCCTTGGTAATGATAATGTACTGGCATGTCGAAGCTGTGGCAGTGTGTCTGTCTTACTACAAGTCAGTCGTTCGTCCTTCGGGAGAGGACTCGCAGGAGCCGTGAATGATCATGGAAGCAGAAAGCGATATTGCTCTTGTGCACAGACTTGCCCCCTCTCATGCCCCGTCAAGCATACCCATAGCCTGGCGTCCCTGTTGACGGTGCGCCTTCCCGAGATAGCCATGACGGCGGCGGAATCATCTGACCTTGCGGCGAACATCATCATGATGTCCTGCGCGGCGGAGGTGGCCGAAGAGTGTCCTCCACCACCCTCATATCGCCCGGCCGGATAGCAAGAAAGCCATTCACAACCCCAGACACGCCACTCCAGCACACGACTCACAGATGACTCCCAGGCCCCTCACATAATGCCCACCAACTCCCGCTATCCCGCGGGGACA